CCGCCGCCGTCGCGGCCGCCCTACCCGCCCGACCCCGCCGCCGTCGCCGCCGCCCTACCCGCCCGGCAATGCCCCGACCCCTCCGCCGTCGCCGCCGCCCTACCCGCCCGGCAATGCCCCGACCCCGCCGCCGTCGCCGCCGCCCTACCCGCCCGGCAAGGCCCCGACCCCGCCGCCGTCGCCGCCGCCCTACCCGCCCGGCAAGGCCCCGACCCCGCCGCCGTCGCCGCCGCCCTACCCGCCCGGCAAGGCCCCGACCCCGCCGCCGTCGCCGCCGCCCTACCCGCCCGGCAATGCCCCGACCCCGCCGCCGTCGCCGCCGCCCTACCCGCCCGGCAATGCCCCGACCCCGCCGCCGTCGCCGCCGCCCTACCCGCCCGGCAAGGCCCCGACCCCGCCGCCGTCGCCGCCGCCCTACCCGCCCGGCAAGGCCCCGACCCCGCCGCCGTCGCCGCCGCCCTACCCGCCCGGCAAGGCCCCGACCCCGCCGCCGTCGCCGCCGCCCTACCCGCCCGGCAAGGCCCCGACCCCGCCGCCGTCGCCGCCGCCCTACCCGCCCGGCAAGGCCCCGACCCCGCCGCCGTCGCCGCCGCCCTACCCGCCCGGCAAGGCCCCGACCCCGCCGCCGTCGCCGCCGCCCTACCCGCCCGGCAAGGCCCCGACCCCGCCGCCGTCGCCGCCGCCCTACCCGCCCGGCAATGCCCCGACCCCGCCGCCGTCGCCGCCGCCCTACCCGCCCGGCAATGCCCCGACCCCGCCGCCGTCGCCGCCGCCCTACCCGCCCGGCAAGGCCCCGACCCCGCCGCCGTCGCCGCCGCCCTTCCCGCCCGGCAATGCCCCGACCCCGCCGCCGTCGCCGCCGCCCTACCCGCCCGGCAAGGCCCCGACCCCACCGCCGCCCCCAGCGTGCCCGCCGCTCACGCCCGCCCGACCGGGGGGGGGAGACCTCAGCGAGGATGGGTGCAGCTACGTCGCCGATGCGGGCGCCCTCACGACCGCGGACTCAAAGAAGGGCCTGTCTTGGTGGCTGTGGCTCATCCTCGCAATCGTGGCGCTCCTCCTCCTCTGCTGCCTCTACCTCCTCTACAGGAGGTATCGGCAGAAGCAGGCCCCGCCGCCGCCCGCGGAGGGCGCGCCCGGATACGCGCCCACGCTGCATGCGCCGCGCGCGCCGGCACCGCTGGCGGCCGCTGCGGGAGCGGTGCCCACCTTGAAGACGCCGCGAGGTGCGCGGTCGCTGGCGACTGCGTTGGGAGGGCTGACCACGCTGAAGACGCCTCGTGGCCCGCGCCCCCCCCCCCCCGCCGATAACATGGCCGAAAACGAGCGGATCGAATCGGAGCGGCGGGCCTCTGAGGCCCGCCGCTCGTCGGGCCTGTACGTGGACGACAGTTGGCGGACGGCGTGCAGCTCGGACCGCTTCTCGGATGCCGAAGCCGCGAACGAGCTGAGGATGATTGACGAGTGCGCCGCACCCCCTCAAGCGCCCCCGCTCACGCTCCCCCCTCACTCTCCTCTCTCCCTCGCCCTCGTGCAGGCTCCAAAAGGATCGCTCGAGAGCGATCACCACTCCCGATAAGGGCCCGAGTGAAGCCAATGTGGGCGCGCTCGACCGGGCGCGCGCCACGGCAGCTCAAGGACATTCGTCAGGAATATCCCGGATCTGAAGAGACGCGTTTCCGCTTCCGCCCTGTTCCTGACTTTAGTCGAAGCATGTAGCAGCCAGACAGCTCCCCAAACTCTAGACTTGAGTTGTGTCCGACTTGTGTGATGCCTCCATGCGTTTTCCTGCGACCCGCGTCCGATGACGACGACGCCCTAAAAAAAAAAAAAAAAAAATTGCTAGCTCAAAAAACCGGCACACCAATCTCCCTTCCTCTCTCTATCCTCTCTTGGAGCTCCAGAGTCCACACCCCCCTGCCCCGGGATCGCGTACAAGCTATGGCTACCGTAGGCCACACTAGCGTCGCTGGGGGTTCCCTGCCCTAGATGGGAAGCTGGCCGCTGATCCGAAGACCGACTGCACCAGGGCGCCTAGATATACTCGAGGTGAGCGAGGGTGAAGTTACGCCTTAAATGCCGGCCTCTCTACTGTGGACCTTACTCCGAGCTCGTTGGCTCCTCCTATTCCCCCACCCCCCCTCCCCCCCCACTCTCTCCGAGCAAGGGCGTGCGCTACGTCCCCAAGGGGGGGGGGACGTGGGGGGGAGGTGTGGCGCTTGGGTTGTGGCGTTTGGGTTGTTGTGGGGCACCCAAACGGTTTCGGTTTTCCTCCTTGGTGCCCCGAGTAGAGCGCGATCTCCCCTGGAGTCTGTCGCGCCCGTTCTGTCTAAGCTCGAGGTTCAACCTTCCAGTTGATCCTTATCGGACTGGTGAGGTCTGCCTAGCCGTCGTAGTGTAGTGCCTGGGGTGCGTCTGCGTCGGTGCTACACACACTCGGCAGGACGCTGCTCTAGGTCGTTGCTGCTGGTCGTCGCTGTTTGTCAAGGTGATAAATCGTTTCTCTTTTGTTTCAACAAAATGACTCTCACAGTGACTTCTTTGTGTGGCCAAAAACATGTCCGAGATAAACCCGAACCCGGGCCTTTAGATCGGGGTCGAAGGTGCTACACACACTTGCCCCCTGGTGGTCTGGCACTCGGCGTTATTCCTACTGTGGGGTTAGGCTGTTTTTCTTTTATTTTCTGAATCTCGGGGGGGGAGGGGGGAAGTGGGTTCCGGTGTTTTTTCGTTGCACTATGCACATACGTAAAATTTGCGCTTAGTGCAAAGTGCAAAGTGCAAAGTCCAAAGACCAAAGTGCAAGTCGCCCTCGTGTTTTTCTTTTTATGCTTTGGCAGTAAAAAGAGCTGTGTGCGGCAGGCGCAGGCTCGGCCGATATCCAATACTTCGACTCACATCTTCGCTGCGGTGTGCCCGGGGAGGCGCGGCGGCGGGGTGGATTGAGAAGGCTCAGAGTGCAGAGAGACTGCAGGCGTGCAGAGGCGCGCGCTGCAGTTTCTCTGATCGGGCTGCTGGCGGTGTGAGCGCGGGGTGGCGTGGTGAGGCGTGAGGCAGGCTATTGTTGTGGAGTGCGGGCTGCATCGTCAGGCGTATGCGTGCACATGGTGTTGTATGCTGTGTGTGCAGGCTGGCAGTCTGTGCAGCAGAGAGCGGAAGCGCGCGCGCGCGCGCGCGCGTGCGGGCGTGCGTGCGCGCCTGCGCGGTGCCGGATCTGCGTCTCACTCGCGGCGCGTCCTGGTACAGCCGCTTATGAGATGCCAGAAGCAGTCTGCAGAGCCTGCACAGGGCGCAAAAAGGCGCAGGTGTGCTGGTGAGGTGTGCTGCGGCGCGCGCGTCGCGGCGTGAGTGGATATGCGGCTGCCTCTGGTGGTGCGAGGGGCGCGCAGCTGGTGCGGGCGGCGCGGGACGGCCATGGGGCGCCAGCACAGGGCAGACGCACATGGGCACAGCTCTGAAAGGCGCTGCGCGTGTTTGCGTGCGCGCGGGGACGTACGCGCAGTTTTCACGCGGTGTGCCTGGAGAAGGGCATGAGAGGCGCCGGCCGCGCGTGTATTGGCGTGTGGGAGTTCGGAGTATGCCCGGAGGGCGTGATGGTGCCCGAAGGGCGGTCCTCCATGCGGAGGTGAACCTTTTCAAAAAAAGAAAAGGTGACGACGACGCCCTATACCGAACCCTCTTACTACACGGCGAAGAGAGACGGAGGAACGTTTGGCTGCCAGACATATGCGGGCCTCGAATGCGTGCCACGCACGCAGCCAGCACGCAGACACGATGTTCACGACCCAGCCAGCACGCAGCGGGAAGCTGGCGGTGGACACGGGCTCGACTTCCTTCTATCACGTCGCGGACACCCACCAGAAGCACTGTTTCGCGCGACGACCCGCCTCCCTGCCCGTCGACCGGGCGTTTGAGTCCGAGTAGATCGCGGGGGCGCTAGTCGCCATTCTCCTCCGTCAACTTTCCAATGCACGGGTCGATCTTAGCCCACTTGTTGCCGGTGCTCAAGTTGCGCGCGAGGAGCGCGGGGATGTGCACAAAGAGGTGCGCGATGAAGGGCAGCGGATCCGCCACGTCAAAGTAGGCGTCCTTCTTCGTCGCCACCGTCGACAGGAGCGCGCCCGCGGATCGCAAGGAGAAGGGCCTCTTGGAGAGCAGCGCCCAGATCTGCAGGGGGGGGGGGGGGGGGGGGGGCCAAAAAAAGGCCTCAACTCCCCCCTTTCCCCAGGGGCGGGGGCTTTGGGGAAAAACGGCCCTCCCTTCCCGTTTCCCGGGAGGGGGGGCCCCCCCCCCCCCCAAAAAGGAAAAACCTTTCCCCCTGGGCCCGGGGGGGGTCCCCCCGGGCAACCCCCTTGTGGGGGCGGAAGAGGGCCCCCCCAAAAGGGGGGTTCCAAAACAGGTTGAGCACGTTCGACGAGAAGCGCGGGTTGCACTCGATCGCGTACGGCGTGCCGCTCTGCGCGTCGACGATGAAGTCGATGCAGACAACCCCGCTCAGCCGCCGCGCGGCGCAAAAGTCGCGCACCCACGAGCGCAGCGCCTCGCTGCGTGCGGGCGTGTAGTTGAAGCAGGAGAGGCACGCGCGGTTGTCGGTGAAGGCGAGCAGGCGGCCCTCCTTGACGAGCGCACACGTCGAGTACTCGTCGCCGACCACAAAGGTCTGGATGATCCACGGGTTCTCCTGCGAGCGGCGGGAGGAGAGGGGGGCGGCGTGAGGCGCGCGGCTCAGGGCTGGCGGCGGGAGTGGCGCCGCGGCCTGGCCTGCGTGATTGCCGCGCCGTCGGTGTGGAGCTTGGCGAGGTAGGCGTCGAGCACGTCGGGCGCGCAGGGCAGCGTGAAGAGGTCGAGCCGGTGCATAGAGTCGTAGGCGAGGCTCTTGAGGATGTAGCGCGTCTCCGCGCCAGCCGTGGCCGTAGCCGCCTCCGCGAGGAGCTTCTCGTTGAAGGCGTGCGCCTCCTCGTCGGACGCCACGCGGTGCGAGCGCGGCGCGGGCAGTCCGAGCCTCTCCGCGCTGCTGCAGAAGGCGGTCTTGTCGTCCAGGTCGCGCACGGTTTCCAGGTCGAGCGACCACGAGACGCAACCAGCGGGCAGGACGGGCGCAACCTGCGCCTCGTACTCGGACGCCGCGGGCGAGGTGACGGGAATGAAGAGGTCGGCCTTCTCCTCGATGGCGAGCGCGCGCACCGCGTCGAGGTAGCCGGCGAGGTCCTTCTCCGGCAGCGGCACCATCGCAAAGCGGTCGACGCAGTTGCTCGCGCGCGAGGCGACCATCCAATACTTGGACGTCTCAAGGAGGACGACGCGGCACCCCTGCGCCTTGAGCTGCCGCGCAATCACGTAGGCCTTGGTCATCTTGCCTCCCGAGACGATGGCAACCTTGCCGTTGGGCTTCACCTCGTCGCACCGCTTGCCGCCGATGGCCGCAAGCCGCTCGCCAAAGGTTCTCCCGAGGGCCACGAGCACGGCCCAGCAGGCGACAACGAGGGGCGCGCAGGCAAAGATGCCGACCAGCGTCGCGACCGACCAGAGGCGCGGCTCGATCGCCTGCCGCCACGTCCTCGGTGCAACAGCGCACTCGGCCGGCTCGAGCTCCGCTGGGTCAGCCTCTGGCGTCCTCTCTGAGGCGAACTCGGTGTCGGTGTCGGAGGAGTAAACGTCAGAGGTGCTCGTCTCCGTCAAGATGGGCGTAACCGGGCGCAGCTTGTACGCGCAAATGGACTCGTTGTCGCTGGAGATGTCGTCGGAGGAGGTGCTGAGCTCTGTAGGCGTAGCCGGCCTCTGCTTTGCGTACTCCGTCTTAGGCGAGATCGGCCTGATGAGGACAGAGTAGAGCATGTCCTCGTCGCTGATGTCAATCGGGGTGGCGTAGCCCATGGCGGAGCTCTTGCTTTGCAAAGTCCCGTGCTTTCGTGATGAAGTCACGGAGTTTTCGGGTGAATGTTGCACAAAACTCTTGAGAATTCCACAGACGGCACTCCAAGTGCTCCAAGTTCCAACCACGGCATTTCCAACCAAAGTCCCCCCCGGGCCACCGCAGACATGGCAGGCCATCACTGGTCAGACAGACTGAAAGATTCATTCACAGATTTTAGAAAACCTTCTCCAGATTTTTGCGATAGATAGGAATCCAAACAAAACGTAACAGCTACACCAGTAAGCTAAAAGTACACTGAGAGAGAGAGAGAGCACACACATACACTGAAAAACTGTCCCTTGCCTCGTGTCTAGAATTGTGTCTAGAAACTTCAATGAATTGCCGAGAACCCGACGCGAACGTGTCATCATCTTCGCAGCTCATCTTCGCCCAACCACACTGCCGAGCCATGGTAGCCAGCCTCCGCGTGCTCCACGTTGCTGGCTCGCCCGTCTCGCAGTACTACAGCATGATCTCCGTCCATTACGCCCGTCAAATGCTCGCTGGCTCCTCCGACGAGGCGACCAAGGCCTCGTTCGAGTTCACCTTTGCCGTCGTCCTGCCCGGAGGCGCATGGTGCATCGTGCCCGACCTCGACCAGGGGACAATCGACGATGCGCCCAAGCTCGAGCACGGAGCAGCGCTGAGCACGCTCGCCGCCTCCGACTTCGACGTCTGCGTCCCGCATATGTTCTGCTGGCCCGGATACACTCAGTATCGCTCGATCTTTGATCTGATCGGCGTGCCGCTGGTTGGCAACACGGCCGAATGCATGGCCCTGATCACCGACAAGCAGCAGACGAAGGCCGTGGCCGCCGCCGCGGGCGTACCGGTGCCGCCTGGCGAGCTCCTCCATTCGCCCGACCAGGCGCTGACCTCACCGCTGCCGCCCTCCCGCTGTTGCTCTCCCGCATATTCCAGTTGCCCTCGCGCTCACTCCGCTGCTGCCTCTCATTTCCGCGCCCTACCCGCCGCGTCCAGACGCCGACGGTCGGGTACCCATTCGTCCTCAAGCCGTGCTGCGAGGATAACTCGATGGGCATCTCCAAGGTGGAGGAGGCGGGCGAGCTGCGCGCGTCGCTCGTGGAGGCGTTCAAGTTTGACAGCAAGGTGGTCTGCGAGAAGTTCATCCCGCTCGGCCGCGAGATCCGCGTTGCGGTGGTCGAGGACGAGGCGGGCGAGCCGTCAATCCTGCTGCCCGCCACCGAGTACCTGCTCACGCCCGAGCACCCGATGCGCACGTCCACCGACAAGATCTCTGTGACGGAGGAGGGGCTGCCCGACGCCGACAAGTTCTTCGCCACCAACCGCGAGGAGGCGCCCGACTTCCGCCGCTCCGTCTGCCCCGCGCCGCTCGACGACGCGCTCACCGCCAAGCTCGGCGAGGCGGCCCGGCGCGCCCACAAGGCGCTCCGCTGCCGCGACTTCTCCATCTTCGACTTCCGGGTTGACCCCGAAGGCGAGGTGTACATGCTCGAGTGCCAGCCCGTCTGCTCCTTCGCGCGCGAGTCGGCGATGATTGGCATGGCCTCCAAGACGGACCGGCCCGAGCTGCAGCACCCGCAGCTCTTCCACACGATGCTACGCCGCGCCGCGGCGCGCAAGCCCAAGCCGTTCGATGCGTCGCAGAAGCTGGGCATGAAGGCTGCAGCTCGATCCACCTCGCCCTGCTCGATCGTGACGACCGCGACCTGAGCGCGCCCCCCGGAGATGAGACGTGCGTATGGGAGGCTTTTGCCCTAGAGCTTTTGCCCAAAGGGTCTGTGACAGCGAGAGTTGTGTCCGTCGTGAGTGTGTGTGGTCGCTGGTCGGACCCTTGCGCCCACCACTGTTGAGAAGTGTACCGTACCTTACCCCCTGGTACTTGAAAGCCCATGCGTTTTTTACGTGCCAGTGCGCGCAGTCCCGTGCCCAGTTTGTGCGAGGCGCTTCGTCGTAAATTTTCTGTGGCCAGTGTTGAGATTGTAAAATTCTCACTGCTGCGTTCGTCCCTTGTGCGCTTGTCGTTCCATGCATGCGCTCTTCCCACGAGGCACAACAGCACGGCGCCTGGCCAGATGGTGTCGCGCTCTTCCTTGTCGGCGCCTCCTCATGGACGCTTGTGAGTGGTGTCTTTGCGTCTGCGGTGTGGGAGATTCGGAGCGCCCCCGAGGGCTATGCGCTCTTCTCATCGATCGATGTCGCTGTGCAGGTCTGCAACGTCGCTCCAGCAGCGCTGGTCCTCCTCGCCCCCGAAGGATGGGTTGATGCGAATAGCGAGCATCTCACCTGCTCGCTTCTCGGGCTCGGTCTCGCTACCGCCGCTTGGCTCTGCCTCGTGGGCTCGCGTCTTCAAACCGCCTCGACGTCGCTCGGCCTGCTCATCGGGGCAGCGGCAGCTGGGCTCGTCGGGACGACTGCGATGGTCTGTTTCTTTCCGTATGCCGCCACCTTTCGCGGCCGCGTGAGCGTCGCCGCCCTGTCGGCTGGCGTTGGCGCCTGCGGCCTCGCCGCGCAGATACTCGCGTATGCTGCGGACGGCGGCGAGCGATTTGGCTCGCGCGAGTACTTTATTGGTGTGGGCGTCGTCCAGTTGGCGGGCCTGCTCGGACAGGCGTGGCTGCGAGCCAACGCGGCGACGGCAAAGTGCTCCGAGGCTCCCCGACTCGAGACAGAGGAGCACAAGGGCACCCTTCGCGGATGGGCGGCGCGACACGGCCGCGGCCTCAGATCGGCGGGCGAATATCCGCTGGTTGGCGTATCCGTAACTTGCGTGCTCAACTTTGCGATGCCGAGCCTGCTGCCCTATTTGAACCCAAGCGTGTGCGATGCGGACGCCCTCTTTTGGCTGACAGCCCTGTGGAACGGGAGCTCTGTCCTCGGCCGGCTCGCCGCCTCCTACCACCCGCTCCAGGGCTATGTCGTTGCAAACGCCACGCAGGCCGCCATCCTGGCTGGTGCCGTCGCCGCCGCCGCTCGCGCCGCTCCGCCACCAACCGCAGTCTCGCTGCCCTTGGTGTGCCTCTCCTCGGTCCTCCATGGCCTGGTCGTCACGTCCGCCTTTGTTGCCGCCTCCAACGCGGGAGGGACGGGCTACGTCGGGCTTGCGAACCAGGTGGGGGCGCTGCTGGGAAGCCTCTTCGCGCTCGTGCTGGTGAGGGCCGGGGCGATCCCGGACGCCGGCGGGCCAACGTGTTGAGAAAAGAGTTTTACAAGTCACTCTCTCTCACGAAAAAAAACGGTTAGTTTTGAAACTAAGGCACAAAAACTCAGCGGTTGGTGCACCCCTCACACTCACACATTCCCCTCATCCCGACACCCTTGGCTGAGCACATCTTCCTGCGAGCTAGCATCTCCGCATTTTCTCTTCCAGTCATCCGCCCGCGCCGCGCGCCATCTCTGGGCGTCTAGTGCAGCCACTGACAGAGCTATTCCGAAGGAGTGGTCGACGCCTCGCCTAGAGTCGGGTGGGCCCGCGCACTGCTTAGCCCTGAGGGGGGAGTGTGTGTGAGGTGGTGTAATGTTGTCCCGTTTCAGGTGGCAGGTCAGGGGATTAGCCGGGAGGATTCGGCAGCTCAGGCTGGGGTTGAGCGTCTGCAGGCCTTCCGCCCGCGCCGAAATTCACAGGACACAGCCCTCCCGGGCCGGCGGGGTGCTCCTTGGATCGGGCCCCGCTCCCCGCTTTTCCTGTACCTGGACTGTCCGGCCGGGTCCGCCAAACGGGACCGTTGACGACTCGGAGGTGCTGCACAAGGCGTACTCGGCCCCCAGGCCTACTATACTGCGGTGCGGTCTACAAGACCCTGTACAAGAATGAGAAGAAAAAATCAGTGACGAGGACAAAACCATCCAGCCTCGAGGGAAAGGACATCGTCAACGGTCCCAACTGGATCGGCCCACCCATCGACCGCACCCAGCCCCGGAACGACTCGAACAAGTACGCCGTCGACACCAACAACATTTCGAATTCGAAATGCCACGATTACCCCGTAAGTAAGGTGAACCCGTCAGGGTGGGGCTCCTCCGGGCCGTACCTCGGTATTCCCTAGGAATGCGGCTCAGCTCGCGGGCCACCAGCCAGCCCACGACCCGCTCCCTCTGTCGCGGGTCGCAAGGGGGTTGGTCCCGCTGCATGACGCGCACTCGGAGCCGCCGCCGCCTCTCTCTGTCGGCAGCCAGATAGAGGCTGCCCGGACAGCCCGGCGGCGTGGCAAGCACCCGCGCGCCACAACGAGCGTGGCGGGCGACGCCTCGGGCCATGACTGTCTGTGCACACACAGCGCGCTACATGCCTACATCGCGCTCGGCTCTCGCGCTCCCCGGACTGCTACCCGTACCCCCACTGGGACACAGAGTGTGTCTGAGTGTCTGAGCTCTGTCACTGCTTTATAAGCCAGATTTCGACCATCGACCAGGTAGGTACAAGGTGGTCCGTGCACCAGGTGCAGCTGCAGCTGCAGGTCGTGGAGACGGAGGTGCAGGTAAGGTATGGTAAGGTAAACGTCTCCACAGTCGCACAGACCACACACACATCAGTCATCACACAAAGTGGTGGGGCAAGGGGGGGCGACCCTCGCATCTCCACGCCCGGGACACGGGCAGGAGCCCGGTCAGTGCAGAACTTGGGTGCGGGAGGCACTGGGACACTCTCTGTCACGACTGAAACCGCCCCAGGTCCCCACGACGCACGAGCCACGAGGGTCGGTCCCCCACACTGAGCGCTGTTTACTGACAGCTGCAGCCGCGCCACTGGGAGCGGGACTAGTGGAGCGGGTGTCGAAGGGGACGTGCCCACATGGTGCGGGACACCGCAATGTCGGCGGTTGCACAGCAGCCTTGAGTTGGTAGGGCCGAGCTTTGCTATTGCCATCAAGGCGACCTCTGCTTTCCGCCCTCGCCCTCGCCCCTGCTGGCCAGCGAGAAAGAAGCGACTCCCGCTCCCATCCCACTCACACAGGTGCGTCGACGCTGCTTCGTTTGCGCCTGCGCCCCTTCCACTCGTAGACGAAAACAGAGTAGTTTTTTGGTACGGTGCCTACAAAAAATATCCGAGAGCGCATGCAGGATTTACGGCGTTCTCCTTGAATTGATTTTTTATTCGCTTCCGCGAACCGACGCCGGCGAATCAGAAAATGGTGGCGGCCTTCGCGGCACTAGTGACGCCTCTGCTGTCGACATTTGCTCCCGCGCCGCGGTCAACTCAGCAGGCACAATTAGGGACGACTCGCCATGTCGGCAGCCTCCCGCACGTCGTGCGGCACCCGCCCGCTCGCTCGGCGCTAGATCCCGCCCTCGTAGAGGCATCCACTGTGAGCGGTGCTGCCGCGCTGGGCGGCAGCCTGGACCCTGCGCTCGCCGAGGCCTCCGCTGCGAGCGGCGCGGCGACGCTGGGCGGCATCGGCGGCCTGCTCAGCAATCCGGCGCTGCTCAGCAATCCCGCGATCGCGGCGGCGGGCGTCGGGCTCGTCGTCGTGGCCACCGCGGTGCGCGACTACCTCGAGGCTCCGCTGGGCGCGCCGTACCCGGCGAACGCGAAGGGCTACGACCCGGCCGCGGCGAACCGCTTCTACCGCGCCCGGCTGCCCAAGGTTGCGGCGCGCCTCCTTCGGCTCGGCTGGCTGACGTTCGGCTTCAACGCCAAGCTCGCGCTCGACTTCGCGGCGTACAAGCGGGCGGGCTCGCCGGAGGGGGAGCCGTGGCCGAACGAGGCCGACCGCGGGCGGGAGGCGCTCGCGCTGGCGACCCAGCTCGGGCCTACCTTCATCAAGCTCGCGCAGGCGCCTCTGAATTGATTAATAATTACCTTCATTAATTATTTACCTTCATCAAGCTCGCGCAGGCGCCTCTGAATTGATTAATAATTACCTTCATTAATTATTTACCTTCATCAAGCTCGCGCAGGCGCCTCTGAATTGATTAATAATTACCTTGATTAATTATTTACCTTCATCAAGCTCGCGCAGGCGCCTCTCCTTGATTAATAATTACCTTGATTAATTACTTACCTTCATCAAGCTCGCGCAGGCGCCTCTCCGACTCTTCCGAGACACTCCTCCTGGACGCTTCCTGCACCGTCCCTCCTAGACTGCCCTAGCTTGGCCCCATCCTCAGCTCACCCCCCTCAGGCGCTCTCGATCCGCACCGACCTCATCCCAGAGGCGTACGCACTCGAGCTGCGCCAGCTGCAGGACGCCGCTCTTCCCGTCGCGCTGCAACCGTCCCTCAACCGGCGGGCCCTAAGCGTCCCTGAACTCTCCTGCAGGACGCGGTGCCGCCCTTCCCGTCGACGCAGGCCAAGGAGATCCTCGCGAGCGAGCTGGGCCTGCCCGGCGGCGCCGCGGCGCTCGCTTCGACATTCCCGCTCCCTGTCGACGGAGGAAGCTTCGCTGAAGCTTCTCCGAACCTTCCTATAGGCGCTCGCCTCCACTTTCCGCTCCCTGTCGACGGAGCCGCTCGCCGCCGCCTCCATCGGCCAGGTCTACCGCGGCACGTTGCACGACGGCCGCACCGTGGCGGTCAAGGTCCAGCGGCCCGCCATCCTCGACGAGATCGGCCTCGACCTCTACCTGCTCCGGCTGCTCACCCCGCTGCAGACGCGCATCTCCAACGCCGTCAACAGGCTGCCGACCTACGACGCGGACATCGCGTCCGCACAGGCCCTCGCCGACGAGTGGGGCGCGACATGATGGCTCTGGCGGAGTAGCAGATCAAACGGACTCCTTAGGCCCTCGTCGACGAGTGGGGCCGCGGCTTTGTCGCGGAGACGGACTACCTGTACGAGGCCGACAACACCGAGTCGTTTGCCGAGGCACGGGCGCGGCCTCGGCGCGGCGGCGCGATGCACTCCTCAGCCTGTGTTGGTTGATTGCGCAGGCGATGGCGCGGCGCGGCCTCGGCGCGGTGACGTCGCCCGCCGTGGTGCGCGAGCTCTCCTCTTCGCGCGTGCTCGTCACAGAGTGGGTCGACGGCACGCGACTCGACCTCGACGCGTCGCCCGACGTGCCGCGCCTCTGCGGGGTGGCGATCAACGCGTACCTGACGATGCTCCTCGACACGGGCGTGCCGCACCCGAGATCGCCCGAGATCGCCCGAGATCGCCCGAGATTGCTCGGCACGGGCGAGCGCCGCAACGGGTGATCTCGGACCCATCTCGGGCGATCTCGCTAGGCGTGCTGCACTGCGACCCGCACCCGGGCAACTTGCTGCGCACGACGGACGGCAAGCTCTGCATCCTCGACTGGGGCATGACGCTGGGCGTGCCGCAGGATTTGCAGTACTCTCTGATTGAGTTCATCGCGCACGTCAACGCCGAAGACTACGCCGCTATGCCGGACGACTTTGTCCGGCTCGGCTTTACGCCACCGGAGCAACTCGAGCGGGTGCGAGCCTCCAACCTGACCGAGGGCCTTTCCTTCGTCTTGCGGCAGCTCTCGCAAGGCGGGGGAGGCAAGAAGCTGCAGGCGCGCGTGCGGGACGAGTGGCGCGAGCAGTACGACCCCGGCGGCTTGCTCAGCAAGGAGGAGCTGCGCGCCAAGGTGCGCGAGGGGTTCTACGCGCAGGCGCGCACGCAGCTCGAGGCGGACGGGGTCGAGGGCGCGAGCGTGATGGACGTGCAGAATGTGATGGAGAAGATGCAGCAGCGCAACCGCGAGCTCTTCCAGGTGCCGCCGTACATCCTCTACGTCGCGCGCGCCTTCTCCACCCTCGAGGGGATCGGCCTCTCCTCCAACGAGGACTACTCCATCGTCTCGGAGGCCTCCCCGCACCTCTCCAAGCGCCTGCTCCTCACACGAGCTCGTCACACCTCCTCTCGACACCTCAGGCCTTCCCGTACCTCTCCAAGCGCCTGCTCACCGACGACTCGCCGCGCGCAAAGGCCGCACTCCGCTCGATGGTCTACGGCGCCGAGGACAAGGACGCACCCCCCCCCCCCCCCGCCCCTCGCCCCTCGCCCCACCACCCTTGTGTGTGTGGCGAGCTTGACCTCACCTCACCTCACCTGGTCTCAGGACGCCTCCAACGCGACGCCGAACCTCAGCAAGGTGCTCTCCATGGGCGACGGATTCACCTCCTACTCCTCCGCCACCGCCGCCGTGCCGCAGGCTGCGGCGCCTCCCGCGGCCGGCAAGGCGGCCTCGCCCGCCCCCGCCGACGCCGCCCCCGCCGCGCCGCCGCCCGGTGCCGCCGCCGCGCCGCCGCCAGCCAGCGGCGGCGCGGACGCGGCGCAGGAGGAGCTGGTCGATCTGCTCCTCTCGGCGGACGGCGGCTACGTGCAGGAGCTGCTGCTCGAGGAGGCGGCCAAGCTGGCCGACGCCGCGGTGCGCGACACGATCGCGCAGGCGGGGCCGGCGGCAGCGGCGCTGCCCGCGGGCCTTGCATGAGCCGATTCGGGTCTCTTCCTCTCAGGCGGGCAGCTCGGCGGTGGCGTCGCGCGTGGCGGAGGCCCTCCGTGCGCCAAAGGCGACCGCACACCCGGCGGCTGGCTCTGCGACCCTTCTGAGAACCTTCTCGGAACCTTCCTGCAGGCGATCGCCGACTCGACGGTCGGCTCGCTGCCCCTGCCCGGCCCCCTCCGCTCGCTGTACGAGGCGGCGCTGCTGCCGGCGACTGTCCTCGACGAGGCGACAATAACCCAACTTTCAAACATTGATGAGGTGGTGAGTCATACTAGGCGACCGTCCTCGACGAGGTGACGCGCCTGCTGCCGGCGCTTGCGCGGCGCAGCGACCTCGACGCCGAGACGCTCGCCTCGTTCGGCAGCCTCTGGGACAAGCTCTCCGATGCGGGCGGCGAGGGAGTCGAAACGAAGCAGGCGGCGGAGGGCGATGCGGCGGGGCTGGTGCCGCCATCGCTCGCCAGTGTGCAGAGCAGCGCGGGTCCCCCTTGCCGCCCCCCGTTCGAGCCGCCCTCCGCCCCGAGATGACCCGAGATGACCCGCGAGAGTAGGCCCGCTCATCGAGGAGCTCTCTGACCCGCACTCGAAGCTGCGCCACCGTTTGCCCGCCATCGGAGCCCTCTCGCGCCGCTTTGGCGCGCTGCTGCTCCGCCGCGTCGCGGCGCGCCTCGAGGCGGACGCAGACGCGCCGGACGCGCCCGGGATCGCGCGCCCGCTCGCGGAGCGTGCGGCGGAGATCGACCGCAGTTTGGCGGCCGTGATTGAGCCGGAGGCGGGGGCGACGGGAACCGGCGAGAAGGCGCGGGTGAAGGGGTGACACACGGGCGAGCGACCGCACGCGGCGCGCGGGGCGAGAGGAGAGATACTCGTTGGGACTCCACACGAGTGGGGTAGTACAGGTAGAGGGGTGAAAGGTGTTTTTTCGTCTCAAAGCACTTTGAAAACGCGGGAACTACACAACTACTACTAGCCAGGCGCCGTGTTTTTTTCACGGCGCAATAAAGCGCGGAAAAGCAAAATCGTAAAGCGGCTAAAACGCGCGGCGAAAACAACCAGTCGCAGATGACACCTCACAGCTTCGATCTCGGACCCGCCCCGATCAACGCGGCGAGCTTCTGCGCGAGGCGCATGTCGCCCTTCAGCTTCATCTTGCCGCTCAAGTAGGCGCTCATCCTGCGAGAAAGGAGACGGAGTTCGTTGGCCACGCGAGCGTCAATGCTGTCCGGCTGGTAGCCTCCGGGGGGCGGGGCGTCGCGGCTGGCGGCGCTCGGGGCGGCGATTTGGCATGCTCTGGCAGTGCGCTCCCATTCAGCTTCCCCGCCGCCAGCGCGACGAGGTGCGCGTCCGAAATGGTGACGAGGCAATCCGGCTTGGTCGCGGGCTTGCCGACGGCAACGCGCGGCGCGGCGTCGCTCCTGGCCACCACCCACCACTCGGCGACCGCGCCGCCGGGCCCGCCCGTCACCGTGAAGCCGAAGCTCCCCTCCACCTTGGCGGGCAGCCGGGGCTGCGTCCGCAGGTTGGCCGCCATGCGAGCGAAGACTGCGTCGCTCTCGAAGCCGGGCGGGGTGCCCACGATCGCGTCGCCCGCGCGCCCCGCTGCGCCTGCCGCCGCGCCGGCGCCAGCGGCTGCAGGCGCGCCACCGCCGGACGGCGTGGCGGCGGCGGCAGCGGCTGCAGGCGCGCCACCGCCGGACGGCGTGGCGGCGGCGGCAGCGCCGCGCTTTCTGGCTGCTGCCGTGAGCCCGGCTAGCTTCTGGGCCAGCCCGATGTTGCCCTTGATCTGCGGCGGCGCGGCGCGTCGGTGAGATGGGAGGGCGTGGCGGCGGGAGGCGCGTGGCGCGTCCGCCTTCATCTTGCCGCTCATGTACGCCGTGGTGCCGTTGAGCGTGCCAGCGTAGAGCTTGAGAAAGTCCGGCTCGCTCATGGTAATAGTGGCGTCCGGCGCAGACGCCCTGCCCTCCGCGACGCTGCCCTCGCCGGTGCAGCTTACCGTCCACGATACAGAGCCGAGCTCGAACTGGAGCACTCCGCCGACCTTTGAGGCGAGCGTGGCGTCGGCCTGCATCGCCTTCCCGATGGCGTCGAACGCCTCGCTCGCCGATGCAGCCATGCCTCTGCAAAGAGGAAAAAAGATAAACACCGCGCACACTCACTCTCTCAAATGACTGGCGGAGACGGAGTAGGCGACGGAGACGCGGGAGAGGCTGCCTGGTCACCCTCGCTCCGCCGCTGAGCCGCTGGTGCCGACGCGCTCAGCGAGGCAGGCAGGCAGGGCTCGCAGCAGCAGCTTGGGGAGGGCGAGGCATGGCGCGGCCACGAGCGAGTAGCGCGCAGATCAGTGCTTTTGTCGACTTTTGCTCGCTCTCTGTGCACTCGCAACGCCAGAGGCCGTGCTTGGAGAATGCGTCGCAGTGCTGCTGCGCCTGTGGATTGAGCCGCGGCGCAAGCTCCATCGGTGAGCTGCGGCGGCGCGCCGGCCGCTCCATGCATAGCTCTCCGGCGAGCGGCCGCAAACGCGTTTTCCGTCCGCCGTTTCATCGAGTTTGCCCGAGTGGTAAAATGCAATCGAATTTGCCCGAATGGTAAAGTGCTAACTTTGGCATTTGGTAAAAGTTGTCCGAGTGGTCTGTGGGGAAAAAACCAAAGCAGAAGCGTGGCCACAAGAGCTAAAGGTCAACATCCCCTCCGGCTACGACAATGTGAACCTGATCTGGTCCTCACGGGGTTGACCCGCCTCCTCCAGATCGAGACGGGCGGGCAATATTTCTTCATTACAATTATTAATTGATGCTTTTTGCACGGCTGAGCCCCCCCCCACCCCCCTCCCCCGCGCCCATTCCCTGCCCTCTCCCGCCACACACTCCGTCAGAGCCCCCTCCCCTCTTGCACAACAGGAATTTTGACAATTAACCAGATGGAGGATCAAGATGGAAGCACGAAGCTTCCATCCCGGCGGTGGTTCGAATCCACACGAGCCGAAGGGTGAAGGGGGAGGCAGGCCCGAGGTCTGAAGCTCACCCATTGTGGAAGTGAGTGTTAGACCTAAAGGCGCCGACCTTTAGGTCTAACAGTGAGAACTGCTCGACCCACCTCTGATCCTGATGAACAAGCTCCTCTTGTAGCTCGATCGGTCACACCGCCATCGCCGTCGGGGAGAGGGGGGACGACACTGCTTCTGCAGCGTGCACCTCGATCCCGTACCGTGTTTGTTATGACCTCCCCCAATGAACACACCAGTGAGGGTGGGCGAGACGATCGAGGGGTCCCGTACCATGCGGAATCGACCCTATCCAGTGCTCAAGTGCTCAAGAAAGGTGAAGAACAGCTGGGAGGAGGGTGCGTACGAAGCGGAGACGCTGGAGGCGCTCGCCGAGTTCGGCGATTGAGCGCCTCCCTCTGTCTCCGGCTGCGCGCCTGACCGGTGCGGCCTCCGAGTCGGCGTCTAGCGAGCGCGAGCGATAAGATTTTTGCTCGCCTTCCCTGGGTCCCCGTGTTGCGTGTCTGACTGTCACTGAGCTATTTCGGGGCCCGGGGTTGTGCGTTTATGCCTAGCGCCCTCACACAAAAACGAGGCAGGCTGGGCAGGGCTCGGCGGCACACGGCGGATGCTGTGCGTCACTGGGCCACAAGTTTGGTTTCGGCAACACCCTCGACCAAACCTTGCTCAAGGTTCTTCATGGGTGCAAAGAGCGCGGCCACAAGTCACAGGGCCTGCTCGTCCATGCGACCGGTAAAGGCTGGGTCAAAGGGCACAAGGGACAGTACTACGACGCGCTCCATGTCAAGAGAACGGAATCGTCAAAATTTGTCTCGTCGAAAGCCAGGGCGGCATCGCGCCGCCAACCAAGAGAATCATCCACAACTTCGCCAAAGAGGTCAGCAGCCCGAGCGCCGTCGACCGCACCGACTACGGCACAGCCTCCGGCAGCGCCCGGGGCTTTGTCCAGCACCACTCGCAACAGCTCTCGCGCGCCGCCGTCTGTGGCGACGCGCAAAACATCAACAACGCTGCTCGCAACATGCGTGTCGCGCACTCATTCATGACCGGTCTCAATGCCCCACCCCCCTGCGCGCGGGCCTTCTAGGCCCGCGGGTAGTCTCCCCCCATTCCCAGGGCCTCCAGGGCTCGCACCTCAACCTCTCACAGACCAGCGCACAGCGCCATGGGACGTATTTTCTTCTCAATAACAAGGCTGTGAAGAACAGCTGTCGACCACCGTGGTGCCGTTAATTTGCCAGCGTAGAGCTTGAGAAAGTCCGGCTCGCTCATGGTAATAGTGGCGTCCGGCGCAGACGCCCTGCCCTCCGCGACGCTGCCCTCGCCGGTGCAGCTTACCGTCCACGATACAGAGCCGAGCTCGAACTGGAGCACTCCGCCGACCTTTGAGGCGAGCGTGGCGTCGGCCTGCATCGCCTTCCCGATGGCGTCGAACGCCTCGCTCGCCGATGCAGCAGCCATGCCTTCTGCAAGAGGAAAAGAGAATTGTTAAAAAAGAGAAACCGCATGGAACGCACTCTCTCAAATGACAAGCGATCCCACGACAGCGATTGGGGACTACATGATCCGTACGTGAAGAAAAAGAAGGTGGGATGAGAGCGTGTTGCCGCATTGCCGCTTGCACCTGGCACTGGCGCAGACGGAGTAGGCGACGGAGACGCGGGGGAGGCTGCCTGGTCAGCCTCGCTCCGCCGCTGAGCCGCCGGTGCCGGCGCGCTCAGCGTTAGAGTAGCGCGCGGGCGGGAGAAGCGCGGCTAAACCGGCCGTGCCAGCCCACGAGGCCGCATTCATTTCATTAATTATTCATCATTCACGAGGCCGCAGCAGCTCGCCTCCGCTCGTCACTTGCTCACTTCCCTCGGCCGGGGGACACATCGAGCCGCTCAAGGAGTGTCACACGCGCGCGCATATCGCACATCCCCTGTATCTCTTTTCTCGTCTCTCCGGGTTTACACATCCCGCTTATTCCACAGCGCCGACCTGAGCGGGCCCCCGCGCAAGAGTTGGAGTGGCGACACCTGACGGCTGCCTGACGGACGAGGTCGCTGGCAGCCGGCCATGCAGCTGCTCGACCACGAGGGACGTAACGCGGCGGCTCAGCCCTCGTCTGCCGCCGCACACGCCGCCTGCCTCGCCGCCATCGACGAGCGGCTGCGGCGCGCGGCGGGCGATGGGATGCCGCTCCGGGCGCGGACGGCGGTCCAGCTGCCGCCGCCGGCTCCTGCCGGGCCCGGACGCGCGTCGCTCGCCTTTCTTATCATGGCGCACCGGCGCTTTGCGCACGCGACGGTCGCCCGCCTCGTGCGCGCGCTCGACGCGCCTTCGCACCTCTTCCTCCTCCACATCGACGCCCGCGCGCACAGTGCCGTCGCCGGTTGGGCCGCCTCGGAGCCGCGCGTGCACCTGCTCGAGCGGCGCCCGGTCGGATGGGGTGCGGCGTCGCAGGTGGAGGTCCTGCTGGAGGCGGTCGCCATCGCGCTCGCCGCCGCCCCCTCCCTCGACTTCGTCATCAACCTCTCGGACGCCGACGTGGCGCTCCGCACCGGCCGAGAGCTCTCCTCCTTCCTCGCGCGGCACCGCGGCACCTCCTTCGTGGCGGCGAAGTTCCCCGCGAGGGACGGGATGCGGTACGGCGCGCACGCGACGATGCGCACGCCCGCCTGGCTCGAGTGCCGCGGGGAGGGCTTCCTGATCCTCAACGGCACGCACTCACTGCCCATTGCTAAGCCGCTACTCACTACCCACCGCTCAGCTGCTATCACTCTTTGCCACTCCCCCCACCAGGCACGCCCGCGGCGCTCTTCGGCGAGGGCAGCTCGCGCTGCTGCTACGCTCGGTCGGGCCCGATCCTCTACCCAGACCCGCGTGCGCCTCCGCTGCCGATCGGCAGGCCGCCGCCGCCCCAAGGGACGAGCTTCTTCCACGGGTCGCAGTGGGCGGTGCTGTCGGCGGAGGCGGCCTCCCGCCTGCACACTGTGTCCTCCTGCTCACGTGGCACTGTGTGGTGCACGCCTCAGCTCAGTGAGCATTAGGCGGCCTCCTACCTGCTCTCCTCGGCTCGGCCGCGCGCCCTCGCCCTCCACCTTGAGGGCACCTACATGGCAGACGAGACCTTCCTCCAGACGGCGCTGCTCGGCTCGCCCTTCGCCCGCACCTCGACGCCGCGCGGCGGGCCGGCGCTCCTTGCCCACAACTTGAGGTACATCGACTGGCCGCACGGGCGCGCACCGACGCCCCGCGGCACGCTGCTGGCGGCGAGAGGCCCTCTCCTCTCACCCTTCCCCGACCCTCCCCGGAAGGTATGGCGACCCGGCCCACTACTGGCACTCTGTCGGACCGGCGCTCGCGCCCTTGCCAGTGCTGCCACCTCCCCTCAGACATCGCGAGGTTCGAGTCGAGGTTGAGTCGAGAGTAGGCGCACGCGTCCGGGCCGATGGTGCTCTCTCCGCAGCTGCTGCCCGCCGTCTTCTCGTCGCCCGCCGCCTTTGCGCGAAAGGCAGCGCCATTCAGCTGCTCAGACCCCCTCCCGGTCCACACACACACACACACACACACACACACACACACACACACACACACACACACACACACACACACACACACATGCTCGCTGCCGTTGGTCGCTCACGCACAAACGACGTGCGAGCCACCCTCATCCCCCGGGCAGGCCGGTTCCCCGGCAGGCCGGGGTGGTCACCACCGCTCCGGTCACTCACCGCGACCTGTCGCCAGACCACCGCCCGCCTCCCCCGCCTCCCCCGCCTCCCCCGCCGTCACACACCGCGGCTCTCGCCCCTTTGCAGGTCGACCTCGACCGGCCCGAGGGAGTCGCCTTCCTCGAGCAGTGGGACCGGTGGATGTCGTACAAGCTCGCCCTCGAGCGGGGAGGCGAGGAGGCCGCCGCTGCCGACACCGCCGCTGCCGCTGCCGACACCGCCGCTGCCGACACCGCCGCCGCCGCGGCCGCCGACCCGCCTCTCGCGCCCGGCCAGCAGCCCCTCGGTGCGGACCTGCTGCACGCCAACGGGACGCTCCGCCGCCTCGCGCTACCGCCGACCGACCGGCAGCGCGACGGGATGAGCGACGAGGCGCAGCGGGCCGCCTGGCCGCCGCACGCGACGCACTACGGCCACGAGGACATCATGGCGCTGCAGTTCGAGGGAGGCGCAGCCGCGCCGCCGACACAGCAGGGGCAGGCGGCGAGGTCAGACAGCCAGCGGCAGGCTACCGCCGCCGGCGGCGCCTCCGCAGCCAGGCGAGTGGCTCGGATCGAGTTTACAGACGGGTCCAGCTGCTCCTGCGCCGCCGACTGCACTCAGCGCCGCTACCTCAAGGACTGCTGTGTCGACTGGCTGCACGCGTGCAAGGCAGACCGTTTATAACGCATATGTCAGCACTGGGAGTCTTCACGATCATATTTCTTGTTGGAATTCAAAAAACTTCCCCCTGCAGAAAAGAAAGAGCTGCCACAATTCTTTTTTCTCGCTGTGTTACCTCATGTATCGTAGTTTTTGTTAGTATCGAGGTGTCGTGAGTTTTGGTCCTGATAAATTCGTGGCGCCCGCGGCGAGCCGAGCCAGGCCACGGCGCTCGGCCTGTTGAGAGAAGACCTTCCCGGACGGCAGTGACAATTTACCCGACATCAATCGTCGACGGCAAGCTCGAGAACTGCGCCTCCAAAGTCGCCCAGATTCGCCTCTCGCGGCGCGCTGAGTTAGTATCGCCGGTGCGCCAGCTGGCTCTGCTCCACAGCAGGGCATGCCTGACTGGCTCCTGCTAGCCGTGCGTCCTGGTGGCATCCATTGCCAGCTCAGGTAGCCTCAGGAGGTCGCCTCGCGCACGACTCGGCGCCGCACAGCACCGCTCCGCGTTACTACCGAGTTAGTATCGTCGACCCACAGAGGCTGCTTCTCTGTAGGTGGAGCCGACAAACGCCGGCCGGGTCGGCCCCGCCGCCCCCATCGCCGCCGCCGGGGCGGCGGCGGCCTCGGCGGACCATCCGGCGCGCCGCGCGCCCGACGGGGAGGTGTTCACCACCCCTGGCTCCTCACCCCGCCACGCCTTCGTGCAGACGCCGTGGCACCCACCTCAGGCGCCGCTCGGACTCGGTCGACGGCCACCCAAGTGCTTGGCTCGTGCCCAGCCGACCGGCAGGCGATGCCCACTCACTGCTAGGCTAATCTCGGGCCTTCAAGCGGCGGTGTGGTGCCGTGAAGGGCACCGGGACCAAAACTACGATAGTTAGTATCGTGCGGGGGCAGTGCATTAATTCTGTCAAAAATCCAAATCTGCTCCGTGGAACTTATTGGGCTAGGATCATACGTCCGCGAGGCCCCCCTTGCGTGCCGTAACGATCGACAGTGCTGGTACCACTCTCTTCACGTTCACAGGTCGTATCAGGACCATAACTCCGATACATGAGGTAGTGCCAGCTCGCTTCGCGTACCGCTACACCCGGCCACAGGGCCAATATGTCCGCCCAGCGCCTCCTGATCCCCACCTTGCGCGCCCTCTTGATCGCGTTCGCGCTCTTCGAGGCCGTCAACATCCGACTGTACGCGGTCCGCACCTACGGCCGCGTCATCCACGAATTTGACCCGTGGTTCAACTTCCGCGCCGCCGAGTACATGGTCGCGCACGGCTGGGGCGCCTTTCAGGCGTGGTACGACCACGAGGTGTGGTACCCGCTCGGGCGGCACGTCGGCTCGACGACGTACCCCGGCCTGCAGCTCACCGCCTGGGGCGTCCACAGCGCGCTCGCGGCGGTTGGCCGGCCCGCCTCGCTCAACGATGTGTGCGTCTTTTTGCCCGCCGGCTTTGGCGCGCTCGCGGCGGGCTTCACGGGGCTGCTGGCGTGGGAGGTGACGCGGAAGCCGAACGCGGCGGCGCTCGCCACGGCCATCATGGCCATCCACCCCGGCCACCTCATGCGCTCCATCGCCGGAGGCTTCGACAACGAGTCGATTGCGGTCGCGGCGATGGTCAGCACCTTCTACCTGTGGGTGCGCGCGCTGCGGTCGGACGCCTCGTGGCCGGCGGCGCTGCTCTGCGGCGTGAGCTACAGCTACATGGTCGCCGCGTGGGGCGGCTACGTCTTCGTCCTCAACATGATTGGCATCCACGTGCGGGACACTCCCGGGACACTTCCGAGACATTGCTGAGGCATTGAGGGGACACTGCCGAGGAAAAGAGACACTTCCGAACGGCAGCGAGACACCGCAGAGGCACCTCCTTTCCGTCGCTCCCGACGATGACACCGCACCTCACAGCTCCACACACCCGCCGCTACCGCCACCGCCACCGCCACCGCCACCGCCACCGCCACCGCCTCTCTGCCCGCCGCCATTCGAAGTCCTCACCCGAAGGCGGCGGCTCTGGTGCTGGTCGGGCGCTACTCCGCGCGGCTGTGGCGCGCCTACTCCCTCTGGTGGCTGGTCGGCACAGCCGGCGCCGTCTCCTCCCGCCCCGGCACGAGCCTTCTCGGACTGTCTCGCAGCTGTCTCGGAACTTTCCTGCAGGCGCCGTGTTTGGGCCGGCCCGCTACCTGGTCGGGTGGCAGCCTTTCCAGTCGCTCGAGCAGCTCGGCCCGACGGCGGTGTTCGCGGCGCTGCAGCTGTGGCAGCTGTCCGAGGTGATGGCGGACAGGCGGCGGCTAGACTCGACGGAGACGCTCAAGCTGCGGCTGCGGCTGTTCGGGTATGCCGCCGCCGCCGCCGCCGTCGCCGTCGCCGTCGTCCTTCCGGAGGGCTTCATCGGCCCGATGTCTGCGCGCGTGCGGAGCCTGTTCATCAAGCACACCAAGACGGGCAACCCGCTCGTCGACTCGGTGGCGGAGCACCAGGCGACACCACCACAGACCCACACGGGCGCCCTCTCGGCTGTGTCTCGGCTGCACCCCGGCTGTACCTCGGCTAGGCGACGCCGCCCATGCTGTACTGGCACTACTTCCACTTCACCCTCTTTGTGATGCCGCTCGGCCTCGGCACAGCCTTCTTCGGCAAGTCAGACGCGAAGCTCTTCCTCATCGTCTACACGATCGTCGGCTTCTACTTCTCCGCAAAGATGGCGCGAGATGGCCCGAGATGGCGCGAGATGGCGCGAGATGGCCCGACATGGCCCGAGATGGCCCGAGATCACCCGAGATCGCCTGAGGTCAGGTGCGCCTCCTCCTCCTCATCTCGCCGGCCACTTCGGTCTGCGCCGCCGCCTGCCTCGACTCCCTCATCGCCTTCAACATCGAGGCGCCCCTCTCGCCCGCCCACACCCTCCCTCCCTCCGGCCCTCCCTCCCTCCCGCCCTCGCCCCACCCTCCCCGCTCCTCCCTCCCCCAAGGCGCTCACCGCTGACGACCAGCCGCCCGTGGAGGGGGAGGAGGAGGAGGCCGAGCAGCCGCGGGCCATCAGCCCGCCGCCGCAGCAGCCGCCGCAGCCGCCGCAGCAGCAGCCGCAGCCGCAGCCGCAGCAGGAGCAGGGCCGCGCCGCACTAGGCAAGAAGGCGCAGGCGCGGCTAGATGCGCAGGCGAGGGTCGAGGCGGGCGGCAGGCGCCGCAAGCAGGCGCCGCCGCCGCCGCCGCCGGCGGCGGCGGCGGGGCGTGGCGGCTCCCCGGACGGCGACGGGGAGCATGGCGAGAGCGGCGGCCCTTCTTTGTGGGATGAGGTCGAGGGGCTGTACACTGAGAGCGCGTCGCTGCGCCGCTCGGTGGGCATGGCGCTATTGTCGGTGGTCGGGTTTGGCGCGATTCGTTTCGTCCCTCATTCGTTCAGCATCGCACGGCGCATCTCGGAACCGTGCATCATGGCGCAAGGGGCTGCGCGATTCCTGTCTCTGAAGCGGGACCTGTCTGCTTTTAGGAGCCGCACATCATGGTGCGGGCGCGGCACCACAACGGGACGTACTCCGTGTACGACGACTTTCGCGAGGCCTATTGGTGGTTGCGCGACGAGACGCCGCGTGACTCTCGCGTGATGGCGTGGTGGGACTACGGGTGCCAAGACACTTCCGAGACACCTCTGAGACACTTCCTGCGCCACACCATGACACCCCACTGTCTCCCACCCGTTGGCACATCCACACCTTTGCTGACACACTTGCGCACACGCCCACGAGACGCCGCGACGCGTCCGCAGGTACCAGATCAGCGGCGTCGCCAACCGCACGACTCTCGCCGACGGCAACACTTGGAACCACGAGCACATCGCCTTGCTGGGCAAGTGCCTCGTCTCGAGCGAGGAGGCGTCGCACGCGATCACGCGCCACCTCGCTGACTACGTGCGCTGCTCCGGACGACGCGCCACGCGTCGGAGCCTTCCCGGAGCCTTCTCAGAACCGGCGCGTAGGTGCTGCTCTGGACGACGCGCCACAACGGCATGGCTGCGGACGACCTCGCAAAGTCGCCGCATATGGCGCGGATCGCCGGCTCCGTCTACCCGGATATCAACGCGCAGGCCTTCTACTTGGGCAAGGACGGGACCCCCTCCAAAATGATGGAGGAGCCTCTCTGGCGGTGGCACGCCTCCAGAAAGAAGAAACCTGCCGCCTAATGAGAGAAGGCTGTCAGCAGGAGTCGCTGCTCTACCGGCTTCACGGCTGGGGGCTCGACGAGAAGATCGCGCCGCTGCAGCACTTCGAGGAGGTGTACACGACGAGCCACAAGATGGTGCGCATCTACAAGGCGCGCAGCCACTCCGCCGGGTGGTAATCTGGGCTAATCTCGGCTAACCTCTCGGGTGACTTACCAGGTGCGCGACGTCTCCGCCGAGTCGAAGGCGTGGCGGCAGCAGCACGACAAGTCATCATTAATGATTCACTACTACCCACGAATGATTCATTACTAAAGGCGTGGCGGCAGCAGCATGGGCCGGGCTACCCGCCCGCACTCGAGGAGGTGCTCCCCCCCCCCCCACCACCACCACCACCACCTTGCCCACCACTTTGTGTGTGTGGAGACGTGCGGAGACGGTGACCATACCTCTTCCTTAGGTGCTCAAAACCTCCAAGGCATTCCAGCAAATCCACGGGCTTTGATCCGCAGCGCCGGCATACTCTCGCAGCGCCCGCGAAATATCACTGACTAGTACTTTTGCACGCCGGGCTGCGTCTCCACAACGGCCGACGCCGTCTCCCAAGATAGCCGACTGAGGCGGGAGGCTCCGCGCGCTCTCTCCGTTGGCCTTCGGTTGGCCTGTGAGCGGCGCTTGTGAGTATCTCTTTTGTACCGCAGAGTAGAAACGATTGCTTGCTGTTGCTCTAGAGTCATAGAGGAGAGAGATGCAAGCGAGTGTACCCGCGTACGCTCACACACTTTTTGCCACCTGTTGTTGGATGGAGTGTGAGCACCTCATGGGTCATGGCGTCAAAAAATTAAGAGCGTCATCGTCCGTCATGCGTCAACCCTGTGCAGGGTGTGTGTCGGGTAGTGCGCGGTGCGCGCGTCCACAGGTCAACACAGGGAGCACGCACGACCCAGTATGACGTTAGAATTCAGCGGAGAACTCTTCGTTCTTTTGCCACCTGCTCTTTCGTATACACAGTACTGGAAGCGGCCTGACGTTGAGACTGACGATCTGAGAAGTGTTTGAGTGTGCGGGATATGGGGCACTGATGGGGCATGCACGCAAATGCACATTTCCGACACGGCCGATCGATGCACTGGCGCACACTTCCGACACGGCCGATCACGACGGCGTGGTAAATCGTGTCGAGTGGACAATAGGCAGCTCTTCTCCAGAGGCCACCTTGGTTCGCCGAAACCCTCTCTCCAAGGCCGGAGCAATACGGAGGCGGTGCAGCCACCCCAGCTCCTCTGAGGAAGTGAACACGTCGACGGCGGCGGCGGTAGTAGGAATGTGCGCCTCGGCCGCCTACGCCGTCTGCGCGGCCAGCTCCGCCACCATCATGTCCTCGAGCATATTGTCCGCCGGCTCGAGGGGGCGGCGCAACCCGTCAAAGCTCTTTGAGCTGTTGCGCCGCATAATCGGCGGCGGCCCGTCGCCAGCTGACACCTGCCACGCCGTTCTGGCGCGGCCGCTTTCCCCTCGCGGCGGCGGCAGGTTCTCGGCGAAAAGCGCCGCCAGCCCCTCTGCCGCCTCGGCCGCAACCACCGCAGGAGCCGTCGCCGGCGCGCTGCCCGCCACCCGGTCGGCCTCACCCTCGCGCTTGCGCTTGGTGGCTGGCTCCGCCCGGTCGGGCCGCGCGTGCCCAAAGCCGACGGTCGGTCCGGTGGTCACGGTGGCCGTGGCCGACAGCGGCGGCGACATGCCCCTCGGGACCATCGAGGGGAGAAGCGGCGACGGCGCTGCTGCGGGCGCGATCCACAGCTGCTGCGAGGAGTCGGCGGGAAACCGAAACGAGGTGTGCGTAGCGTACGAGGGCGGCGAGTTTGGGTGCTGCAGCGGCGAGACGTACACCGCTGGCAGGCGCGGGTCGAGGAACGGCGCCTCTGACGGAGGGATCGGCGTGGCGAACGCTTGCGGAAGCTTCAGAAGCGAAGGGTTGGCCACGAGGTTCGGTCGTACGGGCAGCGGTGAGAGCTTGACTTGGCATACGTGGCCTAGCTTTTGCTGCCCGCACGCGGCGCAGCGATTCTTGGAGAGCCCTAGCTCGCGCAGAGTCTGCCCCTTTTCAATCCGGAGGAAGCGGTTGCGCACAGAGGCCGAGCTGCGGCCTGGGAGCGCGGACGCGATCCGACCCCATTTGCGGCCCTCGGTCTGATACATCTGGAGGATGACGCGATCCTCCTGCGGCGACCAGGCCTGCATGTGATCGTGCCTCATGGCGTCGCTGGGGGACAAGGGCGATAGACGCGGGCGAGGCAATTGTGAGCACTTGACGGCCGAAGGGCCTTGTCCGGGATTATCCCGCGTATGCCTGCTTTAGTTCTTTTTGCGAGCAGAGTTATGAACCGCCTCGGCGGGCGGTCTGCGAAAGCGCCGAGGCCGCGCCGCGCCGGCCCACCAATTTTTTTGTTGGCTTCTTCTGAAAAGAAGAGGACGACCATGAAGTACAGCGATCGCCACCTCGCTGGCCTCTCCGCAAGGCCTCCCGACCGCGTCGAACTCACGGCGCGGGCTCTCTCGGCTACGGGACCGGCCCCAGCTTCGGCTGAGGGCTGACAAGCTGCCGAGCCCAAATCACTGTGAGAGTCGTGATTTCTTGTTGGTTTTCTTGTTCGTAAGAGCTACATACACTGAAAATCTCTCTGAAAAGCTCTCTCCAGGCTCTCTCTCTCTCTCATACAGGTCAACACGGGCATTTGCTAAAAATCTGAAATGCAGCTCCGTCGGCTGTCTTTTTCAGTGTATGTAGCTCTTTTTTGTTGGCGTTCATTCAAGCATCAAGGCCCCGCCCGACAAGCGACAACTGAGCGACAACAATCAACATCAACAAACACATAGGCCAACTCCAAGTGCTCCAAGTCCAACCGACAAGACTCAAGAGAGAGAGAGAGAGAGAGAGAGAGAGAGAGAGAGTCGTTGGCAGCTGTAGAGTGTGAGAGCGCTGTAGATCTGTAGAGCTGTAGAGCGCTCTGGAGCGCTGTAGAGCTGTAGAGCTCTACATTCGCCGCGTAACGAAGCGCCTGCGTTGAAGAGCGATGTAGAGGCGCTCTACAACGTGAAATCTCTACAACAAACTCTACATGATAAGCGCGAACGAGGCACGGTCGCTCTCCGACATGAGGCGCGTTGCACTTGCCAGTGCTGCCCTGGCCTTCTGTCTGCCCGCCAAATGGGTGGCAGGTGCCTCTGCTGCTGTGGCATGCCTCACGGCTGCGACTGGCCGGCGCCTCGGCGCGTCAGCTCCGCTCGGCGTGGTAGCGATCGTGGCCAGCGCAACTCGCCTGGACTCAACGCTCAGCCAGGAGCTTCCGCACGCGCTGGCGCGAGTCATGGCGCATGCAACGCGTAGCAATGCTCGCCTCGCCTCGCGCAAATGCGACCGTCCTCGCCTCGCAGCCGAGAGGGGCAAAGATGAAAAAAAGTCCAACACAGAAACCATCGAGGATAAAAAGGGTCGCTTCTCATCGCAAACCCTGTCAGCAGAGTCCTCCTACGGGAATGTACGTTAGAGCCCCATACACAATGAAAAAAGAACTCGTCGCGTGTCGTGCCCGTCGAGCCATCCAGGCGTGTGGCGAGAGTCGTCTGGAGAGTCGTCTGGGCCGCGATGTCTCTTGGCAGCGTTCTCACGCCCAACAATGCGCTCGTTCGAGACGCACGAATGAAGCGCTTTGATCGTCGGCCGGCGTCCGCGGAGCCCTTGGCCAACGCTGCTCCGCCGCAACCACCGGCCCAGGTGGACTCAATCGCACTCTTCAAGATGGGCTTTGCTCCGGACGCCGTGGGGCAGGCGCTGGTCAGCACTCGCGGCGACGCCGGCTCAGCGCTGAAGCTACTGGAGAAGGAGAAGAGGCAGGCAAAAGCTCCAACTCAGGTCGATTCAGAGCCTCCGACTGAAGCTAAGGCTGATGCCCATGCCACTCCTTGCGCCGAGCATGCCGAGCAAGACGAGGCGAGGGAGCTGCAGCTGGCCCTTCACATGTCCCTCCAGCCAGACACCGCTGGCGCCTCTACGTCCTCCTCGTTCCGCTCGGCCGGAAGCTCTTCCAATCCGCTTTGGGAACCGCCGAGGTACCTTCCGGCAGGCTCCATCGAGGCGGGGCCAAGGACGCTGGGCCTGCTGGAGCACATTCAGGTCAGAGACGGTGGCTACGCCTGGCAGGGCGGAACAGCCTTCCTGGACACAGGCAATCAGGCACTGACCCTCATCGACCCGCGCTTTGCTGAGCGGCATGGCGTTTACCGCCGCGGCTCGGGTCTCGGCACCTCGGCCTTTGGCCAGGCCGAGCGCTGGACAACGATCCGCGGAGTTGTGCCCGGCGCCGAGACGCGCGCGCCCGTGGTGACCGTGCTCCTCAAGCTCCGCGACCAGGAGATGCTGGTGCAGGCGGCGGTGAGCCCGTGCACCGGCCACGATCTGCTGCTCGGCGCGGACGTGATCAGGCGCCTCTTCGAGGCGGGCTTCCGGCTGGGCGCAGGGAGCATGTAGCCGATCTGGGTCTGAGCATGTAGTCGAATAAGGTGCGTGTTTTACCGCTCCTGCTTCGTCGTCATACGTCATTGCCTGCCAAGGCCCAAGCGGCCCCGTGCCCAGCGTAAAGAAAGGAAACAAATACGCGAGGTGAGCAGTGTCCGTGTGTGAAGGGTTTTTGTGATTCTTTTGTTGCGGCAGGGAGAAAAGCAGATGAGCTTGCCTGCGTCGAGGGTGGTCGAGTGCTATAAAGTGCCTCGCCGCCCTCGCAGGAGTCGCTTACTAAAGGCGGCTGCCGTGGTGTACCTGTGTCCGCGTGCCAGTGTGTGCGCCCGTGCTCGATTTGTTTCTTTCAGCTAGAAGCTGGTGCGAGTGGCTACGGGGGAGACGAGATACTGCCGACAAGGCCGCGACCAACAGCTGCAGCTGCTGAAGAAGCTCGAGGCGTTGGCTGGGCGGCGCGTCGTCGCTGTGTCGGGGGGGCGCGACCACGGCATCGCCATCACCACCGACGCCGTGTCTTTGCCTGGGGCAAGGGCGGCTGCCTAGGCCACGGAGTCAGAGGAGCTGCTGTCGAACCCTAGGTCGAACCCACTCCCTTTGTTCTCTTCTCATAAAATCGGAGGGTCGGCCCACGGGGGGAACTGAAGCGACCCAACGATATGAGTGGCAGCAAAGGGAGTGGGTCGAACCAGCTGCTGCCCAAGAAGTCGAGGTGTGGGCGAGCTCGCCGCCCGCCGCCGATCCAGCGGCCGGGAGCGAGCCAGGCAGCGACTCCGAGGAGTTTTAGACATCTTGTGTGTGCCATTGGCATTGCTTTGTTGTGGTTTTTGTGGTTTTGCCATGCTGATTCACCCAATGCTGTTGCGAGATGCTCACACAGGGATTTTAAGGAAATTTGTTTGTTTTGAGTGTGGTGCTAGCCGTCGCCACATGTTAGCCCTAGGACGAGTGGCGCTGATGTGAGCTTATCCGGCAAGCAAGACGGAGCTGAAGCACAAGGTCGCCCGGTTTTTCTTCTCTCCGCTCCGCCAGCATGCGTGCTTTGAGCTGGCTCCTGCTGTGCTCCTTCCGTGGCACGTCGGCGCTGCAGCCATCGAGGCCAGGCGTGTCTCGCAGGCCTCTGCTGCAGCACGCATTGGCGCTCGGCGTGCTCGCGCCGGGCGCGGCGGCCGCCGCAGCGGAGAAGAAGCCGAGCCTGAAGGAGGTGGTTGCGCAGCTGGACGCAGGCACGCCAAAGGAGGAGCGCAACGCGCATGGAGAGAAGGCCGATCACTTTCCTCAGATCGCGTTCGAGGGCGGCCAGGGGCAGGGCAAGAAGGTGGTCTTCACCGTCCCGCACCAAAACCTGTCGCCGCCGTCCTTCTCGTACATCGAGTACATGTGGATAAAGGACGAGGAGTCCGGTGCCATCCTCACGGCGAGGAAGTTTAGGCCCTCGGACCCCGACCTTGTCATCACTGCTTTTGGCAGCAGCGGGCAGAGGTTGACGGCGGCCTCGAAGGACGACAAGTTTGGGATTTGGCAAGGCACCTTTCGGGTGCCGTGAGAGATAGAGTTGAGAAATAGATGAGAGAGGCGGGGAGGAGGGAGTCGCACTCAAGAACACTGCAGCCAGTGCCACTGTGGTCCGGCCACGGAGCTGGGCAGGGCTGCGGCTGGCACGCACGCGGCCACGCCGGCGGGCGCAGTGTTTTGACGACCCAGACGAGTTTTGCCACGTGTGTCCCACATCTCACAAAAAACCCACTCCCTTGATTGCTAGCCCGAATCCCAACAACGTCAACGAGCAACCTTCACGTCCCAGATTACTTACCCACACACATTCACGACGCAGACTACCTGAGACCGAACGTTATTCGCCGCGCGGCACGACTGCGCCGGGCTCAACCTCGACGCTGCAACTGCCGGCGTCGACGAACCCGCCCCTCGTTGGCTCGCGGCGGGCCTCGCGCGCCACCAAGCGCGGCGTCGGCAGGAGCGGCTGCACCTGCGGCAGCAGCTCGCCGAGCGCTCGCAGCAAGTCTTGCAGGGGGTGTGAGGCCGAGTAGGTCGAGATGGCCTACGTGGCGCGGGCGCGCGCGGTGACAAGGGCGCGCGATCGAGCGGCAACCGGCGCGGCGGTGCGGGTTGCGATGCGGCCGCCGCCCGCAGCGCCGCGGCGAGGGAGGAGGTGGCTGACTTCGTCGCGCAGCGCCGCCGCCTCTGGCGGTAGCCCGCCCAGCACGGCGCGGAGCTGCGTCCAATCGGGCGGCTGCTTGCGGAGAGGCTCGAGCAGCGCCTACCGCCAGCCGCACTCTAATTAAGCAATTAAACATGTTGATTAATTAATTCGTTGATTAACCTGCCGCCAGCCGCACTCGACAGCGCGCTGAAAGGTCCGCCGCAGCGCCGCCGCCGCCGGCGCGGCGGCGAGGAGAGGGCCGAGGAAGTGCATCAGCCGCAGCGAGGTGCGGAGTAGCGACGGAGGCGGCTGCGAAGCGCCGCGCCATCCGTCCCGCGAGTAGAGCCAGTGGCAGAGAGCCGCTTGCAGCAGCCACACCGACTCCGACTCGGCCGGCTGCTGCCCGCTCAAGAGAGACGACTCGTCCACCACCAGTCGCAGCAGCGCGACCTGCTCCGCCGCCGCCTCCGCCGCCTCCGCCGCCCCGCCCGCCCGCGCGCCCGCCCCGCCGGTCGTCAGGGCGGTCGCCGCCACCGCTGAGGCGGCGAACTCAGCGGCCGCCCACCACGCACTCCTCGCCGCCTGCGCCTCGCGCGCTAGCCCTCCGCCTCCTTCTGCTCCGTCTCCTTCTCCTCCGCCGCCGCCGCCTCCACCGCCGCCTCCACCTCCGCCTCTGCCTTCTCCTCTTCCGCCTTCGCCCGCTCCTCCTCCTCCTCCGCCTCCACCTCCCGTCTGCGGCGGATGGCGCGAGGCAGCCGCAAGCCCCGACGCAACGCGCCGCCGTTTGTTGCCCGCCGCCGACGGCCCGCCCCTCCCCTCCTCCCCGCCGCCCGCCCCGCCACTCGCCGCCGCCTCCTCAACAGATGCCGCGGCTGAAAGCAAATGCGGCGGCGGAAGCGGCGGCGGCGGCGGCGGTGGCGGCGGCGGAAGCGGCGGCTGCGGCTGCGACGCGAGTATGTGCGTCGGCGGCGGCGGTGCGCTCTGCTGCGCCGCCGCCCACCGGCCTTGGGCGGCGATGTCGGGGAGCGGGAAGGGGCGGCCGTACGGCATGCGCGTGACGGGGCTGTGGCTCGCGTCGTTGCAGACCTGCCGGTCGAGCGGCGGCGGCAGCGGTGCTCCGATGTGGTCGTCCAGCTCGCCCGGTGCCAAGGCGCCTAGCTCACGGCTCTTCTGCTGTTGATTGGACATGGATCGTGAGCGGCCTCAGGTTCGACTGGGGAGAGAGCGCCGACGGCCTCCCGCACCGCCCGGGCGTCGGTCGGCGAGAGCGAGACCACGCCGCCGCTCGCCGGGTCGTACACGCGCTGGTGGCGGAATACGAGGCGGACGAGCTGCGCCTTGCGAACGTACGCGTCCGCCTGTGAGCCAATCTCCGGAGGGGTGAGGGAGCCGCCAACAACACCGACCGATGGCTCCTCATGCGTCCCGCCTCCGCCGCCCCCACCCTCGCCGTGCGGGCGATCGCTCGCGCGGCGGCCGCGAGGCTGCGGTGGCGCCGGACCGCCGCGTGCGCCTTGACGAAAACAGGTTGAAGAAATCAGTGGACGAAATCAGGGGAGGAGGGCCCGGGTGACTGCGGCTACATCTCGCGAGATCTCCCGCGGTCTCGGCTACGTCTCACCTTGGCGATCCCAATCTGCGGGAGGGAAGCCAGGTAGTCTGTGCCTACCCATCCGGCAAGTCTGCAGCTCACCCCCGTCTGGCGATGCAGCTTCGCGTGCGGCTGGCGAGGAGTAGTCTCTGCCAGCGAGGATGCACCTATGCGACGAGTCCTGCACCTGTCCTGGACGTGTCCTGGACATGTCAGCGGGTCTGTGCGAGGACGCACATGTCGAGCAGCATCCCGCCCTCCCACTCGCGCCACTCCCCCTCCCTCTCGCCGTCAAAGAGGTGCCTGACAAGGAAGGGACGTGCGTGTGTGCGTGCGTGCATGCGTGCGTGCGTGCGTGCGTGCGTGCGTGCGTGCGTGCACGCACGCATTGTGTGTGTGTGCGTGCGTGCGTGCGTGCGTGCGTGCGTGCGTGCGTGCGTGCGTGCGTGCGCGTGCTCCTGCCGCCAGCCTCGGCGAAGCGCAGCTCGTCCCGCACAAGCAGCTCCGCCTCGCCGCCGGCCTGCAGCTTGCTAGCACACGCGTGGGCTTAGGGGTAGGGGGCAGGGTGAGGGTGAGGCCCCTGCCCTCGCCTGCAGCTTGTAGAGCACGCGTGGGCACCCGTACGCCACCAGGTCCGAGTCGTCTGTCACCTGCGGTGTCAACACTGCGGCGTAAACACAGCGGCGTAAACACTGCGGTGTGGAGACACCGGGGCGGGGTGCGGAGACGGCATCGTGCAGTGTACTCGGAGCACCGCGTGGACACGGGCTATGCATCGTGGATACGGCTGAATACGGTCGAATGCCGCCGACGTGTGCTCTGAATACGGTCGAATGCCGTGTCCTCTCGAGTGCTACTCGGAACACAAGAGTGCGTGTCCCACATCTAGGGTCCGAGACGGCCGCGTGCGCGTGGCCTTCGCGCACAAGGAACGCGCACTGCGCGTCCGCCTCGTACGGCGCGACGACGAAGGCGTGGCCGCGGGCCCGCAGCACCTCGATGAGCGTGCGCGCCATCTCGGCGGTCACAACTACCGTCTTGCGCCGCGCAGCCTCTGCATCCGCCTCGATGGCGGCGGCCGCCGCGCGCGCCCGCGCGGCGGCTCGCACGCCAGAGCGAGCGCGATGCACGGCCGCCTTGGCCGGGAGCGAGGCGCCGTCAAAGACGAGGAGCGGCGTGACGCCGTGCCGCTCGAACAGGTCGATCATTCGGAGCGGGTAGGCAAGGTACTGGTCGGTAGGCTCGCCAAGCAGCAGTTCGTGCGCACAGACGAGCGCGCCGCGGTGTAGCCACCCCGACGCGTCGACGGCAAGCGTGCGCTCGCTGAAGTCGGAGAGGCTCACGCGCTGGACGCAGGAGCGGACCTGGGTGAGCAGGCCCTGCACGCCCATTGGCGCACCTGTTGAGAAGAATTTGCTTCGCCACAAACGAAAATCGATGCCCTCCAAGTGCTCCGGTTGTGTCCCTGATCGTCCTTCCAAGATCCTGCTCGTGCAGGCAGATTGAGAATGCGCAGCTACTGATCAGCCCGCCAATGCGGCTCCACTGGCTGGCCCCGCTGCAGCCCTGTTGGCTCGCTTCGTTGCCTACGGTGCTCCTCCATTCTCACTCCGCCCGCTCGCTCCATTGGCTCGCTCCGCGCTCGCTCCAGCCTCGCCGCTCCGCCAGCTCGCTCAGCGCGGGCCGCTCCGTACAGTAAGCGCTCTTCGGCACACTCCGTTGGCTTGTTCGGTTGGCTCGCTCCGCTGGCTCTCTCCGCTGGCTCGGTGGCTGGCTCTACAGCCCAGAGCCTACTCTCGCTCCGCTCCGCTGGCTCGCTCCGCTCCGCTGGCTCGCTCCGCTCCGCTGGCTCGCTCCGCTCCGCTGGCTTGCTCCGCTCCGCTCACTTGCTCCGCTCACTTGGTCCGCTCCACTGGCTCGCTGGCTCGATGACTTGGTCCGCTCCGCTCACTTGACCCTCACGCTCCCTGCCCGCGCGCCCATCGGTGCCGCGCTGAAGGTCTGCCTCACTGGCACGACAAGGCGCCCCGCACAAAGAACACCGACATACCCACACCACCCGTCGCCCTGTGCCGCGAGGGGGGGCGGGCCATCAGGATCAGCTCTGGCGAGCGCTTGAGGCTGGGGTTTGGGCGGGGTTTGGGCGGGGGTGGGGCGGGGGTGGGGCGGGGGTGGGGTGGGGGTGGGGTGGGCGGGGGTGGGGCGGGCGGGGGGCGGGGGGTGCGGCGGGAGCGGGGGGCGGGGGCGGGGGGCGGGCGGCCGGGGCGGGGGGGTCGAGCGCGGTGAGCACCATTGCTTTGAAGCACACTCAGAGTTGGCGTGGTAGCTCAAGATTTCATTCCAAGCGGGGCTGCCGAAACCCCTCGCTAATTCACCCAAATCCATCAGGAATTTGCTTCAAATAAAGGGGCCGGGCCCCAGCCATCGCGAGCGAAAGGGGTCACCAGAATATAGCAGTGTATCCTAGGAGTAGAGGAGGAGAGACAGAGTACCGGGGTATGCGCGCATGAGATCACAAGGACAGAAAGGAGGATCATAAGTCGTTTGCTTCGCAACTCGCCACACTTACCGTCTGTACATGTCATTGACTCACCGGCGGTGCATCCTCCTGTCCAAATCGACACATCACACCTCCTCCCACCGACGGTTGTCATGCATGTCGCTGAGATGTTGGACCCGTGTGCGATGCTCCTCAAACACGACAGGTGGCAGCCATCATCCGCATCGCTTATACTTGATCCCACTGTCATGTCTGTGGTAGCGTGGTTTTATGCGACACAAACAAGCCGCCCTAAGTTTCACTCGGATTCACTCCTATGCACCTTCGGTGAGGGTACATTGGTGCGTATAACGGAGAGTCACGGAATCGCGCGCCTCCGCTAGGAAGGGTTACGCAGTATCCCTGACATCCCCGTGGGGTCCTGCCACTGAAGGCGGAGGACTCAAACAGCTTGGGTATACTACAGGTCCGGAGGGAATCTCAACGTCCTGCAGCCGCCCGCGGCGCCGTGAGGGATCGCACCTCAGACCAGATAGAGAGGGCCACACCCCAAAGCCAAAGAGTAGGCAGGATAGGGTGGGCGGGGAGAAGCAGAACTGGCGCAGCTGAAAGGCTGGCGCAGTAGGAGAGCCTGGCGCGGCCAAGGATGAAGAGCAGCGTCAGAGCCAGGTGAGCGGGGAGAAGCGCGGCGGGAGACGCACGCATCAGAGCAGCGAGCAGGAGCAGCGGCACTTTGCCGAAAGCCCGTGAAAGATGTAAAAGGTGTAACATATGTCTGGATTCACGGAGAGCATCCGTGAAGAACATAGAGGCTGAGGAGGAAGGAGATGAAGAGGGTCTCCGTGAGTCTCCTGCGGGAAACTAGTGGCCTATCACGAGTTAGGGCCCGTACCCCAATCGTTATCGAGCGGACTAGTTTCACTCGGATTCACTCCTATGCACCTTCGGTGAGGGTACTTTAGTGCGTATACGGAAAGTCACGGAATCGCGCGCCTCCGCTAGGAAGGGTTACGCAGTAACCCTGACATTCCAACGCACAGTGGAGGAAAAGCGAGGGCAGGTGGCCCGGATAGCCCAATGAACCCCACAGAGGGGCATCTGGCCATGGTATGGAGCCACAGAGCTCAGAGGCAGCAGCCGAATCACGAGAGGGGTGAGGCCGCTGCGGTGCCGAAGAGAGAGGCGAGACGGCGATGGATCTCCTGGAGAAGGCTGCATGGCGGCGGCGGGTGCGCGCGCGGTAGATCGCGGGGAGAGGGGCCCTACCGCGCGCCCATCTGTGCCGTGCACGGGCCGGTACCTCAGGCGTCACCTCCGCAGCCTCAGGTCTCACACTCCATCACCTCCGACGGGACGCCTTCGGTGGCACGCGGCGGCGACTTTGTTGCAGCCCCACAGCGAGCGCGGCGTCGAGCCTGTTCGGTCTGATCGGTTCGCGGCACTCACTGGGTGGCCCAGGGAGTGCCGCCGACACGCGAGCGGTGCTTCCTGGCAGCGCGCGCCGGCTGTTGGGCTGCAACAAACTCGAGACACGCTTTTTGGGACATTTTCGACGCTTTTGGCCCATACTCGCACACCATGCCCCCTGAGCCCTGGCCTCGACACCTCGACACCAAACCTCGACACCAACTCGACACCTCGACACCCCATGCCAACTCGACACCCTCGACACCCCTCGACACCCCTCGACACCATCTAGGCTGGTACCACGCTCGTCCGTGTCAAGGTGCCAAACTCGACACCTCGACACCGCTCGACACCGCTCGACACCGCTCGACACCGCTCGACAACCGCTCGACACCGCTCGACACCTCTGATGATCTAACACAGCAGAGACGTAGACCCATTTGGAGTCACAGAGTTAGAAAATCAGGGTTGCAGCAGCAATACTTGGCTGGCAGTACTTTTATTCCTCAGTTGCAGCCTCTCAAAAGTTCTAGGTCAAGTTGCGGCTCAGTTGCACCCCTGTTGATGTAGCAAACATGGCAGTACTCAGGTAGCCCTCAGGTGCTGCACAGCACCTTGTACAGTGGCAATGAATCCTCACACCAGTGAGCTTGTGCCATGAGTGCAGACCTGTGGTCCATTGCGCTTTGTGCACTGGCGACGCTCGGCTGCAACGGCGACGCTGCAGCGGCGGCGACGCTGCTGCGATGGGGTACTGTAGCCCTTAGCTGCTGGACAGCACCTTGTGCAGTGGCAATGTCCACTGACTCATGGCACCAGCCTTGTGAAAGGAGCGCTGTGGTCAGTTGCGCTTTGTGCGCCGGTGGCGCTGCAGGGGTGATGACGCTGCAGCGGCGACGCTGCTGCGGTGCTGCGCCTGCACAGCACCTTTGTGCACAGTGGCAATGACTCCCGGCACTTGATGTCCTCAAATGTCCACAGAGAGTATACTGGTTGTGCTCAGGTTGTGCTACATCAACAGGGTGCAACTGAGAGGCTGCAACTATAAGGGATGAAACAGCTTTGCAACTGCTGCCCAAGTTTTGTTGATGGGCTGCAACTGCATCCTGCCACCTTGGACACCTCGACACCTTAGACGCAAAACCCCTTGACAACACTCGCGACACCCGCTCGACACGCTCGACACGCTCGACACCCTCGACACCCTCGACACCCCTCGACACCCCTCGACACGGACAAGCGTGGTACCAGCCTCGACAGGCCTCGACAGGCCTCGACAGGCCTCGACACCTCTACCCCTCGACAGCAGCTCGACACCCTCCACACCGGGCCTCGACACCTCGACACCAGGGCTCAGCATGCCCCCCGGCCCGGGAGCCCGTCTTTGTGTAAGGCCCGGTCTTTGTTATCTAGCTTCTCGCGGGTCCCGCGTAGGCCTCTTTGTAGGGAAGAATTTTGATACGCGTCAAGACGCCTGCTGGGGGCAGCTTCGTTTGAAGCCGTATAGCTTTTAGCTCTCTTGTGTACGTAAGTGGTTAGTTGTTAAGTCATAAGTGTAAAGTCTAAAGAGAAAGGAGAGGGAGGGGAAAAGAGAGGGGACCGCGCGCACGAACGCCCCATGTGTGGTCGCAGGCGGACGGGTGCTCCACGAGTGACCTCCCTCGGGAGACACGCCAGTCGTCGAACGGACAGTATCCATCAAACGCCGCGCCAATCGCCCCCTCCCCCCGCCGCCCACGCAATCAGGTCTCGTCGCTCGCCGCCTCCACCTGCTTCGGCTCGGCGTCGCGCGCCGCGAGCGGCGGCAGCGCAAAGTCGGAGAGGCGGATCTCGATGTAGCCTCGCGTCCACTTGCAGACCTCGCGCATGATGACGCGAGTGTGCGCCTGCAGCACGGCGGCCACGTCCTGCTGCTCGCGCAGCTGCTTCTCGACCAAGCCCTTGAGCGCAGCCACGCTGCCAGACTGCTCGAGCAAGTCATGCCTCAACCGCTCCACCGCCCCCTCCTGCAGCAACTCCCACTCGGTGGCGTGCCCCTGCCGCTTCGAGCAAGGCCACTCGTGCCGACCCTCGCCCTTGCCCCGCGCCGCCTTGGGCAGCCTGCCCTCCTGCCTGCCGCCCTCCTGCCTGCCGCCCTCCTGCCTGCCGCCCTCGTGCCTGCCGCCCTCGTGCCTGCCGCCCGGCGTCGTCGCCGCGGCGCTCGCCGCCGAGCTCCGCCCGCTCGAGCTCGCGCCCCTCGCCGAGGATGTCGCCGAGGATGGCTCGCGCGGAGCCTCCGCCGCGTCGGACTCGGCCGAGCCGAGCGCGGCCGCCCCTCTCGACCCCCCGGCCGCGGCGGCCGGCTCCGTGGGAGGGGGGGCGGGAGGGGGCGCGGCGGAAGGGGGCGCGGGAAGGGGCGCGGCGGGCGCAGCCTCGGCTGGCAACACTGGCGCGGCCTCGATGGGCGCGGCGGCGGCCGCGGGCGCGGCGGCGGCTGCCGGCGCGGCGGGTGCGGCGGCGGCAGCGGGTGCGGTGGGGGCGGGCGCGGCGGCGGCGGCGGGCTCAGGCCCAGCAGCAGCAAGCCCAGGCCCCGCAGCAGTAAGCTCAGGCCCGGCGGCGGTGGGCGGCGCCGGCGTGCCCGCGAGCGCTGCGGCGGCGGCGAGGTGCATCGGGTCCGGCGGCGGCGCCGGAGGAGGGGAACCGCTCGTCGCTCCGAGCACCTCGTCGAGGCACGCGCCGGAGAGGAGGGAGGCGTGCGCGCGCCGAAAGGCGGCGAGGCAGCTCGAGATGGAGAAGGCCTTGCTGCCAACGTTGCGGCTGCCCGGGTCCACGCCCTCGACGCAGAGCGGCGGCGGAGGGTAGCCGCGCGCGGCGGCGAGCGGCGGCCTCCTCGCGAACGGGTCCGACCCCCACCTGACCAGCGTCGTGGCCGGGTCGAACGCAGTGCCGTAGTACTCGAGGAAACCGAGCAGGGCGCGGCCGAGGTCGACCGAGCCGCAGCCGTCGGTGCCAACGCCGGCGGCGACGATGTAGGCGCGGGCGAGGAGGAAGAGCGCGTGCGAGCAGAGCCCGCCTAGATCAAGCCAACTCGTGTCAAAAAGCTATTAATTGAAGAGCACGTGCGAGGCGAGCCCGCCCGTGTAGGTCTGGTTGAGCGCGAGCTGCGCCATGTACGCCTAATTAATAGTGAACTCCATGTCAATGATCGGTTAATTAAAGCGCGAGCGGTGTGCGCGAGGTGCGCCTTGAGCACGACGGTGAGCGCGCGCACGGCCGGCCTCGCCTCGACCTCGCCGGCGGCGATGTGCGTCGCCGTGAGCCCGTGGTGTACCGGCCCGTTCGAGAGAGAGAGGTCGACCTGCGGGGAGGGGCGGCGGCGCTGACTGGAGAGGGGTGTCGGTTGGAAGAGGGTGGGAGGAGGCCGCATTAGGCCAGTCGAGGGGGAGAGGACTCGAGGAGAAGAGGAGGGGAGGAGGAGAGGAGGAGGGGAGGAGGGGAGGAGAGGAGAAGGGGACTCGAGGAGAGGAGGAGAGGAGGAGAGGAGGAGAGGAGGAGAGGAGGAGAGGAGGAGAGGAGGAGAGGAGGAGAGGAGGAGAGGAGGAGAGGAGGAGAGGAGGAGAGGAGGAGAGGAGGAGAGGAGGAGAGGAGGAGAGGAGGAGAGGAGGAGAGGAGGAGAGGAGGAGAGGAGGAGAGGAGGAGAGGAGGAGAGGAGGAGAGGAGGAGAGGAGGAGAGGAGGAGAGGAGGAGAGGAGGAGAGGAGGAGAGGCTGAGAGGAGGAGAGGAGGAGAGGCTGAGAGGAGGAGAGGCTGAGAGGAGGAGAGGAGGAGGAGACGAGGACTCGAGGACTCGAGGCAGGACCCGAGGGCCAGAGAGGCGGCGTCTGGCTTGATCTTGCACACGCGCGCGCCTGCAGCAGCAGCGGTCGGCCGTGCCGCTCCCTCGCGGCGTGCTCGGCGGCGACCTACGAGTGGTGACGTGCCGCTCCGCCGGTGCTGTGTGGTGACGCCGTGCCGCTCCGCCTTTGCGCGGGCGGCGACCTGGAGCTTGAGTATGGGGACGGAGGCGCCCGCGATGGCGACGCTGCCGACGACCGCCGCCTCGCGCTCGAAGATTGCGCGCAGCGCGTAGATGGCCGCAGGAAGCTGACCAGGGCGAGGCTGTGCGGGTGAGAGGCGTGGCTGGTTGGCGGGGGCCTCGGAGGTGCGTCGCTTGGTGGCGTGGACGGTGAGGAGGCGGGCGCGTCTCGGGCTGGGCGTGCGGCGAGCCGCCTCGAGCGGCGGCGGGTTGAGCACGACGCAGTCGATGTCCGACTCAGGAGTCGCGAGGCTACACCAGCGGCTGCCGTAGCAGACCAGCTGCGCGTAGGGCCACTCGGAAGCGAGTCGGCGCGCGAGGGTGTCCACGACCGTGTGCCTCGCCGGCTGCTGGGCGAGCACCTCTGCGTCGTTCCGCTCGACGAAGCGCACCACTTGCCAGTGGAGCCCGCTCGGCACCGCCAGGGGCTGCAGCTGCGCTGGCTGGCGGTCGGACGGCTGGCGACTCGAATGCCCGGGAGCGCTTGGGTGGCGGTCGGACGGCGGCGGTGGCGGCGGTGGCGGCGGTGGCGGCGGTGGCGGCGGAGGCGGCGGTGGCGGCGGTGGCGGCGGTGGCGGCGGTGGCGGCGATGGCGGCGCAGGCTGCACAGCAGAAAGCTTGGCCACAAGCATTGCCACCGTCTCCTCGAGCGCAGCGACCCGAGCGGCGAGCTGGCTCGCATCGCCTTGGTGGGCGCCAGCCATCTGGCTGGTCGAGCAGGATCACTGGTCCACAGGTCGAGCAGCACCACAGGCCGGGCAACGAGCGAGTCTGAGCAGAAAAAAGGCTGCCTACGTCGGGGTGCGGGTTGGCGAGCCAAAATGGTGTTTTCCGAGGCGCTGCGCTAGGCTCAGAGCGAGTTCGCGCTGCGCTAGGCTCAGACGGCGAGTTCGCGCTGGTGCGCTGGCTCACAGATGGCAAAACAACTCTAACACTCACACGTCATTTGGGGCCTGGAGCCCTGGCAGCCCTGTTCACGCGCGCGCGAGACGTGCAGACAGGGTTGCCAGGTGAGAGCGAATGGCGCGGTTCACGCCTCGCACAACAGAGAGAGAGATGCGCTCTGCATGGTGGGACATAAAGAGAGCGAGTACTTGGGCGAGTAGGCCGTGCGGTCAACGCTGCCGCGCGCGACTTTGCGCGCGAGGCGGCGCAGCTTGAGAACGGCGGTGGGCGAGAAGCCGCCGCCGAACGTCTCGTGGAGCAGCAGGTTGAAGTTGTTGCGCTTGACAAAGATCGCGTCGTGGTAGAAACCGCGATGCGCCTTGACGAAGCCGTGGCCGGTCTTGTGGGAGAAGGGTTGGCCGGGCTGCACGCGCGCCTTGCAGCCCATGTTTAGGCGGCGGGCCTTCTCTTCGGTGTTGCCGAAGGCGTAGGAGTGGCCAACGGAGGCGGGCGTGCCGCCACTCGAGGCGTTGCCAACGCCCGGCGAGGAGGTCTTGAGGAGGGGCGTCCTCGCGTCCTTAGGGGACCCCTAGGCTTAAAAGGGTGGGCCCTGGGGCGCCTGCGGCTTAAACGGCTTAAAGCGGGCCATGGCCCATTTTAAGGCTGCCTGGGCCGCCGATTCTTAAACGGTCTTAAACGCTTAAACGGCGCGGGAGAGCTCCCGAGGTCGATGGTCCGGGAGGCTCCCCCGGTAGACGCCGGAGGCCGGGAAGCTGGCGCAGTCAGCTAGCACGCGTGTCGCGTCCCCTATATGCGAGTCTGGCTCCTGCCAGTGCACCAGACTTACAGATGTGTCTTCAGAGGCGGGTTTGTGCCTAATAACGGCAGTATTGGAGAAAACGGCAGTAACCCAGCGACGCATCTGGTGAGGCCGATTTTCTTAAACGGTCTTAAAAGAGGGCCCCCCCGTGCCTGCAATCTCTTAAATGGCAATCTAAGCCCCCAAACCTCCTCATTTCTTAAAAGCTCTTAAAAAAATCCGGCCCTCAGAACCCTAGGGATTAGGAGAGTCGACAGTGGCCAGGGGGCAGGCGGGGCTTGCATTTTTTGCCGTCGCCAGTCGCCCCCCCCCCAAACGCTACAGACGGTGGGTAGGGGGGTTGGGAGGCTGCCGTGTGCGCGCTGCGGTGCGCTTGCGCGCGCGCACCGCACACCACACGGCGGGAAACAGACGGCGAGGGGGGCGCGGCGCGGCAGCTGCGCAGCGCGCGCGCGGCGCGCGCGCGCGATGGAGGGGCGGAGCAGCGACCGCTGGCGCGGTCGCTGCTCCGTCTGTGCCAGAGACGCGCGCTCTGCCGCTCCACAGAGCGCGCGTCAGGCAAGGTGGGGGCAAGCGTGGCGGCGCGGGACGCGCGGCTCGCGAATATCCGATGGTCGGCTGGAACTCTCACCTCGGCGCAGCAGCTTCTCGTGACCACCATCGTCAACACGAGCAAGAAAGAGCACGGTGGCGAGGTGCTCTTCGGTCAGAACAGTCTTTGCCATCGTGGGCAGCCGGCAAGGCTATGATGCCCTGAAGAAGCGCTCGTCGTAGAGCTCGCTGCTGGCAAGCAGATCGCCGAGGACCTGCCGCCGCACGTCCAGCCGTGGGTCCTGCACAAAGGGATATGTGCACCGAGCACAACGATTCGGCGGACGGTGGGCATTTCTCGCTGCTCGTGTGCCAAAACTGACGAGCCGTACTACATGGAAATCAGCGCGAACACCATGAGCGAGAGCGAGTCTACACATCCGTTCAGATGACCTCCATGTCCTACATGCTCTTCCCCTCACGCCTCAGCCACCGGTGCCGAGCGGGAGCCAGGAACAACCGCATAATAATCAACACTCTGCTTAGCACAAAATAACAGCGCCGGCCCGTGTGGCGCTAGCATCGGCCGCTCATCGCCACGCGCAGCCTCGCGCTCCGTGCGCGGTGAGGCGGCTGAGCCCTGGTCTGACAGCCTGACAGCAAACCCCGGACAGCGCCTGACAGTGCCCGACAGCCTGACAGCGCTGACAGCACTTTCTCTGACAGTCTGACAGCACGTATCTGACAGCCTGACAGCAGAGCCTGACAGGCGAGGCGCTCCGTCGCTGTCAGGCCCTAACGTGACAGCCTGACAGCTGCCTGACAGCCCGACAGCACACAGTGGCCTGACAGCAGCGCTGACAGCCCGACAGCAGCACAGACCGTACACAGTCAGACCCCCCCCCGTAGAGCCTCTTTCTTGTGCCCCATGAGGGTATAACAAAATTATTACATGCAAAGACATGTACATGTGCATGTGAGTGTGGTCCATGTAGTCATGGGATGGTCATGGGTCTCTCTCTCAACCCTCCCGCCCCACCTCTGCGGACCCCTCTCTAGACTCTAGCACCGGCGGCTGTGCTACTACAAATGAAGCTACCAGCTAGCCTTCTGGGGCCCTACAGTCATATGCCTACGGCGTCTGGGTGGGGGTGGCCACCGCCGTCTGTGCCGCCGCCGCCGCCTGCGCCTGCGCCGCCATCTGCGCTCCCCAGGCGGCCGTCGCCGCCGGCGTGATCACGCCGTAGGAGGGGGGCAGCTGCGTAGCCGCCAGTAGAGTCCTGCTGGTCTCCTCTTGATAGTGTCATAAGTGTGGCTGGTGTGTGTCAGAGCCTGACAGCACCCCGACAGCACACCTGACAGCACCTGACAGCAACAGCCCAACGTCTGACAGCAGCAGCAGCCTGACAGCTCTGACAGCTCCGACAGCGTCTGACAGCAACACCCGACAGCTCCGACAGCACCCGACAGCTACAGAGCCCCTCGCCTGTCAGACACGCACCCGACAGCACCCGACAGCACTGACAGCACCTGACAGCTGGTCTGACAGAGGCACCTGACAGTGCCTGACAGCTGCCCGACAGCCCGACAGATCACCTCCTGACAGCACCTGACAGCCTGACAGCCAGGGCTCAGTGAGGCGGCCGGGCGAGGGCGCGGCGGGTGGCGGGGCAAGGGAGCAACCGGGCGACGAGAGGTAGGAGGTGCTTGCGACGGCCGGCGAGCGCTCCCGCGCCTGCGGAGGGGCAAGGCCTGAGGGCGGGCGGGCGGGCGGGCGGGGGGGGGGGGATAAAAGCTGCGTCGCCCCCGCATCAGCGACACTGGCCGCGGCTCGCCGCCACGCGCCGGCTCGGAAGAGGGGCTGTCGACGGCGCAGCAGAGCGGCACGCCTTGCCGCTCGAGCCGCCAACAGCCCCCCACCTCGACGTGACGGCCGTTCCCAGGGCCTGCCGGTGCGAGCCCGACCCACGCCCCCTCTCTCAGCTCTCACCCCTCCGACCCCCCCCGCGCGGCGCACCCGCCCGCTGTGCGCCGGCTCGAGCGCCTATTGCCAAATCGCGACGTTTGAGCGCAGCGGACGCATCCTCTGGGCGCCTGAGCGCGGCAAAATCTTGCCAGAATGTGGCCGCGAAGAGCCTCCGGCGGACGCCTGGCGGCGTGGCGCTGCGCGCCGGCCTGCGGCCCAGGTACCTTTGACCCCTCGTCCTATTTGACCCCACCGAATTCCTTGGTTGGCCCTCGCAGCTGTGATACAAAAGTGGGGACGCGCCTGGCGGCGCGCCCCCAAAAATATTTAACGCATATATCACGTCACGACACAGGCACCACACGATTACACCTCCTCTCTTAGCACCACACTCCTCTCTTAAAATGTATCCCTGTGTGGTGGCGGCGTGCCGTCCTCCCATCCCTCCCTTGGGTTGTCTGTTTTCTTTCTTTCTTTTCTCTTAAATCCCTGCCAGTGTGTGGCGGCGTGGGCCGTCCTCCCATCCCTCCTTTTTGTTTTTTTTTCGTCACGACAGCGGGTTGTACGTGAGAACGAGGCCGAGCGAGGGCGCCTTCGTCCTGGCGCTCTCGCTGCTCGGCAGGAGCGGCAGGTCGACGCCGGTCGGCTGCTCCCGCGGCAAGTCGTCGATGCGCACCCTCCCCTCGCCGAGGCACTCGGTGCGGCCAAGGAGGTCCGCGCCGATCAGCCGCACCAGCAGCGCCTCGTCGGCGGCGCACCGGTTGATGGCGAGCTCCTCCCCCCACACCGGGTTGGGCGAGCCACGGCACCTCCTCGACCTGGCGCGCCGCTCGCCGAGGCGGAACTCGCAGTGGAGCGACGCCGTCCGCCACGCGTTGGGCACGCGCAGGTGGCTCCCCGCCACCAGCTGCACGAAGAGCAGCCCGGCAAACTCAATCATGCCGACCTCCTGCAGCGAGCGGCGCGGCGCGGGAGGGACGAAGCCGTCGCCGCCGGCGAGGAACGAGCCCAGCTCGTACTTTGCGCGAATGAAGGCCTCGACCTGCTCCGCGCTGCTGCTGACCAGGTCCGGCTTGACGCCCGCGGGCAGCCCCGCCTCGAGCTCCGCATTGACTTGCGCGTTGCCCAGCCGCTCCATCCACGCGAGCTGCTCGTCGCTCCAGCGGTCAATCTTGATGGAGAGCACCTTGCTCAGGTGCGTGCCGAGCTTGCGGTGCGCACCTGAGCAGCGGATGCAAAATACGACCCCCAGGTTGGTCGACGCCCACGCAGGCAGCGGCTGCCGCTTCGGGTCGCTCGACATGCAGTCGGCGCACTCGCCGTTGCCGGGCACGGCTGCGAGCCTTTCCTCCACCGGCTCGCCGCACAGCGCCGCGTCCCCGCTCCCGCCTCCGCCCTCGCGAGCGCCTCGCGCGCACACGAGCCGGCCGACGGCCTCGACCCAGCGCCCCATCGCCGCGGACGACGGCGCCTCAAAGTCGTAGACGCTCGCCGCGCTCCCGCGCTCGGCGGAGGCGCGGCAGCGCACGAGAAAGCGCGTGGGCGACTTGTGCGCGGCGGCGCCAGCAGACTCGAGGTGCGCGAGCCCGATGGCACCCTTGGCGTCGCCGCGCTTGCTCTCGTCCTCGAACCAGCGCAGCCCGGTGCCGTCGAGGACGAACCAGCGGCGCTGCCAGACGCGACCCGCGGCGCCGAGGCGCGACTTTTTGGAGAGGTAGCCCTCCATGAACAGCCGACAGGAGCGAGTTCGCGCTGCGCTAGGCTCAGACGGCGTGTTCGCGCTGCGCTAGGCTCAGTACGGCGAGTTCGCGGCCTGCACCGCGCGGCGGGCGGGGTGAACAAAGAATTCCTGCCCAGGAAGGCGTGGCGAATACAGTGTCTACTCCTAGCGGTGGTTGAGGCCGATTGCCTCAACTGTCAACCACGTGGTTGACAGAGGCCTCAACCCTCAACCAAGTGGTTGACAGACCCCTTCCGAACCCCTCAACCGCGCGGAATGGCTGTTCACAGCCTTGTTATTGAGAAGAAAATACCTCCTATGGCGCTGTGCGCTGGCCTGTGAGAGGTTGAGGTGCGAGCCCTGGAGGCCCTGGGGATGGGGGGGGACTACCCGCGGGCTTAGAAGGCCCGCGCGCAGGGGGGTGGGGCATTGAGACCGGTCATGAATGAGAGAGATTTTTAGCAATACCAAACAACTCGTTTGAATGAGTGCGCGACACGCATGTTCACACACCCCGCATTGCTAAATAAAAATCTCTCTCACACACCCCGCGCAAAGGTCTGAACACATTCTCAGGGGAAATACTCTCATTGGAGCATCGCAACTCACGATGGCGAAAACACTAGTTTCAGTGTCGGCCTCCGTACTACTTGTGGCTAGCGCGCTATTGGCAACCGACGGCAAAGGCTGAAAACGGTTCACACCTGCAATTGCAGGTGTGAACACAAAGGATTAGCTGTATCTGACCCAGCTGCTCCGCTTACACAACCTGTGAAGCGTGAACAGCGCCACGAATTTGAAAGCTCTCGTTGGGTCTTACGAAAGAACGGCTCTGAATGTGCACACAGTACGCACTCAAACGCTAACTGGCCGGTGGCCGATGAGTCGAAGCTGCCTCAAGCCTGGGTGGCAGTGCTCGCCGCGGTACCTCGTCGATTCCGCCAGCGTCGGCACTGCCATAAACTCGCCGGCCCGGGCGCGGCGGTCGACTCCTCAGCTTTTCGGCTCGAGCTGCTGCAACTCTCCTCCTGCCGCGGGACCCCGGACGCCGACGTCGATACGTTGGGCGCCCGGGACCCACTCGCCGCCGCCCTCGCGCGGAGCGCTCCATTCGAGGGCCCGCGCCCTCTCCGATGGCGATGCAGACGAGGAGGACGAGCCTCTGGTATTCGCTGTCGAGGCGCTCTCACTCTCTGGCGAGGCTGAGCCAGCCCCTCTGGGCACGCTCTCGAGGGAAGAGGTGTTGGCGCTCAGCATGAGCGCGTTGCGGGCAGCCATCGCCGCGCGCGGCGACAGGTTCAAGAGCAGAGACAAGAGCCGCCTACAGGAGCGGGTCATGGAATCGGCTGCACCACCACTCGGGCCGTGCACCGACGGCAGCGCGAACAGCCAGAGGGCCCAGAGATCTCAGAGCCGCAATAGGCTTGTGCACCCGCCAAACACTGCGGTCTCTGTGCGTGTCTGACTCACTGACGGCGGCCGTTCGCCGAGATAGACCGAGAGGAATCCAGGGGCACATGCCACACATCGAGTAAGGAGAGTATGCCGCAGTACCCGACCACGCGCGCTGTCGTCCCACGCCACAGCAGTTTATAAGCAGAGGTCTAAGGTTACGAGAGTTTTCGTGCGGGATCTTGACACTTGAAACCTGCGCGCTGGAGCGGACGTGATGAACATGCTAATTAAACTCAACGCGGTAAACCGGGGGCCGTGGCGACGAGCGCGCGGCGGGGACGCCCCACACTCACTTGCACACAGCCTGACAGGGTCACGGTCAGGGCTGCCACACGCGCAGTGTCGAGTGTGCGCCGCTGCGCGCAATCCATGCGCCCTAACCGGCAGGTCGCGGCCTGCTATCGGGCGGCAGGACCGGCCGGCGCGTCTTCCGCTCTCAGTACGGCGCGTACCTGAAGCCGGCCGCAAAGCCCCTGCCTCCTCCCTTGCCGCCCTTGCCGCCCTTGCCGGCGGGGGAGAGCGGCTCCTGCAGCGCGCCGCCCTTGATGACCATCCCGTCGTAGAAGCGGATGAGCGTCACCTTGTGGTCCGACACCTGCGGCCGAGGGGAGGAGAGGGTTCGCGGAAGTGCCCGTCTTGGGAGGAGGAAGTTCGCGGAGGCGTCTCTCGGAGCCTGCCACGAGCCGTCCCGCTCGTTGACGGCGATCGAGAAGCCGTACGGCGCGAGCCCCTCGTTCATGCACGCGAGCACGATCTCCGAGCCGTCGCCGTTCGAGTCCAGGCTCAGGTCCGCGCCCGAGACACGCATCACGTCCACGCCGTCCAGCGCCTGAAAGGGGCGGGCGGCGCCGCTGAAAGGGAGGGGGGGGGGCATGGAGGCGGCCCCTCGCGCGGCGACGCCCTCTGGCGGGGCGGCCCGCACCACGATGGTGTCCTCCGCCTCCTGCCGGGTGGTCCTCTTCTTCCGCATCTGCGCGGGAGGCGAGAAGCGCGGGTGACTTGGCGCAGCGGCGGGGCGGAGTGGCAGGGTGGCGGCGCACGCCTCGAGCGTCGTCCGCACGGCGCGCGCGTCCTTCACCTTGACGCCGGGCTTGTTTGGGCAGTTGGGCCTCGTGTGCCCCGGCTCGCCGCAGTAATGGCAGACGATAGGACCTTTCCATGCCCCCATGTTGGAGGGGCAGACGTTTGAGGTGTGACCCATTCCGCCGCACGTGTGGCAGACCACACCCGCCCTGCCGCCGCCACCGCCGCCGCCGCCGCCGCCGCCGCCGCCGCCGCGCCCACCGCCACCACCGCGCCCGCCGCCGCGCCCGCCGCGCCCGCCGCCGCGCCCGCTGCCGCCATTGGGGCAGACGGTTGACTTGTGACCCGGCTGGCCGCATGTGTAGCAGACGACACCGCCGCCGCCGCCCCAGCCCGCCCCGCCCGCCGAGGCCGCCTTTCTCGGAGGGGGCCTGTCCTCCTCGATCAGCTCGTCGAGCGATTTGTGCATGTTCTCCTCCACGCCCATGCTGCCGGTGAAAGCGATAAAGAAAGCATCGCTGTTGAGAAACGTATTCACCGCGGAGAGTGCCGTCCTCCCATCCCTCCCTTGGGTTGTCTGTTTTCTTTCTTTCTTTCTTTCACCGCGGAGATCTACGAGAGACTGCGAAGAGAGATAGGAAGAGGCGGACGCCCAAGGGTGGGCAACGGCTAGCGCACCACACCCCTCTCCTTAAAATCCCTGTGTGGTGGCGGCGTGCCGTCCTCCCATCCCTCCCTTGGGTTGTCCGTTTTCTTTCTTTCTTTCTTTTTCACCGCGGAGAGGTGACAGGGGCGGTCAGCCGGAGACCGTACCCCCCCCACCCCCTTAACGCTTAAGCCGTGAGACTACCGTACCACACCCCGGAAAACGTTCGAAGCCGGCGCTAGCAAACTCTGAAATGCTCAATGGGAGAAAGAATTTTCCGTTTTACGAGCAAACTCTGCTTTAATTCTAAGGCAGGCAAATAATTTTTCCTTTTCTTACCACTCCAATGTCGTCCAAACCCAACACTCGCCCAGCCCCCAGGTCCCGTGCGATATGGATGGCGAGAAATGAGCGCGTCAACCAGTGCTCAAACTTTACCGGTATGAGACTGGTATTTGGCGATATTTTGATTAGTTTTGGAGTGGTATGGTATAGTGGTATGCGAAAGTGGTATGCGGGGTTTTCAGTAGTTGTAGCGGCTGTCGGTGTGGTCCCGGGGGCGAAACCATGCAAAAGTGCGGGTATTACCCGAAAATGGGCAAAAACGGGGTGATTTTGGTCATCCGTCAAAATATCTGAAGATGTGAATGGGAGATTCTCCCCAAACCTTGCTCAGCTGATCCAGCACGGGCCGTAGGCCAGCCCTGGGCAAAGAAACCAGTACCTCATCGGGCTTCCCTGAGCGTCACAGCTCGGTGATCGCGCCGGCCGGACACCACTGTAACGTCCGTTCCGGGCATTTGAACGCGACCTTCGGGGGCAAAGACATGGGCTCTATGGCTCAGACTGGACTCCTCTTGGTCCCTTCTGATGCCCTAGGCCACACCTGGGCCTTACCTGGGGTCCTAGGGGCCGGGCAGGGTTTGCCCCCCCCAACTGGCCCGAAGAAGCTTAAATCTCCTGGGTTGGCGTGCCCCGAGAGCTGCGTCTGGAGCTCCCGAGGCACATCGCCACACGACCCCGGCGTCGGCGCTCAAACAGGCCCATCGCGCCGGCTGCCGGAGTGGAGACTCCCAGGTTGTCTCATAAAGGCCCTCACGCGAGATTGCGCACGACTCGGACGATGGGGTTGAGCAAGCAGCCCGAAGCTGCGAGCCGACGGCGACGCATGCTTTCGGCGTTACGGCGATTTGGATGGATCGCACGTTGTTATGCTTGCTGTCCACCTCTCCTCACGTTGAAGGATAACCTACATAGCCGCAGCGGCGCGGCTATCTCCGACGAGACTGGCTCAGTCGCTGGCGGCCGCAGTTTTCTGTGACCCACCCACCTCTCCCTTGTGTTTTGTCTGGGCAGGCTTCTCCTGCGGAGTCGTGCGTGCGCAGGGCTCCTCTTTGCTTTCTTCTACTCCGCCCTACTACATATCATCGCTCGTTGTAGGCTACGTTGACCTAGACCTTGACGTTCCCGTCCCCTTCCATAAAGCCGTACACCAGAGAACGGTGTTGAGTAGTTCTTTTGACATTTTTCCCACCTCAAACAACTAATCCATCCATCATATCGCCTCAACACACACCCACGCCTATCTCACATCCTCTTCACGCGACACGACCCTCCAGCTGGCGGCGCGCCTTTTCCTCGGCCGCGTCGAGCTGCGCGAGCGCCTGCAAGCTCCACCCCTCCCCCTCGTCCCAATCATTAGCCAGATCTAGCTCTGGGGTGGCCGTTGATGGGGTGACCAACGCGGTGCTCGCCGCCTGCAGCACCCCAAGTGGGATGGGGAGCTCGTCGGAGCCGCGGAACCCTTGCTCGCGGCAGTCGGCGTCGAAGCACCGCTGCTGGAAAGTGCCGCGCGCAAGGCTGGCCACGAGGAGCGTCCCGTTCGAGCGGTGCTGCCGTCCGACGTGCGCGCACCTAGGATCTTGCGATCGAGTCTATGCAGCCCTCAGCCACGCTCTCCTCTCGTGGCTGATAGGGAAGGCCAGGTAAGCTTCTCCACGCACACAACGGTGGTGGCGCAAGGGCCCGGCAGCCCTCGCGACTGCACGTCTAAAAGACAGGAGCCCCACGGCAGCTGAAGTACAGATCCCAGTGCGCGTGGGTGAGCGGTGTGATGTGTGTGTGTGGGGGGGGGCGGGCACCAGCGGTTGCTCGGCGCGAGCGTGAGGGTGAACCGGCTCGCCGCGGGCTCGAGCGACCACTTGCGTGCAGCAGCGGGCATCCCGCTCTTGGCCGCCCAAGCGGAGAGCATGAAGGCGGAGAGTCCGGGCATGGGGCAAGCTCCCGCTTGCGCGGGGCCACGCGTCGACTCCCCGCCGCCGCCACCGCTGCCGCCGCCGCCCTCGACGCCACCGCCAGCAGCAGCAGCAGCAGCAGCAGCAGCAGCAGCAGCAGCAACGCAAGAGCCGGCGGTGGCGCTGCCGCCTCCGCCGCCCGCTGCCTCCGCCGGCGGCTGGCCGTGTGAGAGCAACGTCGCGCCGGGAGGGACGAGAGTGACGAGGGAGGAGAAGAAGAGGTCCTCCTCTGCGGCGTGCGGCAGGAAGGCCTGAGCAGGAGAAGGTGATGATCGTGATGGTGACAGACGGGGAGAGATCGACTACTCTGTGAAGATTCGGAAGTTGGTGGTGGCAAGGGAATCGAGGCCCCCAAGGAGGAGATACTGCTGACTCTCAAGGGTCCACAGCAACTAGAGCAAGAGCGGCGTGCGGCAGGAAGGCCTGCTCTGCGGCAGAGAGCCTTCCAGTGTCCAGGAAGTGTCTAAGAAGTGTCCAGGAAGTGTCGCCTGCTCTGCGGCAGAGAGCCGCGCCGGGCGCAGCTCGGCCTGCCCGGCGAGCTTGGACGACTTGTACAGCCGAAAGCAGCGGTTGCGCGTGTATACGCCGAGGTCGACGAAGGTCGTCTCGAAAGAGGCAGCGGCCACGCCCACACCGCACGGCGCGTGCAGCGACGCGAGAGGGGCTGGCGGCGTGGCAGCGCCTCGCCACCCCCCCTCCGCCCACCCACCCGGAAGTTCCGCCGCTGCAGCGCACGCTGCCGCGCACCCGACTCTCGCCGGTTCGCCATGCCGGCAGTCGCTGGCTCGGGCCTCCGCCCTCCTCATGCGCTTGCGCGACCTGCTAATCGGCGAGTCGTCCGCACGGCTGGCATCGCTCTCCGCGTCGCTCGGCGAGGGTGGCGAGGAGGGCTGCACCGCTGCAGGCGCTTCCGCAGGCAGCGGCGCCCTCCGCTGCGGCGTGGAGCCCGCCGGCGGTGAGGGCGCCACAGGCAGCGGCGTTGAGCGCGCTTCCGCAGGCAGCGGCGTGGAGCCCCCAGCCGATGCAGGTCGAACCCACAGCGCGTTCAGCGCTGGCTCAGCCGCCCGGCGCGCAGCGAGCTCGTCGACCCACGCGCGCACGAAGCGGCCGCAGTGGCCGTTGTCAGCGAACGCGGCGCCCGGAAGCCGGACGACGAGATGGCGCGAGAACTTGGCCGCCGTCGATGAGTCGAGCTCAACAATCGCGTCATCGGGAGGGAGCACGCCGTACTCCCGGTGCAACGCGGCGCACACCTCGCGGCGCACCGTCAAAGTCATGGCCTCGCCGCACCGGTCCGGGTTGGCGCGCACGTAGAACTCGAGGTCGAGGTACAGGTGACACGGCTGCCCCTCCGCAACCACCTCGTAGTGGTGGCGGAACTGCGGGCGCAGCCGCCGGTACCGCCTCCAGAAGCTCTCGCGCGAGGCGACGATGAATTTTCGCCGCCCATTCGCGCCAATCTCGACCGCCCATGGCACCTCGCCACTTTCGGATGCCTCGCGCAGCGCGGTCTGCTGCTGTGCGTGGAGCGACCAGCCGTCCTCCTCTGCGGTTCTCCAGGCTCGCGGCTTCTTCGCCGAGTCGGCACCGCCGTAGAAGCGGCAGGGTGGAATCTCGGCGAGGCGGCGAGTTGACATTCCTAGCTGGACTCCGGCTGCGCGAGCGGCTATTCGTGTGGCGTCCTCCACCAGGTCCGCGATAACATTAACAAGGTGCTCTGTGTGACGGCTGTGTGAAGAGAGGCGCGCGCACACTAGCAGGCGCGCCGGATTCGTCGAGCCACCCGATTATAATTTATTATTGTTACGGAGTAGGTCGCCTTGTCCCCAACAGCGGCCAACCAGCCAGCGCCTTCCCAGCCAGAGCCTTCGCCGCCGGAGACTTTGGCCTCGAGAGCTCGGGCGAACGTCTTGACGCGCTCCTCTCCCGAGAGCGAGACCGCGCCCGCGGCCGGAAGACCGTCTGCTAACTGGAGGACCTCCTCTTGCGAGACGTGGCCTTCGGCGGCGCTGCCTGACTTGGGCAACTTGCGGAAAACAGCCAGAGCATTGCTCGAGCCGTCGACCTTGACAAGCGTCGCGTTAGAGACGACGTGTGCCTGCGCCGGCTGTAGCATGAGGCTCACCAGCAAGGTGTTGAGGACGACCGAGCGTCGGGGCTCACACGTGCAGCCGCCTATCTTGGCCAACATAGGCGGCTGCACTCGCAGCCGCGTACCGCGTGACATACACGCCCACGCATGGGGCGCGATGTTCCCCTAGATAGGCGCCCACACGTGTAGCCGCGTATGTGAACATCCCTCTGTGCACGTGCCAGCGCGAGTCGCCTTCGCCGACGGGCCGTTTCACGCGCTCACGCCCGCCTATGTTGGCCAAGATAGGCGGCTGCACGTAGGCGGCTGCACGTGTGGGCGCGAGTACCGCTATACGCGTCTGCACGTGTGGCCGCGTATCTTGGCTAAGATACGCGCCGGCACAGAATGACACGTATCAGCCCCGCGCCGAGCTCGATGCGCGGCCAGCGGGTGAGGGCGGCTATTCTCCCCCGAGGCAGGCGAGGATACGCAGTCCCCTGTCGCGCGTGTAAGTCCCGGTTGCCGTGCGCGCCAGCGCGTGTGGCCGCGTACCTTAGCTAAGATACGCGCGCACGGGCGTGGGTGGGTAAAAACGGGTCACTTTGCGGGGTTTGCCACCCGCACCCCTCGATCGTCTCGCCCACCCTCACTGGAGTGTTCATTGGGGGGTCGTAACAAACCCGGTACAGGATCGAGGTGCACACTGCCGAAGCAGAGTCGTCCCCCTTCTGGCAAGCCTTCTCCTCGACGGTGATGGCGGTCGGTGACCGATCGAGCACGAGCTACAAGACTCAAGGGTCAAGAGGACTAGAGGAGGAACTTGTTGAGCAGGATCCAGGATCCAGGATAGTCAGATGCACTACCTCACTGGGCCTGAGATCACCGCACGACAGCAGTGAGACTGCCACCTGCGCGCAGGGAAGCGCCCCGTGAGTCGGGAGGGACCGCTCCGCTCTGGACTGCACTCCAAGTGCTCCCAAATTTGCGGAACCGCCCGCGAGCGACACGCCGTGGACGGCACATGTACATGTTGTTGTTGTGCATGTGCATGTGCATGTTTGTCACATGACAGAGAGTGATTCGCAGACACGTATCTCGCCGCTTCTCAGCGCGGCATCTCAGCACCGTACGCCCGCGGGCAGGCGACTCAGCTCTCTCTCGATGCCTTCCCGCACGTCTCTCGGCAAGCTCCTGTAAAAGTTGCGGGCAAGACGACCAGACGCCGAGCAGATGGCCTTGCGCCGCGCCGCCAGCACGGCGCGGCGCAGGCCGGCGAGGGACTCCTCACGCGGGACGCCCTCCTGCGCCTCGACCAGCCCGCGCGCCTGCGCAGGAACGCTCTTTAGCAGCGCCTCGTCCGTCGGCGCCACCTCGCTCGCACCCCGCGGCGCGACAGCCTCGACCTCAACGCCCTGCACGACGCCGTCTCGTCGCCAGCCTGCGTGGCCGGAGCCAGTCTCTTCGTGTGCGCTGCAGCCGCCGCGCCACGTCAGCCGCGCCACCACCGAGACGGACGCCGCCCAAGTGCCGCACTGACCAACCTCGGCCACGTCAACCTCGCAATCCAGCACACGCAAGGTCCAGCCGCACGCGCCGCCGCACGCGGCGTCAAAGGTGAGCCCATCTCGCGGCGGGAGGGCGGCGGCGTCGCCGCTCGCCACGTCCTCCTGCACCGCCGCAGCGGCGCGCCGCCGTGTCGCATGTGAGCGGTGGAGCAGCAGCGCCACCTCGTCTGCGAGGGTGCGCGTGCCGGGCAGCGGCGGCGCGGATGCGCTCGCGGTTGGCGGCGCGGCGGCGCTTGCGGGCGGCGGAGACGGCGCCCGAAGAGACGGCGCCCGAAGAGACGGCGGGAAGCCCGCGGCGGCGGCGGCGGCGGCGGCAGCGTTGGTGGCCGCGGCGGCCGCAGCGGCGGCGGCCGCGGGAGGCCTGACGGCTGGCGGGAAGGCGTCGCGCTGAGCGAGGTGCGTGAACTCGACCAGGCTCGTCGGGGACAGCGTGGGAGGCCAGTTGGAGGCGGAGGCGGACATATACGTGTGTATATACAACACAGAGTGCCCGACCCTTTTGTGCGCAACTGAAAAGAAGAAATGATGCTTGATTGCTCCCCGCGAGATTGTTTTGTCTCCCGAAGAAAAAATCAATCCCGGAATTATGTCGAAAAAAGAATCCACTCACGCTCCAGAGGTAGAGGACCCCGTCATACTGCTGTGAATAGGGACGTAACCCATACTGTGCCTGGTTCGAGAGAGAGAGATTTTTAGCAATACCGTTTTGTTTTGGTTCGATGACCTGGTAGCACATGGGCAGAAAAAAAAGGATACTTGGGGCGGGGCGCAGCAGAGGCACAACCAGGTCCGTTGTGAAGTGTTGGGCGCGCCACCCAAGAGCCTAGGTGCTAGGTAGGTGCGGATCATCGGCAAGGCGCAACGCGTGCCGTCGATCTTTTTACCTTCTATCATCGTTTGGGTTGTGATCTAAGAACTTGAATTAGGATTCCTACACCACGGACTTCAGGTTACACCTGAAGCTCTTCTGACAGCGAGCCCTTCTTGCCGTACGGCTCTTCCTGTTTGTCGGCGCACAGAGCCCTCCAGCGAGATAGGAACGACTGTATTGTGTATCGCTTTTGACGGATCGACCGTGCTTGTTATCAATACCGATCTCACGTACACAGTTAGACTCCAGACGTTCTGTACTCTCCTATCCGGCAACCGGCGAGACGCTGTCGTGAGCCAGTTGCGGCAGCCGCCAGCGGAGGGGGCCGCCGAGTCGCGCAAACACACACACACACACACACAAACACACACACATTATTTCGGTGGTCTCAGGCCCAGTGAGGTAGTGCACCGGTCTAACTCGGATCCTGCTGAACAAGTTCCTCTTGTAGCTCGATCGGTCACACCGCCATCGCCGTCGGGGAGAGGGGGGACGGCACTGCTTCAGCAGCGTGCACCTCGATCCTGTACCGTGTTTGTTATGACCCCCCCCCCAATGAACACACCAGTGAGGGTGGGCGAGACGATCGAGGGGTCCCGTACCATGCGGAATCGACCCTATCCGGTGCTCAAGTGCTCAATCATCGGGCGGCGGCGCGGCGCGGCGGCGGGCGGCGCGAGGCGGCGGCGCGGCGAGGCAGCGGGCGACGCGGCGACGCAGGGCGGGGCGGCGCGGCGGCGGATGGTAATTACTTATTTGTTAATTAATTATTAATTATTAATCATCGGGCGGCGGGGCGGCGCGGCGGCGGGCGACGCTGAGCGGGGCGGCGCGAACACCTGTACTGACCAGGCCTCTGGCCTTTGATGCAGCGCAGTGGGCCGTCCTCGACTCGAGGGGCTGCCGTCCACCCGTAGCCGTGGCTGCTCAGGCCGGGGGAGGGGGAGAGACCTCCTGTTCCGCGGAATGCGAGCAGGCCCCTCCTTGCCCGGTCTGTGATGCAGGGCGGTGCGCGCGACACGTTCCCGTCGGCCGGACTGTCCTCGTCGAGTGTGTGCCGCCAAGGCGGGACGCACTCAGGGACAGACAGTGCCGACGGGACGCGGCTCGAGGGGCGACTCCCGCGAAGGCACGGCTGGCACCCGTGGCGCGGGGCTCGTCTTCGAAAAGTCGGGTATGGCTCCGCCCGCAACTCTCTCGCTGACACGCGCGCCCCGTCGACCTTACGGCGGGCGCGCTGCGGTCGCACGCCTATCTCCGTCATATGCCACGGCGTGCGATCTAGATCAGCACACGCGCTTCTGCTCGCATACACTCATACAATGAACTGACATCACCCATGAGTGCGAGTTGGGGCTGGCAGTAGGCCGCTAGGCTGTGAGGAGGGCGTCCATAGACACCTCACAAGACCCCACACACGGTCTTGTCCGTGCCTTGCGGCCGGCGAGATTGCTAGAGGCGGAGCGGTCTGCTCTAGCCTCGCACGTTACTCCCTGTCACCTGCCTGTGTTGTTGTGCTCTTGTTTGTACCCTTGGCACCGTGTGTGCTGGGGGGGGCGACAGGGAGGACGTGGCCCTGAGTTATGTGTACGCCAACTCAGGGTGTGTGGCAGCCAGCTGGCTGTGTGTCTTGTGTGTGAGCCTGTTTGTGTCTGTGTGTCGCTCGTGCGTGTCGTCATAATCTGTCCCGCGTCCACCCATACCGCGTTGGTGTCCAGTCCGAGCCTGGCTGTTCTTCACCTTCTTACATACATACCTATAAATAACCTAACCTAACCTAGTCGTGTATCGATCGAGCTCGCGATCCGGGCCGTGGAGCCCACGAGAGAGACTTCGTCTGCTGGGACGGAGTCCCGACGCTCGCTGCGTCCGCCGGTACTGGGGTCTGCACACCTTTCGTTCGTCCGCTGTCGCCATGTCACGCACAGAAAAAAATCAAAACGCGAAAAGCCGATCGGCGGTGCCACCGAATGATGGCCGCGGTGGAGCCGTCTGCTGTGGAGGTGAGCCCTCGCGACTACCTTCAGCTCGCACGCAACAAGCGGGCACTCAAGGCTCTCGCTGCCAACTCGGCTCTCGCTGGCCAAGTCCTGCTCTCGCTCAACGTCACCAAGATTAACCGGCGCGGCAAGTCGCAGACTCGGGTGCTGCTCGTCACCACGAGACACGTGCTCAACCTGATGCCTGACAACTACGCCAAGTGCAACCGCTGCATCCCAGTCGCACGGCTGAGCTGCGTGTCCACCTGTGCGGCCGCACGGGAGTTTGTGATCCACGTCGAGTCCGACTACGACTACCACTTCAAATCGCAGTACTTTGTGCAGGCCGTGGCGATGCTGTCGAGGGCGTACGCGGCGTGCTCCGGCAAGGAGCTGCGAGTCTCCGACATGAGCGTCCGCGCTCTCGCGACGAAAGTGACCACCAAACCCACGGTGCTCAAGGACAAGCGAAAGCCGTCGGTGCTCAACGCGCGGCTCGGCCTCTCGGGGGTGCCGTTTGTCTCTAAGAGCACGTCAGGGCTGCCCGTCGCGATGGTCGAGGATTCGGACGAGGGAGACGACGTGGACGACACCCCCTTCCTCGACATCGCGCACGAGCGCTCCAGCGTTGGCGACGGCGACGGCGCCTCCGCGGTTGGCGGTGCCTTTAGCGCCAGCAAGTCTCGCTATAACGTCGAGGACTTCGAGATGCTCAAGGTGCTGGGCAAGGGCGCGTTCGGAAAGGCACTCGGAGCCCTGCCCCTGCCCCCTACGAGCGCGCGCCCGAAGCCGACCTGCCGCGTACAGGTGATGCTCGTCAAGGCGCGCGACCACGGGACGGTGTACGCGATGAAGGTGCTCTCCAAGGCGGTGCTGCTGGAGCGCAATGAGGTGACGCACACGCGGACCGAGCGGAAGACGCTCGAGGACACGCACCACCCCTTCCTCGTCCACCTGCGCTTCGCCTTCCAGAGCCCGTCCAAGCTGTTCCTCGTCATGGACTACTGCTGCGGCGGCGAGCTCTTCTACCACCTCAAGTGCCGCGGCCGCTTCGACGAGCCACGCGCGCGGCTGTACGCGGCCGAGATCGCGTCGGCGCTCTCGCACCTCCACTCGCGCAAGGTTACCACCCCCACCGAGGCCTCCCCCTCCATCGCCCCCGTCTCCGGCGCCTCCACCTCCGTCCCCCCCTCCACCCAGCCCTCCTCCTCCGTCACCCCCGCCTCTGCCACCGCCTCCCTCACCCCCGCCGCCTTCGCCTCCGCCTCCCTCGCCACCACCGCTCCTGCCTCCCCCGCCCGCCCCCCCACCTACGCCCCCGCCACCCTCACCACCGCCTCCCTCGCCGCCACCGCCTTCGCCGCCCCCACCCCTTCCGCCACCACCATCGCCCCCGCCACCCGCCCCACCGCCGCCTTCCCCGCCTCCCCCGGGTCCACCCTTCCCTAGCCCGACGGCGGCTCTCCCCGCCCCCCCCGTCTCAACCACGGTAGCCACCGCCTCCCTAGCCTCCCCCTCCCTGGACAACGCCCACCGGGCCCCCTCCGCCCTAGCCCCCCCTGCGCTTGAACCCCTGCCTGCCCGTCGCTTCCTACCTCCTGCACCCCCTCCTCCCTCACCCCGGACTCTGCCCCCACCTCCCTCACCCCCACCGCCTTCCCCGCCCCTTCCTCCACCGCCCACTCCACCACCTAAGGTTATCTACCGCGACCTGAAGCCCGAGAATGTGCTGCTCGACAGCGACGGCCACGTGCGGCTAACCGACTTTGGCCTCGCCAAAGACGCGATGGAGCTCTCCGACAAGACGCACACCTTTTGTGGCGCGCGCTGCCGCCGCACCCGTGCCCCCCCCCCCCCTCCCCGGCCCTCTTGCCCCCCGCCGCCGCCCGCCCGCCCGCCCCGGCCCGCCCCGCCCCCCGCCCACGCGGCCGCTCTGCCACGCACGCCCAGGCACGCCCGACTACCTCGCGCCCGAGGTGATCCGCGGCGGCGGCCACGGCCGAGGCGTCGACTGGTGGAGCCTCGGCACGATGATCTACGAGATGCTCGGCGGCCTCCCTCCGTACTACTCAGAGAACGTGAACGCCATGTACGAGAAGGTGCTGCGCGCGCCCCTCGAGTTCCGGCCAGAGACGGCCTTCTCGTCCGACGCGAGGGACTTGCTCCACGGCCTGCTGCAAAAGGAGCCTGAGCAGCGGCTCGGCTCGTCGGCTCGCGACGGCGAGGAGCTGCGAGAGCACCGGTGGTTTGCGCCGATCGATTGGGCCAAGCTCGAGCGGCGCGAGCTCGAGCCGCCCTTCAAGCCGGAGGTCGGCCACGAGACGGACGTGTCCAACTTCGACGAGGAGTTCACGTCGGAGGTCGCGCAAGAGTCGTTCGGAAGCGACTCGGCTCTGAGCGCGAAGGCCGCCGCCGCCTTCGCCGGCTTCACCTATACCGACGCGTCAGCGCTCGCCTGAGCGGACGCATGCGTGCAGCTGTTCACGCAACTCGCAGAGATGCCACTTGAGGTTGAGGCGCGTTGAGCTCGAGGTGCGAGACGGACGCGGGCGCTGTACACGCCAGGTGCCGGACTCTCGCGTTCGTTTGCGCGCTACTCTATCTCTTCTCGAGTGTTCATGTGCTTTTCGAGTGTATGTATGTATACAGAGAGAGGAGTCAACTTTGGGGTGTATTGTGGTCGGTGGGAGCCGCTTAGCGCTTTGGCAAATCGTGGAGACAGTTGCGAGTCACGCTCGGGCGGACAGCACCGATGCCGTCGCCGGACGCGGCGGCGAGGCACACGGGCCCCGGCGTGGCGCGTCGGCAGGCCCACCACGAGCGGATGCGCGACGAGCGCGCTCGGGAAAAGCGGCCGCGGGCGACGCGGAGCTTCCGCCGGAGGACGACTCGGTCGAGATGGCGAGCGCCGTCCACGTGCTGGATAGCGTGGCGGAGGTGGTAAAAACATTCGTTGCCGCCGAGTCGTGGACAAGTGCGCGGGGCTAGCGGTCATTATTGTGACAGGGAAAATTTGCAGTTTACTACGTTTTGAGCTTTTCTCTTGCAGATTACTATACACCACACAATCCAAGAGCTTTTCTCTTGCAGATTACTACACACCACACAATCCACCTTGCAGATTACTATACACCACACAATCCAAGAGCTTTTCTCGTGCAGATTACTACACACCACACATCCACCTTGCAGATTTCTACACACCACACATTCATCGCAGACTACTCACCTGCAAATCCGAGGTTGCAGTTACTACCCCCTCGTACGCGGCCGCGGACATGCTCGTTGGTTGAACGCTGAAACTTGATCGGGCGTAATCCGGATTGCCTGCATATGATCTACGCGTCGGCTGCCTCCCGCTCCACCCGCCGCGACGGGCGGATGCGCAAGCCACCTCCCGCAATCCTGGGCGACTATCTCTTTGGTGGAACCGCACTCAAGCAGGCTCGGGAGCACACGACATCCGCGAGCATCACGAGCATGAAAGAGAAGGTGCTCGACCTCCACGACCTGACCGCCTTCCCTGCGTTTGGCAAGAGCGGCGGCGGGGAGCGGGGAGAAGTCGGCGGGAAAGCCGGCGGCGGCGTCGCAAAGTGGGTGTGTTGTGGTTCTTGCCCAAAAATGCGTGTGGTTTTTGCCCATGCACATTTTTTTGCATTTTTGCATATGTTGCATATCACACATATCATGGCATTTGAACGCATTATAGTGCATTCAAGACTGCATCTGCATTTTCTGCATTCGTGATTCGAGAGGCAACTGCATGCATTCGGTGGGCAACTGCATTTCAGCTGCATATGCATTTTCTGCATTCTTTGCATTCGGTGGGCAACTGCATTTCAGCTGCATATGCTTTTTCTGCATTCTTTGCATTCGGCGGGAAACTGCATTTAGTTGCATGGATTCACTGACACACGGCCTCCATTGCGTGTCCGTGTGTACCTAATCCTCCAAAAAGAAATGATGTCCCTACCAGGGCGGTGCTGGCTGTCTCGGTCGACTACAATCTCCTGCTCCGTGCGCAAGTAAGCAACCGCAGCGCGAACATCAGTGCGGGTCAAGTGCATGTTCGCCGAGCTGACAGTGCAAAATAAGTCGTCAACGGAGCACCTGAGCTCTCCTTCGAGGTGCTCAAGAGCCGCACCGGCCGCGCGGACAAGAGCAACGACGGCGGCGAGGTCAGAGTGGTCAGCAGCAGGAGGTGGAGGGACCGGACGAAGTGCTGCTCGCGGTGGGTGCCGGTCGCCGGGGGCGCCGGGGGGGGGCGCTAACAGACCTCTTGCGCCCGCCTAGCCAACAAAATGGTGTATCATCTTGATGCATGCAAAATTCTCTACATTAGATGAGGCAGGAACCGGAGCCAGATGGCCAAAGGGGTGGACTGCTCAAGGGCCTCCCATTGTCCTTGGCCTTGCCTACTCAGCAACATGCATCACTATGCACTTAAAATGCAATTACTAGAGTGCTGCAAACTGCATCGCGATTTACCTCGCTCGTAACATTTTAGAGAACATTTTTCGTAATTAATAATTCGCACCGTCCACAGATTCACAGGGGGTCGGTGCTTGATCCGGCGCCCGACGCCCGGCGTTGCGAGGCACGCGGTGTGCCCGACGGGTTCGCGCGGTCGCGGCGAAGGCTAAAGAGGCGGTCCTTCAGAGTCCTTCAAACGCTGGAATGCCTCGTTCTGCTTTCGCGTCGAGCCCTCCAGCTCGCCGCCACCGCCGTGGTCGCGGAACCACCGCGCACGCTCCTGCAGGAACTCGTCCTCAATGTCAAAGTCCGTGGCTACCGGTGCGGGCGAGAGCGGGCGTGCATTTGCTGCTGTCGGCTGAATGATGCTATGGTCCACTCGCAAGTCACTGGCACCGTCGCGCCTCTCGGCACCTCGTCCCAAGGCCGGCCGTAAAATAAGGAGATGCGCCCCTGCAACTCCAGCGCGCGCTCCTGGTCGAGTTCATATGCGTCGCTGTCGTCAGGCGCCTCCTCGCGTGGCCGCCTCACTGGCGAGTCTGGGGTAGGGCAGAAGTTATCCCCGTAGGCGGGCGAGCCAGGCGGTGTCGGACCTCCACCGCCTGGAGCAAGCTGCGCCTCGAGCCATGCCTGTGACGCCTCTGAACCCGGGTCGCGCAGGTATGCATCGGCCTCAGCAGCATCGCCCGTGTAAGCTTGATACGCGCAAGAGAAGTTTACACGGCGGTTGCGAAAGTTGGCAATGCTGCCACGGGTGGAGAGGCTGCCCCAATCACCAGTCTTCTCACTCAGAATCTTGCGAGGGGACCCGCTCGCAATCCTAGAAGGGTGGCGGGGGCTGTGAAGAGGCCCGCTCTTCTCGACTTGAATGTACTCTCCTAAGCTGTGAATCAGACGCACTTGCCTTCGGCCCAATCCCGGCAGGGTGGGCGTGCTTTCACAGCCTCACGAGAGTAACTTGAATGAGAGGCTCTCCTCTCTCCCTCTCCCACCCACGCGCTATTGGTCGCTCTCATCTCTCACCTCGCGATCTCGCAGACGCGGAATGCCCGTGATCTACGTCTCTGAAGAGGTTCAAGGCAAGCGCCGTCTGCTGCAGCTCGTCTTCCCTCGTTTGTCCTCGCGATCAGCGCCAGAGCAACCTCGTCTAGATGCGCCGTGACTAGACCATCACCATGGCGGCCTCATCTCCAGCACGGAGAGCACACCGACTTGCGATCGACGCGCGCCCTGCTGCGTGGCGACAGGCACTCGAGGTGGGAGTGGCCCGAGCTGCGTGCGGGAAGCAGCACCATCCAGGGCTTTGGCCTTTACCCTCGAGCGGGCGGCGAGGTGAACTGGGAGAAGCTCGAGCGGCCGCTCGCGCTGCCGTACCTGGGCAAGGAGACGGAGGTGGAGAGCGCGTCGCAGGCGCGCGTGCTCCGCTCCGTCCTCAGCGGCTGCTTTGACCTCTGCCGCCGCGACGAGCTCTTCACGCCCAAGGGGCACGTCTGGGCGCGAGTGACGGGGGCGGCGCGGTGGCGGCTCGCGCGGGGGAGGGAGGGCTCGAGGCGCGAGGGCGTGCCTCCGTAGGTGCAGGACGGGATCTACGTGACGTCTCAGCCGCGGCGCGACCTCGTCGACGGCCAGCAGGTGGTCGGCGACGACGAGTGCCTGCTGCAGGTGGAGGCCGACGCGGAGAGGGCGGCACGTGAGCGGCGTCTCTTCACAGCAGCGGGCGTGAGCAGGTGGGTGTGGATTCGTTGTACGACAAGCGTGGCGTCTCGCACGTCGACGAGGGCGACGAGGAGGTCTGCTACTTGCGGGCGGAGGAGGCGCGCGAGCTGCTGCACCTGCCTCCGCACGTGTTCTCGCTGCTGTGCGCGCACGCAGAGGACGGGCACGCGGACCGCAACATCTCGACGCACATCGTGCAGTTCATGCGCAAGGCGCAGGCGCACCTCATCGTCAACGCGCACCCCATGTTCCGCAACTCGGCCTTCATGATGGGCAACGCGAACGAGCCGTTTCGCGGGCCACACCCTCGCTGCCAGCCTCGAGGAGCGGCGCCCGCTCCTCGCCGCTGAGGACTCAGGAGCGCTGGATTAGGCCGCCCTCGCTGCAGCTCGAGGAGCGGACGCTGCTGCCCCTCTCCGACGACGACCCGCTCCTCCTCCGGCTGGGCCTCCGCCAGCCCGACGGCGCGCGAGCGATGTACGGCGCGTTTGTGCACGAGTTCCCCGAGGTGCGGCGGACACTCTCCCCGCATCTCCCCGCATCTCTCCCCGCATCTCCCGCATCTCCCTGCATCTGCTGTGCGCGGGTCTCCCCGAGGTGCAGCGGATGACGGGCCGCCCCCGCCTTCCTCCTTCTCGCGCCCCGTGCCGCGACGGTGGCATTCGCACCCGCACCCGTCGCACGCCAGGTGGCCGACAAGTCCGCCTTCTTCCTCACGCGGCGCGAGTCGTACCGCCCCGCCGAGGAGCTGACCGTCGTGTACGGAGGCTCGTACAACCGAACCTACTCCACCTGGGGGCACCAAGGCAACCCGCCAATCTACAAGGTCCCCCCCGACCTCTTTGCGGACGGGACGTGGGCCAGCCACGCCGGCGGCGCCTGCGCGCCGTGGGCGAGTTGGCCCGTTCGCACGCCCGGCTGGTTCAACGTCGAGCGGCAGCCGACCAACAGGCCAGCCTTCCAGCGGCGCGAGGACGGCTCGGTAGAGCTGCTGCCTGACCTGCCGCTCGTCGTCAAGGTGTGACGCAGTGTGACGCAGCAGCCCCACGCGCCACCCCAAGCTTTGAGCGCCACCCGCCACCCGCCCGCCACCCCGCCACCCCCCCTTTGCTCCCCCCCCCCCCCTCTCGCAGGCGCGCAGGCAGGCGCTCGACGGAGGGACGCACGAGCAGCGGCTCGCGAAGCTCGACTCGCTCTTCCTCGACTGGTCCGTCCCGCAGCTCGAGGCGACGCCCTTCGCGCCGCCGCTCCGCTTCTACCTCGCCACCGCGCTGCCGGCGAGCCGCCAAAACGAGTACAGCATGGCCGGCGACTCGGACGCGGTGGTCGCCGCCGGCGGCGTGTGGCCGCGGTACGCGCCGCCCGCGCCGCCCGCCGCCGCGCCGCCCGCCTCGGTGGCCGAGGGCAGGGCGGAGGGGGAGGGCGGTGAGGGGGAGGGGGCGGCGCCGCGCCTCGTCGCCGCCATCAAGCACGCCCTCGACGTGCCCGCGAACGACTTTGAGCTTCCGCGCGAGCTGCGGACGCTGAGCTCTGCCGAGCTGCGTGCGGCGGTGCAGGGGGAGGAGGCGATGCTGCGCGACGACAACTCGGAGCAGCTGTACGACTCGGACGATGAAGAGCCAGAGTGGCGCGCGCCGTGGCGGCACGCGCCTGGCACCACCGTGTGGGCCCGCTCGCAAGGCTTCCCCTTTTGGCCGGCGCGCGTGGAGGCGCCCGCCGCGGAGGGCCGCTACTGCTGGTGTGAACAGCGTCTTTTCACACCCGCAGCTGCGAAAAGGTGCCCGCCGTGGAGGATCGTGACACGGCGCGGCTGCGCGACGACGGCTGGAGCTTCGTCTGCTTCCTGGCGTGGAACCCGAAGCGTGCGCACGGCTGGGTGCAGGGCGACGATCTCCTCACGTGGGAAGAGGGCGTGCGGCTCAACTACCTTGCCCTCAAGGCGAGCCGCAAGGCGCACGACACACTGCTGCAGCGTGCAAAGAAGCTCGCCATCGCACGCGTGGCGGGGCGGCCGGCGGCGCCGCCGCCGCCGCCCCCGTGGTGGGTGCTGCACGCCACGCAAGGCAAGGACGCGCCGCTCTCGGAGCCACGGCCCGCGGCTGCCACGCGGCGGCGGAGGGGGGCGGCTGCGGCCGGGGAGGCGGTGGAGGAGGCGGGGGCGGAGCCGCCAGAGGTGGCGGAGGCGGCGGCGGAGGCGGAGGCGGAGGCGGCGGAGGCGGCGGAGGCGGCGGAGGCGGAGGCGGAGGCGGAGGCGGAGGCGGAGGCGGAGGCGGCGGAGGCGGTAGCCATCCCCGAGGTGCCGCGGGATGCTTCGTTGCGCGAGGCGGAGGCGGCCGAGAAGTGGTGCTCCTTTCTGCGCGGGCGCGCGCGCGCGCCTCGACCCCGCCGCTCTCCCTGCCAAGCCCCTCCCCCCCCATCGAGCCTCCCCGTCTCGCCTCCGCAGGCATGTGGCCTACGTCGCCGCCGCCCCGCCGCCCGCCCTTGGACGGCCAGAGGCGCCGCAGGCCAAGGCGCCGCAGGCCGAGGCGCCGCAGGCCAAGGCGCCGCAGGGCGAGGCGCCGGAGACGACGCGGCGCGTTGACGAGGCGGCCGGGCCGGCAACGGGCGCCACGACGCCCAAGCGGGTGCCCCCCGACGCGCCGGCCGCAAAGCGGCCGCGAGTCGAGCCCGCCAAGAGGTCGCCGAGTCGGCAGCGGCAGCGGCCACCGCCGCCGGTGGCGGCGGCCGCACACCATCACGGCACGCGGCGGACCCCGGCGGGCCGTAGCACCGCCACCGCCGCCCAGCAGTGCAGCTCAAAGATCGGCCCGCCGACCGGCGACCCCGGCTTCCGCAGGGTGGGCCATGGCGAAGACAAAGTCTGCGGCACGCCCGGCTGCTCCTTCCCGGCAGGCCACGCGGGCCTCTGCGAGAGCGAGGTGTGCGACCCGCGCGAGCGGCGGCCGAGGCAGGGCCGGGCGGCGCCGCCGCGTCAGGGGACGCTGCCGTTCGCGCAGCGGAAGAACGCGCAGCGGGTAAAGTGACTCCCCCCGGGGGCGGCGCGCGCTGTGTCCGGCGCGCTGCGCTGCTGCGGGCGCGGCGGTGGGGGGTGGGGCAGGCGTCCAGGCACCAGCTTAGTCAGTTGGTCCGGCCGCTGAGCTGTGCTGGGGGGGGGGGCGATGGGGGGTTCGGCTTCGGGTTGCCGATCAGCCCAGAGCTCAGGCCGAGTCAGCAACTTACACACGCGACACGGGGCAGTCCAGTGCGTAGTGCGAGGCCGTAAATAAATCAGAACCTGTAACAAAACGACCAGCCTCCGGCGGCCCCCCCCCCGCCCGCTCCATCCAAACCCGAGTACACAGCGCCTCTCCGAGAGGCGAGAGCGCTGCGCAGACGGATTTACTATCTATAGATAGAGGCTCACGGCACACACGGGTGACATCTGGCAAGTCACACATGAGCGCTTTGTGTGACTTGTTGCAAAAGTCTGTGTTGCAAAACCACCAAACACTTGTCCAAAAACGCCGGCTCTCACGGCAGGCTCGGCCGCGTGCACCGCCAGCTTCTCAGGGCCATCGCGCGAAAAACGACGGAGGAGATGCATCCTAGCTGTCGCCACACCGAAGGCGACTCGACGTCGCTGAGATCGGAGATCAAGCTCTGACAGGTCACACGTCGCTCCTTTGACGCCGACGTGACTCACCCGTGCAGAGCGCATCAGGACACGGTCTCGACGCGCTCGGTACGACGCCTGCGACCCGTCTCGGGTCAGGTGGCACGACGCTCATCGCGCCCGCGCCAGCGCTGCCGTGCAGGCTGCCACGACAAGGTCGAGCACGCTTCTATACGATCGCCCAGCCTTCCTTTCCATCCCATTAGGCAGCCTGGGAACGGTGGCGGTCAGAGGCAAAGCCTGCGAGGGGTGGTGGAACCACATGTCACGGCCACCGCCGGCTCGACGCGACGATAGCCTCCGGAGGCTGACTTTGAGGCACCATCATCGGACGATGTCGACGAGTTGGGTCGCTCTCGCGGTAGCCAGGTAGCCCCCCGTACTAGTAGCACCAGCCATGGCCTCAGGGAGCGCGGGCGAGGGCGCTGGGAGCAACACGGACAAAAAATCATCAAAATAGTCATGTTCACACCACCCGTATTTGCAACTAGTCTTATGTGACGACACACGGGGATCGGGTGGAGCGGCGCGGCGGCGGCGGCAGCGGCACGCGCGGACGGACGGAGTCGGACGGGGCGGAGCAGCGACCGCCTGGGCGGCCGCTGCTCTATCTGCGGCAGAGCGCGCCGTCTGCGCAGCTCGAGCGCGGTCAGGTGCAGGGAAGCGTGGCGGCGCGGGGAAACGCGGCGGCGGTGGCGAGCAGGCGAGCGGCCCGCGCGCGGCGAGGCAGACAGGTGATCGGCAGGCGGGTGATGGGCCGGAGAGTGACCGCGCCCAGCGATCGGAGCGAGCCGATCGTCGCTCGGCCGCAGCTGACCTCGAAGGCGTGCGGAGCGCGACTGTCGGTGTCGGGGGGCGGCCGTCATGTGGCGAGGAGGGAGGACGACAAGTGCGCGTTGTACGGGTCGGGCTCTTCATCGGCCAGTCGAGCGGAGACCTTAGCGTGTCAAAGGAGGCCGTGAACGGCTCCAAGTACCGTCACTACTCGAGTATAAGCTGTGGCGCGCTGTTTCACGGTGCTCCGGCTGCCCCCCGGTTAAGATCTCGTGCAAAACTCTTTTTATCACCTTCAAGTACACCCCCCAGACTCCCCCAAACCGCCCAGGATGAGTTCCTGAGGTGCCAGTCCGCCCGAGATATGACCGGTTGAAGTTGGGGTTCCACGGTCGGGATGGAGGTGCCGAACTGGATGGGGGTCAGCCAGGGAGGCTGTTGTGGCGCACCGGACCGCCCCCCAGCACCGTGCCCCACCCAACTGCATGCATGGGAGTCGCAAACGGTGCTGCACTCGCGGCTGCAAGCACTCACGACACTCAAGCCCACCACCTGCCTCCTACCCTGTACGAGGAGCCATTTCACCCGTGCAACATCTGCACAGGTGTACCGCCGACGCTCAAGCGCCCGGCCCCTACTAGAGTAGTCTTGGGGGACCCACAAACGACCAATACATCCACTCGGGGCTGCAGCATGTGTCCGGGGGGGGCATCCCCGTGAAGCAGCCAGCAGGTGCCGGACACGGCGTTGGCCGTCTTGGACCGAGATCAGGGCGCAACTGCCTACCTCGTGGGGCTGAAGGACCGTCATGGGGTCGGCTTTGATGCTGCCAATCAGTCGGGTCGATAGGTGGCGCCCCAGCGAGATGCGTTGCGGGTGCTCGGCGTCGCCTGCTTGTGTGGCCTGAACGCACTCGCGGGAGCCAGAGAGCAAAGGTGTGCGCGAATTGAGGCTTCTGAGCGAGTCCAGGCAAGCCACAGGACCGGCCATGTGCGTGGGTAGTCGAGCGGTGGCCGGAGGAAGCCTCCAGTAGTGCCTCTCAGTTCGGCACCTCGGTCTCGACCACGACCAGACTGGGAGAACGCCACAGCTTATCATTTCTGCGCACATCCCTTCCGATTCCCCCCCTGACGGAAGATCCTGGTATAACCTTGGCGTTTACTTCGTCGACGTATTCGTTAAATAAATAAATAAATAGAGCAGTCATCTCCCGTAGAGATGGGCAACGCACGAACACAGAGGTACAGTGTGCGCACGTATTCGTTACTTAGCGAAAGTTGTGCGTGGCGGCTTCTTTTTAAACTAAAAACTTTAGTTTAACTTTATACTCTGCGTCGGCTGGGTAGCCCTCTATACTCTCTCTTGTCTGCTATGTTCTAGTCCACCTCCTCTTCGTGCTCATCGCCTTCCTCTTCCTCGCCTCCCTCGCCTCCCTCGCCTTCCTCGTTCTCGTCCACCTCGTCCTCGCCGTCATGCTCGCCGTCTGCCCTCTCGCTGCCGTCAGGCTGTGGAACCGCACAAGTGCCTGGGGTGCCGGGGTCCTCCGCCGCTGACCGAGCCTGCTGCTCCGCGGCGACGAGATAGCTCGCCAGACGCGTCCGGACTCGCAAGTACTCTCGCCGGACGTCCGCCGCAAGCTCGCCGTGGAACTTGCGCGGTCCCAGAAGCAGGTCGAGCTCGCGTGCGTCGAATCTGCAGAGGCCGCAAGCGCGCGGGCACGAGAAGGTCATGTACTCGAAGTTCTTGAGGCAGTGACCAGCCTTGGCAGGCGCGGAGCACTCGGCGCGGTCCGCGCCGCTGCAGCCCCTCTCGATCACGGCGTCGAGCGCCGAGCCCGGACCGGCAGCGGCGATCGCGGCCGCCTGTAGGGCACTCTTCCCCGCCCCCTCCGCCGCGCCCCCCGCCTCAGCGTCGCACTCGTGGACGAGATACGCATAGTAGTTGCAGCCCGACTCGTCTGTCGCCGCGAAGCCGCGGGACGACTCGTCGTACGGTACGCGCGCCACCACGGAGTAGCCCTCACCGCCACACTCGGCCGTAGCACGGCTCACGGCGTCGTCGCCGCGCGGACCGCACGAAGCCTCGTCCCAGTAGCTCACCAGCGGCGATCGCGGGTCGAGCCGCCCGACGGGCTTGCGGCTCCAGTGCCGCGCCACGGGCGCCGCGACGTCGGGGCACGCCACGCCTGCCTCCCCTCTGGGGCAGTGTGCGTTGTAGACGCCGCAGAAGGCCTCGTTGAGCAGCCGGAGGTGCTGCAGCGCGAGCAGGTCGCGCAGCGAGCGGCCGTGCAGCTGCTCTTCCGGCGGAGGGAGAGGGAAGAAGAAGAAGCCGCGCGAGCCGCCACTCTCGGAGCCGGCTCTCCGCTCGAGCCTTCCGCTCGAGGCGGCGCACGCAAAGAGGTCGAGCGAGGTCAGCGCCTGAGAGGAGGCGAGTGCCGAGGACGCGTGAGCGAGAGTGTCCGGGCGTCTCTCAGAGCACATCGGAGTCGCGACGCGCCATCTTGTTGAAGTAGATGTGAGACTGCTCGCGCGACGCGCCGGCGGCGGGCGCGTGCTCGCCAAAGATGCCCCGCGGCAACGTCCCGGGCAGCTGCCTCTCCAGGTAAAAGTCCGTGCCGTAGTGGAGGATGGAGGGCAGCGCGAGGGGCGACGGCACGTAGCCAGGGTACAGCATGGTGTCACCGCGCACGATCGTAGAGACGCCGACCGAGGCGGCGGCAAAGGCGTACCCGTACATCTCCGCCTGCCAGAGCGCCTGGCTCCGCTTGACAGATGCGTCCGCCGCGGACACCGTCCCCTTCTTGGCTGCCCAGTCTTGGAAGGACTCGTCCATGTACGCATCGGGCTCCGCCTTTGCGAAGGCGCGGACGCGGCGGGTATACTCGATCCACAGCGGCGCTATCCTCCGGAGGTCCTCGCGGTGGAAGATGTGGAAGCCGCCGCAGCGGGCGGCCAGCGGGACCGCCTCCGCCTCGAGGAATCGCGACGCGAAGGGCTTCTCCGTGCCGACAAGATAAGCGTACTCGGCCGAGACGACGCGGCCGCGCGTCGCGCCTAGGGCGGTTGGGTCGAGCGGCGCGCGGAGCAGCATGTCGGTGTCGAGCAGCGCGATGAACTCCTCCTCTGGCTCGACCGCCTCGAGCCAAAACATGACGCTCGCCGGCTTGTTGTACGAAGGGTAGCCGACCTCGTCGATGAGCGGGTGGCCGTGTCGCATGTTGTGATGCACAAATGTCGGGCCCAGCTCCATGCCGCGGTAGTCGGCCCTCTGCTCCTCGGAGCAAGCGAGCAGCCGTGTGATGTTGCCGGGCTGTCCGACTGCGCGGTGCGAGTGGAAGAGGCCGGCGGCCTGCCACGTCATCGCGTGGTTGCACTCGGCGCTGAAGACAACGTGGATGGACATGTTGTGTGGGTCCCGCGTCCCGTTAGAAGCGGTGGCACGATCAGACACTGCAGCAACGACTGCAGCAACGGCGCCGTCAGCATTATCCACCCGAGTCTTTTCTTTTGAGCTGGTGCCGCCGCGCGGCGCTCGCGCGGCGGCGGCGGTGTGTGTGTGGGGGGGGGGGGGGAGGGGGGGGGGGGTTCGGGGGCGCGCAGGACAGAGGGCTCGACGATCATCGGCTCGCCGAGGGGGGAACGAGGAGGGGGAATGGGCGGTCGGCGTCGGCGGTCTCGGGCACCGCACCCGTGCTGCCACAAAGCACAATGTGCTGCCACAAAGCACCACTAGCGATTTCGCGCGGAGGGCGTAGTGAAGCGCTGGGGCGCTCACTGTGTGTTATTCGGGTGGGGATCCATCAGTGGTAACCGGCTTTAGTCACAGATCCAAGCTCAGACGTCACACCAACACCACAAACACGCTCACTTCGCCGCTGCTGTAGATGGGCCTCCGGGGGCCCATGCTACGTCGAAGCACAGACCCGATCTCGGCACTCACGGGCTGCCACGCGCCCGCGCGCGGCGCGGGCCGCACCGCCCATGCCCCCGGGTCACCGACCCCGCCTCTCGGCCCTCTCGGCCCTCAGGAGCGTGCGGGAGACCGGCGAGGGGCGCGCCGCGTGCCGCCTGCAGAGCCGCCAGAGGCATTGTCGCCTCCGCTGGCGGGGTTCCCGCGCGCCCGCCCGCGCCCGCGCCCGCCCACGCCGCGCCCGCGGGCTCCGGATGCGCCGCCCTCCTTCTCCTTCTTCTCGATGGCAGTCCACGCGTGCTTGTCGACGGGTCGGCGGCGTGGTCGAGGGGAAGGTCGCCGGCGGCCGCAACTCTGCCGCCGTCGCTCCGCCGGCTCTGATCGAGTATCGGGCGTTGAGGGCGGCGGCGCAAAGCGGGTCTGGCGCATCCATCGCCACGAGCCTCGCGGCCGCGGTCGTGGCACACCTGGTGGCGGCTCTCGAGGCCGTCTCTACGGCGCTCGACGCCGTGTGAGGTCGCCGGCGGCCGCAACTCCGTGTCTCCGCCGCCGTCGCTCCGCCGGCTCTGACCGAGTATCGGGCGTTGAGGGCGGCGGCGCAAAGCGGGTCTGGCGCATCCATCGCCACGAGCCTCGCGGCCGCGGTCGTGGCACACCTGGTGGCGGCTCTCGGGGCCGTCTCTACGGCGCTCGACACCGTGTGAGGTCGCCGGCGGCCGCACCTTTGCCGCCGTCGCTCCGCCGGCTCTAACCGAGTATCGGGCGTTGAGGGCGGCGGCGCAAAGCGGGTCTGGTGCGCCACGGCCACCACCCTTGCCACCGCCCTTGCCGCCGCCCTTGCCACCCTTTGCCGCCTTGCCTCCGCCGCGGGCGGCGGTGGGAGCGGCCTGCTGGGCTAGCATGTTGTCCGTGGCTGTGGACGGGCACGTGGAACGTCAATTCATGTTCTAACGGCCTCCGGGATTCAAACAAAAAATAGCCGGGGCCCTCTCGCAACCCCTCCGACCCCCCGGGACCCGTGGGCGTCGAAGAGGCGCTCTCGGGGGGCCGTTCTGAGTTCATGCTACCACGAAGCACACTGTGCTGCGTCGAAGCACCGGGCCCGAGTCCGTCGGGGTAGAAGCAACAGGGCGTGCGAGGTAGCCGTCACTTTCCTGCCTCACAAGGGCGGGGCTGTCCCGGAAAGTGAGAAACGCCGGGCAGCGTGACGGTCGCACAACTGAACCCTCCCATACGTGTTTGTTTCGCTCCTCCTTCGCTGTCCCATCTCCTCATCTCTTTCCCGCCTAGGCGGGGCGGGCGCGGGTGCTGGGTGCGGTGCGGTGCGTGCGATCGTGCGTTTGGCGTCATGTTGTGTGTGCCTTCGCTTGTTTCTACTAACATCGAAGTTTAGCTCAAAAAAAACAAAGAAGACGGTGGTTTTCATTCCAGCAGGGGAACGGGATTTCGTCGATCTCTAGCAGCACGTGTCAGCTTTGCCGACGAGCACGAGGAGCAGAGGAGTAGGCCTGGGAGGACTCGGAAAGAGACAGGCGGGACTTGCGGACGAGTAATTTTTTCTCAGCAGTGCCACGCTCTCCAATTGGAATAATTAAACCTCTAACGACTGGCTCGTTGTGATGCGAGTATCCTCCCACAAAAGAAATGATGCGCGGCTTTGTGTTTTGACGCACAGCCCTTCCTTGCAGCGAGCCCCCCTCCAACCCACCCGCGCTAGGTCTCGGGTTTGACGCATGGGGTCACTCCCGCGAAACTCGTGAACTAGCCGGGGCAGTCGGAGAAGGGGCAACTCCGTGCACTGGCGGTCGGCCGTCAGAAAACACGCCTGCGTGGATCGCGTCACACCAATCCTCGCTACCCAACGGCCAAAGGATGAATGGATACCCTCGCCCAGGGATCTACAACGCTGTCCTAAGGTCCGACAGGTTCGGCACCGGGCACCCCAAAATGCGCCTGCGGGCGGACCCTTACAGATCACAGATCACTCGGGCAAAGTCTGTCTGGTATAGCCCCAGCCGACTCCGCGTGAACTCTCAAGGGATCTCGAGCTGCTCCCTCTACCCTCTGCTCGGTGTACGAACTCTGTTCACACCGAGCAGCTGGGAGTGTGGCTGCGGCTATAGCCTATAGCAGACAGGGGCAAAGTAGCTACGACGATGAAATATCAAAAAAACGCGTCGAGCCGCCTCTCCGGACTATTCATGAAGCGGCCGGCGCGCCACCGCAGCTCACCAATGGAGCTTGCGCCGCGGCTCAATCCACAGGCGCAGCAGCATTACGAGGCATTCTCCAAGCACGGCCTCTGGCGATAAATAAATAGACAGGCATATCCAACACCACACTTAAATCCGACCCGTTGGCGGCCTGTGAGCTTTTGCGCCCCCCCCCCCCCCCCCAAAAGAAATGATCGCAGATTTACGCGGCAATTTTGTTGCAAACAAAGAAATGGTTTGCTCCGCACAGCGTGACACCATGCTGAAGCCGCAGCCCTCCGTCAAACTCGTAAAGGCCGACACCAAGACCGGCTACAAGTGCGTCTACGAAGTGCCCAACAAGGACCCTACGCGGCGTTACGTTGTCACGGTCTCGCGCGCTAGCGTCAACATTGTCCTCGGCCGATTTGCGACGGCGCGGGAGGCTGCGTACTGCTACGCGACCTCGCCCGAGGGGCAGAAACATGCGACCGAGCTCGCCGAGGCGGAGGCGCTGCAGGAGGAGGAGAACATGACGAGCGACGAGGCCCGAGCGACGGCCGCCAAGGAGGGGCTGGAGCTGCATACGAACGGCTCGGGCTTTGTGGGCGTCTTCAAAACGCCTCCGGCCTTCAGACTGCCTTTCATGGTACGGGTGCAGCGCAGCCGCAAGAGCGTGAACCTCGGCTACTTCTCGTCGGCTGAGGCTGCCGCTCTCTGCTACGCCCGCTCGCCCGAGGGCCGGGCGGCGGCGGAGGCCAAGTGCGCAGAGGCGCTGCCGCCGATGACTGCTGCTGCAGCGCTGGAGGCGGCGGCGGCGGAGGGGCTGGTGCTGCCCACGTCGGGGCCCTCGGGGCGGTGGCCGGGGGAGACCACGCGCTTCCTGGGCGTGGGGACCGCGGGCACGCGAGCGCGGCTGCCCTTCCGGGCCTCTTATCGGCGCGACCGACTCGAGATCAGCCTCGGCAGCTTCGCCACCGAGGAGGAGGCCGCCCTCTGCCGCGCGCGCGCGCTCGCGGCCCAGGCCACCGCCCCCGCCGCCGCCGCGGACGAGCTGGCCCTCACTTGCCCCATCTGCCTCGAGCCGATCGACTCTCACCCGGTCGCCACCACCTGCCTGCACGTGTTCTGCCGCGGGTGCATCGCCGGCTGGCTCGAGCAGGCAGACGAGGCAACCTGCCCGATGTGCCGCGAGCCGCTCGAGGGCGCGTCGGGGCAGCTCACGGCCGTGCCGCTGCCGGCCGCCGCGGACGCGAGCACCGCCCCGCGGCGCACCGGCTGGACGCTCCTCGAGTGGCAGCAGATGCTCGTGGAGCAGGCCTCCGTCGAGGCCGAGCTCGCCGCGCGCGCCGAGGCCACCGCCCGCTCCGACGAGCAGCAGGCGGCGTTCGTATACCACAGCGGCGTCCCCAGGCCCGTGGACCTGGCACGGGGGGGTTTCCGTCCGCTCTTCAGCCAGCGGCGTGGCGGGCACATGGCCCGCGGCGAGGCGCACCCGCGGGCGGCGAGGCCCGTCCGCCCCGACCCGCCCGGCAACAACTATGCCGAGGTCGAAAAAGCGCGGCGCCGCCTCGACGCGCGGCGCCGCCTGGACGCTGCTGCTGCTAAGAAGCAGAAGAAGGGGGAGGGGCCGTAGACCGCCCAGCTCTCTCTCTCTCTCTCTCTCGCCCCCTCTCTCTCGGCGCGCCCCAGTCGCGCCCCCGTCTCTCTCTTTTGCGAGACGTGTGTGCTCCGAGGAGAGGCGTGGCGAGTGTTGGCCCCCGGTTAGTCAAGCCCGGTTGTAGTGTGTGGGCCGCGCTATCAAAGACAGTGAAACGAGGCAGTGCACCGAAAGTAAACGGTGGGCGAGTGGGCGCGTTGCGATCTCCTGCGTGGTGCAGCACGATGTGACACAGCCGACGCGCTCGCAGAGAGTGGTCCTTACAGCCCCGCCACCGCAGCCATCCTGGTTACCCTCCGACGAGCCGAGTGCACGAGGCGTGGTCTTCTGGGCTCGTGCCTCGATGCGGGCACGGTTTTCTCTCCGCACGGTTGGGTTCGCCCCCTAGTTGCGGATCCCGCCGAGCCCGCTCTGTACAGCCAAGCCGGCTCGCCTCCCCGCCCTGAGGCCGTCACCGGTCGCGGCGCGTCGAGCAGCGCACCAGTGCCCCGCGAGCAGCCCTGCTAAGCGGGTGCGGGTTGCCGCCCGTCGGAGGCGTAGTCGTCGTCGATGCCGTCGCCCGCTGGAGGGCCGTCGATGGCTGCGGTGGCGCGCCCTGCGAGTCGCCCCGCGAGTCCGCTGGCCTGCCCTGCGAGCCGGCGCGCGGGGCGAGAGTGGGACGTGCGGTGCGTGTGGTGCGAGAGTGAAGCGCGCACAAAGCCGCGGGGGAGGGTGGTCGTATGCGGCGAGGGTGTGCGACCGGGAACGAGTGGCGGTCATGAGTGGCGGCGCGCGCGGGGTTGGATCCTGGGAGCGGCGAGTGGCCGAGAGGGGAGCGCTGTTGGGAGGGCGGGTACTGTCGGACGGGAGACTGGACTGCTCTCCTGTTGTTTGTCCCTCTCGAACCAGGCCGCCCTCTACTGACGTGAGCCACTCGCGGGTGGGCGCGAGAGGCGGTGAGGGAGGGGCCGTGCATGCAGGTGTGTTCATTCGGAGCGAGGGGATGCCGAGAGCTGCGTCACTACTCGGGCTCGGGCCGCCGTCGAGTTGAGCCACCCCATCAGCGACGTTTGCTGCGCTGTGACCGCAGCCTCCCTCACCACTCTCACCGCCGCTATTGCTGCCGCGGCCTCCTTCTTCGCCGCCGCCTAGGCGGCCCTCACCGCCGCCGCCGCGGCCCGCTCTGCGACCTTGGTCCGTTTCCTCTCCTCACGCTCCATCTTGGAGATTGGCCCGCTTGGGCTCGACATTTGCTGCGCCGGGCGGCGGCGGCGGCACCTCGTCGCAGTGGCGGCTGTTTCGTATTGGAGAGAGTAAAATCTCCAAGGCGCGTTTCCAGTAAGCTAAACGTGCGTTCTTTGGCCGTTTCGCGGCCTAACGATTAGATTTAGCTCGTCGTGGCAGACTGTGTTTCAATCGGCCGTCCAGCGGGCGTCCCTCCACAAGGAGAGCTTCGCGCTGCTGGCTGAGGTGAAGCGTCGGTGGGGAGCAGACTGGAGCCGCCGAGATGCCCGACGCCCATGCCGCTCTCGATCCAGTGGAGGAAGTCCTCCTGATCGCGCCAGGGAGGCCAGGGCAGCAGCCACAGCCTGAGAGGAAAAGTGCGTTCTCTGGTAGGACGGGAACGAGATGATAGTAGGGAGTAGAAGAAAGCAAAGAGGAGCCCTGCGCACGCACGACTCCGCAGGAGAAGCCCCTCCCCAGACAAAACACAGGGGAGAGGTGGGTGGGTCACAGAAAACTGCGGCCGCCAGCGACAGAGCGTCTCGCTGGCGGACGGCGAGAGGAACACAAAGGGACGTCCGGACGTCCATCCACTGGGATGAGATAACTGGAGATCTAAGGTCGAATCTCCCGATTCCACAGCCGCCCACAGGAGCGCCGCCTCAACACGGGGTCTCGGCTCTATCGAGCCATGCTAGCTCCAGCCGCAGCCCCACCCGGCCGCCCGAGGGTGTTCCCGCAGGCAGAGAAGACCAATCCTGGGGGAAGTAACCTTCTCTGGTAGGACGGGAACGAGATGATAGTAGGGAGTAGAAGAAAGCAAAGAGGAGCCCTGCGCACGCACGACTCCGCAGGAGAAGCCCCTCCCGCCCGTGCTTGCGCAGCGCAGCCTCCTCCTCCCTACTCGCAAGCCGGGTAGCTGTGTGGTGATTGTAATGGGTTCCACCCTGTGTGGTGATTATAATGGGTTCCACCCTGTGTGGTGATTGTAATGGGTTCCACCCTGTGTGGTGATTGTAATGGGTTCCACCCTGTGTGGTGATTATGATGGGTTCCACCCTGTGTGGTGATTATGATGGGTTCCACCCTGTGTGGTGATTATGATGGGTTCCACCCTGTGTGGTGATTGTAATGGGTTCCACCCTGAACTTCGTCAACGACGACGACGATGGGCGCTTGCGCAGCTGGCGGGGCCTGCTGCTGCGCCATCTTCACTGCGTCCTCTCCTCTCCTCCCACCTCACAGAAAACTGCGGCCGCCAGCGACAGAGCGTCTCGCTGGCGGACGGCGAGAGGAACACAAAGGGACGTCCGGACGTCCATCCACTGGGATGAGATAACTGGAGATCTAAGGTCGAATCTCCCGATTCCACAGCCGCCCACAGGAGCGCCGCCTCAACACGGGGTCTCGGCTCTATCGAGCCATGCTAGCTCCAGCCGCAGCCCCACCCGGCCGCCCGAGGGTGTTCCCGCAGGCAGAGAAGACCAATCCTGGGGGAAGTAACCCCGCCGGCGCGCACTTTTCGCGCGGGCCATTTTCTCGGAGTTGTCGGGGTCGTGCGAAGCTACCTCCTGCGAACGGCCGGTTGGCAGACGTCATGGCCGGCATGTGCGACCCTTAAGAACCCGCGTCCGACCAGCTGTGAGGCGAGGCTGAAGCTGGTGGATTTCAGTTGCTGACAGTTGAGGCGATCCCCCGTGAACTGACGGCAGGTAAGCCGGCAGGTGGGGGGCGGGGTGTGCCGGGTGGCCCAACTAGCGGGCGAGCCGGGCCCGTGCATAGTTCGCGCTCGGGGGCGCGATAGCATGGGAAAGACGCACCTCCATCGTGCTTGCTACCACCGCGCTTTTTCGCATTTCGGCCGTTCGCGCCATCGTTGATGACTTGATTGCGCGGGAGCGAAATCCCAAAACCTCTCAGCTCGAAAAAAGGGGGAATTTATTTGTTATTTGGGGGGTGTTACGCAGAACACACAGTCATCCGCACACCGCAAATGGGCTCGCCCTCACTGGCCACTGCCGACTTGAGAGAGAGAACTGCCCGCAGGCACACTGTGAGACCATGGGTGTGCCTGCGAAACCGAGACCACATGCAGCGGCACTGATACCGCTCACCGGCTACATCGCGGCTAGGCTCAAGGAGGGCGCTGACTTTGCCTCCACACCGGGTGAGTGTGAGGACTCGCCCACAGACCCACAGTGCACATCAAATGGAGTCACTAGTGACCCTCTCCGTCGCCATCATCGGCTCCGGATTCGCGAATCTGTCCGTGCCGTCGGTGATGCCGCCTGTGAGGCCGACGCCCACCATGAAGCAGAAGACGATGACGAGCACGCCCATCGCGCGCAGCAGGCCTTTCTCCGACGCAAACGCCGCGAGCAAGCTCCCCTCGCCGGAAAACTCTTCCCGTGGCTGCGAGGGTGGTGCGAGGATGAACACCTCGCTAGAGTCAGCCGGATTTGGTGAGGGCGTAGCCTCCTCTGGCCGACCTAGGCTCGACCGATCAACGCCGCCCTCCTGCTGCATCCTCCGCCAGCTTGCATCCCAGTCGCGCGGCTGCTCGCACATAGAACGCACGGCTCTGTGCCTAAGCGCTGGGCGCAAAGAGCGCGGCGCCCCGAGGATCAAAGAGGCTAGCATGAAGAGGTGGAGAGGGAGCGACTCCGCGTGCGAGCTGGCGAGTAGAGTCCACGGCGCTGGACACAGCAGACAGCACAAGTTTCGGACACCGCCTGTGAATAAAGCGTAGCTGTGAGCGCTGTCAGAGCGGTGTTTCGACACCGATATCGTTCAAGGAGAACGCTGATTCAAAATCCGCTGTTCACACTTCACAGGTAAGTGTAAGCGTGTGGAGGTGGTTTTCATTTTCACACCGTTCAAACGCGGCCCAGGAGCGTCCTCGCGCCTCGCGCATTTGGCTGTGTTTTGCCGGCACCGGTGCCTCCGTCCGCGTGTGACCTTGTCGAGAACGGCAAGTGCCACGAAGCGCTGTTTCCTGCTTCCAGCTCACCACCTCGCCTCTTCGACGCCCACGGGTCCCGGGGGGTCGGAGGGGTTAAATAAATAAATAAAAACGGTCAAACTCTGAGACGAGATGGGATTTAGGGACATGTGTCCCCGCCCTGCACGATCTTGGTGTGAGGGATCTTCAATCCGTCCCCTCACCCCTGGTCACTACCCGACACTAGAAGAGCAGCAAGAGTTGGGGCTGCGGCTACGGCTGCGGCTGCGGGAGGGGCTATGGTCGCGGGAGAGCCACTGCGCCGCGTGGGCGCGCCTACACCGCGCTTGCTCCGCTCGCCACCTCTCGCAAAGGTCCAAAGTCATCGGAGGGGTTGCGAGAAGGGGCCGGCTATTTTTTGTTTGAATCCCGAAGGCCGTTCGAACATGAAACGACGTTCCACGTGCCCGTCCACAGCTATACGGATGGCGTGGAGAAGCTGGTCGGGCAGCGCGTCGAGGCCGTGTGGGAGGACGAGGATGGGAGCACGGACTGGTTCCCCGCCACCATCGTCGCCCATTGGCCGACCAATAGCGAGCACGACCGGCTGCTTATGCACTTCGACGACGGCATGGACGAGATCATCACCGCTGCCCGACGACACCGTGCGCCTGACCTGCTTCCCCCACGATTAGTCTTCTCTGCCTGCGGGAACACCCTCGGGCGGCCGGGTGGGGCTGCTACGCGGCAGCGCAACGCGCCGAAGCGCTCCAGCCGTGGGGGACCGCGTCGCCCTTTGGCGCGGCCACCCGCGAGGCGGGCGGTGCAACGAGCGGGCCACCGCCGACACGTGGTAACGGAGCGGCGCCAAGTCCGTTAGCGGCGCCCATCGACGCCCGACCGATCACCGCCGAGAACGCCACAGGGCGGCCGGTCCTCGTCGCAAGCGCCCTCTGGCCGCAGTACGCGTGCAAAGGTATTCGGCGGCCGGCTGGGCGGCGAACGTGCTGCGATGCTCCAAGCACAGCGCAATCGTCCGATTCACGATTGTAACGACGCGCGATGGCCGAGCATACGAAGACGCGCGCGTCCCGCTCGACTGACTGCGGCCGCTGCCGTCGCAACAACTCGCCGCAAAAGGCATGCTTCAGAGGGTGGAACCCGAAATAATCACCACACAGGGTGGAACCCGTCATAATCACCACACAGGGTGGAACCCGTCACAATCACCACACAGGGTGGAACCCGTCATAATCACCACACAGGGTGGAACCCATTACAATCACCACACAGGGTGGAGCCCGTCATAACACCACACAGGGTGGAACCCGTCATAATCACCTCAAGGGCTACCCGGCTTGCGAGTAGGAGGAGGAGGCTGCGCTGCGCAAGCACGGGCGGGAGGGGCTTCTCCTGCGGAGTCGTGCGTGCGCAGGGCTCCTCTTTGCTTTCTTCTACTCCCTACTATCATCTCGTTCCCGTCCTACCAGAGAATTCCGCAGCTAGCTAGGGGCGCCCTAAACCGGGTCTAAACCTGGTATGTCTAATGGGGTCCCCCACCCAGGCCGAGCGCCCTCTCTGTGTTTAGTCTTTAGACTCAGTTTATGATAAACTGAGTCTAATCTGGTTCGTCTTCAGCACAGCGGTCAAACTTGGTCTAAAGATGGTCTAAACTGGTTCGCCGGATACCCTCATTTACATTTTGCTGTCATAGTTTGTATCCGACTTGGTGGTTGTGGTGATGTGTAGCGATGGGTGTGGGTCTCTAGTGACATACAGCTCCTCCGTGTTCCGTCTCCTGACATGGTACCGACCGGTGAGTGCACGGAGTGAGCAGTGCGGCACTTAGGCCGACATGAGAGCTGGTGCGGCACACAGCGAGATGTGTTGCTGCACAGTATTTCCGGCCTACGCTCGATACGTTGGCTGGCACCATGGGCATCCTGCGCGAGCCGTGGTGATTGGCTGGGCACAGAGCGGAGAGGCTCGGTGCCCACGGACGGTGGCACAGCGGCCGCCAACTGCTTGGCACCAGCAGCATCAAATGCCGCACCCATCTACATCTAGCCGGAGAGCCTTCCCGGAGCCCTTGATCCCTACAATCCCGCCAGCCTTGAGGTATGCCGGTGCTTTGTGCCCGCCGCCGTGACCCTCGTGTGGCCATAGCTGACACTATGGTGACTGACGCGCGCCGCCGTGCGACTTGGCTCCTGGGACAAGGCCAGCTGCCCAGCCTTCTTCATCACCTCCCTCGGCAGGCAGGTATGGTAAGGACCGTGAATGTAGTTGTGGCTGATGGCGTACCGGTCGTTGGAGACGCTACAATGGTGGTATGCCTTCGGGCAGTCTGCGGGCAGGGGGACGACGTGGCACCACCTACACTCGCCAAGTGAATATTTATGGGCAGCAGGGGCGAACGAGAGCGCGCTTGGAGGGGAATGGACCCCGACTGCGCCCAAAAGAGCTCGGGGACGCCGGCCGTGACGGCAGCGTACCGCAGCCGCACGTCAGAGGGCAGGTTGAGGCGCCGGTCTCCGGGCAGCGCTGACGCCGCGATCGCTGCGTCCTCTATCGTCTGCGCCAGCTCAATGGGGCTTCGCTTGGCCCTGGCTTCGTCGGCAGAGTACCCGCTCAGGTGGACGACGTGGACGTGCGACATGAGCGTGCCGAGGTGTGCATCGAAGCAGAAGCGGCGGCTCGGCAGCGCCCAGTTCGCCGGCGTACAGGTTTGCACCTCCACCGCGCCCTCGGGGAGGAGGAAAGAGTTGACTCGCACCGTGCCGACACCAACGACTAGGACGGCGGTCGAGGCACACACCTGCAGCTGCTCGACGAAGGTCAGCTCCTCCCACCGCACCGTACGCAGCTCCATCCCAAGGGTTTGCGCGGCCAGCGCCGCCGCCGCGTCGGCTGCACTCAGCTCTCGCTTCGACTCTACGACGGTGATGTAGCCTCCCGAAATGCTGCGTTGGGGCTCCGGAGGATGGAGGCCGTGCCGCACGTACATCCGGTCGCGAAACATTTTCACCGGATCGAGACCCGGCAGGCTCCCAACCTCGGCTACGCCCTCGCGGTTTGTGACGCCGATGCCGCGCCCGCCCACGCCCGCGACCAAGCACGGAACCCCGATGGCACCGTATTTGGCCTCAAAATCCCGGAGGCTCAAGACGGGATGGCCCGAGAACGCTTCAATCAGCCCGAGCGGCCACCTACTTTGGACGCGCGGTTTGCAGAGAGGGGCGGCGTGGAGGCGCGGCCGCCGCAGGGAATGGTGCGCTTTGGGTCGACGGCCTCCCGCGTCACCCACTGCCACGTACCGCTGGTCGCCACCTCGGGCTGGAGGGCGAGCAGGGAGAACCAGCTGGGGTACATGTAGTCGAAGAGGTTGTGCCCCGGGTTCCAGTGGAAGGCGTGCAGGTGCGCGACGCAGTGGGGCAGCGAGCCTGCAAAGGGCCAAGGCGGGGCAGGTCGGTGTGGGCGAGTGGCGGAGCGGCCGCATGAGCGGACGGGGGCGCCGGTGGGGTTGCGCGGCCGCGCCCGCGAGATGCTCCAGCGAAATTGCGTCCACAGCTCGACCGCAGCCGGGTGCGGCTTCCCCAGCCCGTGCCCCGCCTTCCGGCTCTGCTTGAGCCGGTCCCAGTCGAGGTCGACCCACCTCGAGAGCGAGGGCAGGGAGGGAGGTTCACCGAGCGCGGCGCGTCATCGGGCGATGGCAGGCGGTGGAGCACCTGTTGTGCATGAAGAGTGCCTCGTCCTCGGTGCTTGCGCCCGCGAGCCGCGGGCCGGCGGTGAAGGCGCCGTCGGAAAAGAACACGTGCTGGAAGAGGCAGGTGCGGTTCCCAGGCCACGTGTCGCCCCGGCCGATGCAGCGCGCGCGAGGGGCGGGAGGAGCGCTCATTGCTCGCCTATGCATGCACAAGCGGAAAGGTGCCGTGCTTGCGTCCCGTCGTAACTTTCAAACTCGCACGAGACTGGGCACGCGGGAGGCGCGCACAGGAAGACAGGATTCAAACTCGGTGTCGAACGACCAGCGACGCGCACTACAGTGAAGAAAGTACGTTTCAAACAACGGTCCTGCGGGCAACGAGATGCTGGCTGAGGGCGATCAGTCAGGCAGGCAGGTAGGTGGGTGGGCGCAAGCAAGCAAGCGATGCCTGGCTGGTGGCGCGGGGGCGGTAGTCTTCATGATTGACGCGATCGCCGTCGCCAAGTCGTACGGAGCCGAGGCCGTCATCGATCGATCGACGTGCACACCCACCACCGACCGAGGGGAGGAGCGGCGGACTCGAAGCAGGCAGCTCTACAACCGGCCATGGATGGCCGGTTTTAAGCCGTTTAAGCCGCAGGCAGGCGCCCCAGGGCCCACCCTTCTAAGCCTAGGGGTACCCTAACCTGAGGGAGGGTGTGTGAGCGCTGTAAGCTGTAGATAGAGCGTGTAGAGCGCTCTGGAGCGCTGTAGAACTGTAGAGGCTAGAGCTCTCAGAGAGCTCTACATCCGGCGCGGGACGGACTGCCTGCGTTGTAGAGCGCTGGAAAGCGCATGTAGAGCGCGATTTACTTAGTGATTTCAATGTGAATTCGCGCTCTACATCGCTCTCACAAACGCAGCACGCAGGCGAATTCACGCAGGCAGTCCGTCCCGCGCCGGGGATGTAGAGCTCTACAGCTCTACAGCGCTCTACAGCTCTACAGCTCTACGCAGCGCTCTACATTCTACATCCTCTACACCCTCCCTCAGACCCAACACAAGAGAGCGATGGCGCGATTTACTTAGGACTCAGTGATTTCGGACTGTGAAATCGCGCTCTACATCGCTCTACATCGGAGGCAGTCCGTCCCGCGCCGGATGTAGAGCTCTACAGAGCTCTACAGCGCTCCAGAGCGCTCTCTCTACATCCTCTACAGCTCTATCTACAGACAGCGCACATCCTCTACACCCTCCCTCAAAATTCGGGTCGTTCGTCGGAGGGAGCGCACGGACCAAAAAAGAAAGAAAACAGACACCCCAAACGAGGGATGGGGGAGGAGGACAGGGTCCCCACCTGCACGAGCAGGATTTTGGAAGGACGATCAGGGACACAGGTGGGGCTCCTCTCCTGCTCCTGACAAGGGACACGACAGGCTCGCAGCGCGGTGCACGGTGGACTCCCAACTCCACTGGCGGTCTCATCTCAGTCTTGCGACCTGCCTCCCCAGCAATCACTCCAGTTTCTCAATAACATCGCCCAAGGGAGTGCACGACGCATGGTCGCACAAATGGTCGCTGCAGCCATTGCAGTCCAGCCGTCAGTGGGGACGCCCGCGCTCGATCGGCCTTCCACGTCGCCGCCAAAAAGCGGGCTCGCGTTCTGGCACCACTTTTTCGCCTCCTCTCCCCCGCCTCCGCCGCCGAGCGCCGCGGCGTATCCGAGCGCGCTCAGCTTTGACCGATCGTTCCTCTTTGGCGTCGCGACTGCACCGGCGCACGTGGAGGACAACCTGCACGACGCGTGGCTACCGTTCTGCAACACCACCGAGCTCCACCCCAACGGCCGGCCGCACTGCCACGCCTGGCGCACGACCCCGCGCGCGGCTGAGCGGCTGCGCTTTTGGAGCGAGCCCGAAGCGGAGATTGGGCTGGCGGCCGCGCTCAACTCGGGCGTCTTTCGGATGGGCGTCGACTGGTCGCGGCTCGCGCCGACGTCCCCGAGCGCCTTCCCGAACGCGAGCGCGCCTGTCGCGCCCGCGTGCAGCGCGTTTTGCGAGGCCAGGGAGGAGGCCAAGGTCGCGGCGAGCCCCGGCGCGCCGCCCGAGGGGTGCGCGTGCTCGGGGGTGCAGGACTTCGTGGCGCTGGCGCGGTACCGCGAGATCGTGGGGATGGCCAAGGCCAAGGGGATGAAGGTTGTGCTCACCCTCTTCCACCACTCGCTGCCCGTCTGGGTTGGCGAGGCGGGAGGCTGGACCAACGAGGCCGTGGTTCGCGAGTTCGGGAGCTTCGTGCGCGACGTGGCGGCGGGGCTCGGCGAGTCGGTCGACTACTGGCTGACGATGAACGAGCCGATGGCTTTCGCGCTCTTCACCTACATCGAGGGCACCTGGCCGCAGGCCTTTCCGCAGTCAAACTACCTCGAGGTCGTGCTCAAGGCGCTGCAGGGGGACGAGCGATCCGTCAAGGCGGCGGTCGACAACCTGGCGGGCGCGCACAACCTGGCCTACTCGCACATCCACCAGGTGCACACGCTGCGCGGCTGGCGGGCGCCGCAGGTTGGCATGGCCGCGCGCGCCCAGATCCTCGAGGGCAAGGACCCGTGGGACGGGCCGGCGGTGATGCTCTCGCGCGAGTTCATGGACTTCACCATCACCGACAAGATCCAGGACAGGCTCGACTTCCTGGGGCTCAACTACTACGGCAAGGAGATCATCTCCGGCCAGACGATCGCGCAGCCCACCGACGTCGGCTACTCGGAGGCGGGGCGCGCCATCGACACGGAGGGCCTCTACTCTGTGCTGCAAATGTTCCACGAGCGTTACGTCAACAAGCCGGGCGCGACGTGGAAGAGATTCATGGTGACGGAGAACGGCGTCGCGGACGCGACCGACGTGCTGCGCCCCGCCTTCATCACCGAGCACCTCGCCGCCATCGCCGCCGCCGTCTCCAAGGGCATCGACGTCTTCGGTTACATCCACTGGACCATTTCTGACAACTGGGAGTGGGCCGACGGGTACTGCCCAAAGTTCGGGCTCTACTCGGTGGACCGCACGTCGCCGTCGCTCACGCGCACCGCGCGGCCGTCCGCCACGGTGTACGCCGACATCTCAAAGTCGTACGCCGTCAGCCGCGAGCAGCGCGAGGCCGCGTGGAAAGTAGTCACGGCGCACCGCGGCCAGCTGCGCCCCTTTTGCCGCTCCGAGGACGGGAAGGAGGGGCTCGACGAGCCGCGCTACAACCGCTGGTTCTCGGACAACGCCGACTGGCGCTTCCACGAGGAGCGCCTCGCCGCACCGCACCACACGCCCGGAGGGATCTTCCTCCAACGCGAGGCGGCGCCGGAGAGCCGCGCCGCCGCCGCAGCGCCCTCGCTGCCCGCGCTTGCAGTGGGCGCGGCGGCCCTCGCCGGCGCCGGCTTCGCGGTCGCCCGGGCGCTCGGCCGGAGGGGCGGCCGGCTTTCGTCGCCGCGGCGGCGGGGGGGCGCTGTGGCGCTCCACATTTTGTGATCCGAGACGGCAACAGAACGTCAGCGACCCCAGCAAGATCCCCGCCCTCAAGCCCCGACCCTTCGACATCGCGCTGACCACCAGACCGGGTGCCGGAATTCATTCGTGCGTGTCAGTCTCACGATCTCTCGACCCCGCTATTGTCCTGACGACGGTGTGTGTTGGTAAGAATGTGTGCGAGTCCGAGTGTCGTGTGTGTGGACGAGACTCGAGAGCGGCTAAAGTAGGGGAAGAGAGATGAGACGACACTCGCTTGCTTTTTAATTTTTCGCGCTCCAGCCCTCCGCGAGCTCCGTCGTGCGTGCGGCGATCTTACAGTAAGAGCTCGAGCAACCCACAGCGCACAGGTGGGCAAGGGTATCCCTCGGCCTCGCCGCGCGAGCATTGTGTGGCCCGATATATCGAGATCTCTCAACTCTAATCCATCTCAGCGTATTGGTCTGACTCGTCGAACCGCATGCGACATGAAGGGGGTGGGATTTCATCGGCGGGTGGTGCCCGCATCATTAACATCACTCGTCGTCAGGCTGCCGTCTCGGGCGAGGCTGCCGTCCCGGGTCGGTCGGCGGCGGCGGCAGCGGCAGCGGCACCGACCGGGCTGCCGCGCCCTCCAGGGAAGCTCAGGCTGAAGATGGACTCCGAGTCGGCGCCTCCGGGGGAGAGCGCTGCTGGGCCCGCCCCCGGCACCGCCACGCCCGCACGCACCGGCGAGCGAGGGCTGCTCGCGCCCGGCGTCGGGCTGCAGTCGCGCTCAAGCCCCTCCGCCAGACCGTCAGATGCGACCCGTGAGGGGAACGGTGCCGCGTACGCCGCGTGGCCGGCAGCCACGGGCTTTGGCGCCATCTGCAGCTGGCGATCCAGCGGCGACGGCGGCGACTCCGGCTCGGGAGAGTACCCACCCGCCACCGGAGCCGCGGCCGGCACGAAAGCTGGCGGCGGCGGCGGTACCTCTGGCTGCTGCTCCAGCGGAGGCACCGGCTCATCAGAGGGGGCCAGCGCTGGCGGCCTCGGTTGCAGGGGCGTCTGCTGCTGGCTCGCTGCCGTGGTCGTCGCGTCGGAAGTGCTGTTGGAGGCGGTTGTGCACGACCTGCGACATGGGCGTCTGAGGTGCGCACCTCGAGAGATGGGAGTGCAGCGCCGGGCAGAATACTCGGAGCCTCGCGTGTGATTCCGCATCTATAGGTGCAGACGTCGACGCGTGCGATGACGCGGCGTATGTCGAGGTGGCGACGCTCCGGTGCGTCTCGCCGCTGCACCGGTACGACGCCGCCGACGGGTGCAGCGACGGCACCTCTGCCGCCGCCGCTGCGTGAGGCTCCTCCTCGTCCGGCGACGCGCCGCCACTTCCGCCGCCTCCCTGGTCGCCGCCCTCCTCGGAGCCGTGCAAGATCTGGCCAGAGTGGTAGACGAGGAGCGCGACAACCAGCGCCGCACCCGCAGCCGCCTCCTGCATGCCCAGCGGCTCGGGCGGAGCGAGGAACCAAGACCCGTATCGCCCGACACCGGGCCGCACAAACAGCAGGACGGTCAGCGGCAGCAGCAGCACCGAGGCGGCGTGCAGCAGCGAGGGAGGGCCCCAGCGGAGGAGGAGGAGCGAGAGGCCGCCCCACAGCGACGAGGTGATGAAGAAGAGGAGCAGGAGCGGCAGCACGCGCGACACCTCCGCGCTGCACGTCCAGCGCTCGTCTTCGCCGCGCGCGAGCTGCGCCTCGCCTGGCGACGCGATGGCACACGTGGTGCACGATGCCAGCGCCTCCTTCGCCGCCGCCTCGGCCGCCGCCGCCTTTGCAGCCTCCATGGCCGCGCCCCAAGCCTCCGTCACGGACACCGCACGCGCCATGGCCGCGCCCCTCTCCGCCGCGCTGGCTGCACGGAACGCCGCCACCGCCGCCGCCGCCTCGGCCAAGACCGCCGAATCAGCATTCGCCGCCGAGGGTGCCGCCCCCCCCGCCGCGCCGTCCCCGCCCCCCGCGGTCGACAGCGCGATGTACTCGAGCAGCGGAACCGGGACGTGCGTGGCGGGCGGCACCGCGCCGCTACCCACGGTCGCCGCGACCGGCGCGGGGACAGTCGCCGGGTGGTAATAGTCAGAGGGGCGGTCGTGGCGGTCGCTGTGGCCCCAATCGAGCTTGTCGGGCCCGTCAAACATCGCCTGGGCGAGCGACGAGAGCAAGCAGCCCAGCGAGCGGCCGAGGTGCGCCAGCGTCTCTGCGACGGGGCGGCCGTGCAGCGCCTGCAGCAGCAGCGGGCCAAGCAGCAGCCCGGCCGCCGACTGCGCGAGAGGCAGCCACGAGTTGAGGACAAGCAAGTCGACGGGCGCGCTGGCGAGCCTGCGCTTCGCGACACACCATCGTCAGGGTGCAAGCACAGCCTCGTGCGAGCACCGCCTTGTGCGGTGGAGTCGGTGTCTAGAGCTCGCGCTGAGAGGCAGGTGGCGCGCTAGCCTTCCGTGGGACTCGGCGTTGCCTGTCTGACTAGTCGATCTCTGTCTGACCGTCCGTTCTCGACTGCTGTTCATGCGATCTGGGCCCGGGGTTGAATTTTGCAGTGCACGCGGTGTGCCTCGCGTGACGACTGCACACCGACCGTCAAGCAAAGGTGTTGCCGCAGCAAGAGGGAGCGGAGGCGTGTGCTGGTTGGGCTGCGGGGGAACGCCACTTCTCTTTCCGCGTCTAGGCCGGCGAGCCAATGCGACTTGAGCGTGCTCGAGCAGACAGAGACACCCACGGCGACGACGTAGATGACGCGCGCGTCTTCGGCGTCCGAGTGCGAGGCTGGCTCCCTCTGGTAGTCTCTGTCGCGCTGGTAGTCGCGCGCCTAGTCCCATACCTCCAGAGCATCGAATCCAGTGTGGGTTCAGTCCCGTGGATGGTGTGGTAGTCTCGGGCCCGCTCGTCGTCGTCGCGAGACGAGGCGGCGTCGGGCGGAGCCGGGGCGGAGGCGGAGGCGGCGGGCTTGGCGGGGTCGCTTGTGTCGTCGCCCGCGTCGCCGGTGCGGCCGCCCACCCGCGGCAGCTCCGCCTTCTCCTCCGCCTTCTCCTGCTGCTGCTGCTGCTGCTGCTGCCTGTGCTGCTCGCGCTGCTCCTCCTGCCCGGACTCACGGAGCGGTGGCGCGGCTTCGCTCGGCTCGACGGGCGGCGACGGGTGGCAGTGAGGGTCGCAGATCGTCGCGACGCCGCTGCCTGCCCGCGCGATGCCCGCCTCGTCGGGCCCCGGCAGCTCGCCATACTCCTCGAGCTTGAGAGGAGCCTTGAGCAGTTCCATAGATACGAGCGCCTCCGACGTGCCGCCCACCTAGTGCCATCCATCCATCCATTCATCCGGTGCGCCACGGCTCCACCTCGACGGCGATCGCGTCGGGCCTAGCCACGAGAGATTGGGTGAGAAAGCAGAGAGATGGGCGACCGAATCGGAGCACTGATGGCACACCGGCTGCGAGTAGCGAGCGTCGAGCAGCTGCGCGGTGTGCGCCCACGCCTGCTCCACGACCTCAAAGCGCAAGCTCGCGCCTCCCCGACCCTCGCCGCCGCCGCCGTCTGCGCGCGCCACCAGGACGAACCGCAGCCCCGCTACCACCTGCACCTCGCCGGCGCTGATCCCCTCCAGCCGCGCGCCACGCAGCCGCCCGCACGCCACCGCCAGGCCTCCGGCGCAGCCGCCGCCGGTCTGCTTGCCGCCCGAGCCGACGCACCCGCACGACTCCGGCGCGCGCTGCACCGCCGTCAGCGAGAGGTTGGCGAACCGCCAGGCGCGGCTCCCAGGGGCGATCTCGCTCGCGCTGAGCTGGCGCGGACCGCCGGGCATAGGGGGTGCGCCGACGGGGCCGGGGCCGCCGCCGCTGCCGCTGTCCGCGAGGCGGCGCGCGACGCCCGGCCGCGGCTCGGTCTGCTCCCTGATGGAGGAGGGGTGGAGTATCCCGACCGGGAAGGGGCCGGCCTTTCGGCCGACCGCGAAGGCGGCGCGCGCGGCGAGCGCCGGCCCGGCCGCGTCGGGCGAGCCGGGGAGGGCGTCCGATACGATCGGGTTTGGGCCCGACCCGCCCCCGTGCAGCGGCGGCGGCGTGCTCTCGACTGGCAGCGGGAGGAGCGCCACGCCGATCGCGCCCGCCGCGACAAGCCCCGAGAGGACGAGGGTAAGCGGCGGGCAGCGGCGCCGCGCGCCGCGGTTTGCGACGATGCACGCAAAGCCGACGGTGAACGGGAGCGACGCCTGCGCCAGCACCGCCTGCGTGATGCCGCGCAGCGAGGCGGCCGAGTCGATGAGCAGGAGCGAGTGGAGCGCGTCGAGCACGCCCATCGCTGCGAGCCTCGCCGGCCGCAGCCGCCGCAGCTGCGCCGGAACCTGGCCGGCGGACGATTGCGCGCGCGCGAGGCGGAGGAGGGCGTATAGCAGCACGTTGAGCAGGGTGAGGACGGTGTGCACCACGAGCGCGCCGTTGGGCGTCGCGCCCGCCATCCGCGCAAACAGCACCTTCTCACCGGCGCCGAGCAGCAGCTGCGCAACGGCGACCGGGAGCATCGCCCACGCGATCCACCACGCGGGCGCGCCCGCGAGGCTCGAGCGAGAGCTCGACGAGGTGAGCAGAGGCTCGTTGAGGCCCTGGAAGCCGCCGCTCTTCTTGCGGTTGCCCTCCTGGAAGCGCAGCGCGCTGGGAGTCTCGAACATTTCGAGTGCGGGGAGGTCAAGTGGAAGGTGGCCTTCCCGGGGCGGCCGCGTGAGGCTGCGGACTTTGCCAACTCGGCAGTCGGCCTCCGACTGAAGTGAGCAGCGTCGCCAGCGAATAGGACCGCCGCAGTGGAGCGGGGCGGTTGAGCATCCCTCCGGGGGGCCCTGCGAGCTCGCAGGAGGAGGGTCGAGGAGGGGGGTCGAGGCAGGCGGGAAGGGGCTGGGGTGTGGGGCGGGGCGGGGATTGGAGACGACCTGGGGGAGAGGAAGAGGGGTGGGGAGGAGGGCCGGGCACCCGCACACGGCCCGCCGCCCTTCATGACAATCATGAGGTGAGAGTTCCCTCGATGCGGACGAGCCCGAGGAGCGCCGCGTAGGCGTACTCGCGCACACCAAGCTCATTCACGTAAACGCACAACCCCCCGGGCCCGAAATCGCACAGAGTCACGCAACACGGGGTCCCAGGGAAGGCGAGCAAAAAGCTCATTCACAATCTGCTCTCGCATCGCGCTGTCGGGGTGATCCGAGCATGGGGCGAGGCGGTGCCGGCCGCGGGCCGGGTGCAAGGCGCCGGCCTCGGCGCCGCCTCGGCGCGCCGCACGGGCGCGGGGAGCCTCTGAGCGGGAGCCGAAGGTTTGCCTGTGGTAGGTAGGTAGGTGGGGTTGTTTGACTTTCCCGCAGAGGCCGTCCCTAGCTGTGAACAGCAAAACGGGACAGTATTCTCCTTTTACCCGTCAAATGGCGGACGACGTGAGAGCGCTGCTCGCGTCGGTCGCAGCAGAGTCGGAGAGCCGGGCTGAGCGCTGCCTGGAGCTGCTGCAAGCCAAAGACGCCACGATTCGTCGACTGCAGAGCGAGGTGGCGGCGCTTGCTGAAGCGCCCGGGTCGAACGTCGAGGCGGTGGCACGGGTAGATGCCGCGGTGGCGCAGCTTCTCGAGGCGGAGGCTGCCGCCGAGGCGGCCGAGGCGCGTGCCGAGGCGTCGGAGCGGGCGAGGCGCGAGGCGGTCGCCGGCCAGGAGGCGGCCGAGGCGCGCCGTGAAGCCGCATCGCTCGCCGCGGCGCACTTGCGCAACGAGCGCTCCGCTTGGCTCGCGGCCGAGGCGCAGAGGCGCGTCGCGGAGAGCGCCGCCTTTGACCAGGCGGAGGCGTCGCTCCTCTCGCTCGCATCGGAGGGCCTCGAGCCAGAGGGGAGCCTGGCTGCCGCGGACAACCGCGAGGCGCTTGGTGCAGCGCTCGATGAGATTGCAGAGCTACGCGCACAGGTCGCTGCACTCAGCGGCGCGCTCTCGGCGGCAGACAGCGACACGCGCGCAGCGACAGAGGCGGCAGCTGTCGCGACTCGGGAGGCGGCGGCTCGCGCACGCGAGGCGGCCGAGGCGACGGAGGCTGGGCGGCGGGATGCGCTCGAAGCCGAGCTTCGCGCGGCGCGCGAAGCGGCGGCCGCGTCAGATGAGAGATGCGGCCGGCAGCTGGCAGAGCAGCAGCGCGCAGAGGCGCGGTTTGCGCGGCGCTACGAGGAGGAGGCCGCGGCGGCGGCGGGCAAGGAGGCGGCGCTGCGCGCTGAGGTGGAGAGGCTGCGTGAGGCGGAGGATCTGCGTCGGGCGGAGGCAGACGCCGCCGCCGGCGCATCGCTTGGCGCGCAGAGCGCACTCGCCGATGCGGAGATGCTGCGCGCTGACCTCGCCGAAGCAGACGCGCAGTTGTGCGCCGCGGAGAGAGGGCGGCAGAGGGCGGAGGCCAGCGCCGAGTCGGCCGCGCGCGAGCTGCGCGTGTGGCGAGAGGCCGCCGCCGCCGAGGAGGCGGAGGCTCTTGCCAGCCGCTTGGCCGTCGCGCGCGAGGGGGGCGCCGTTCCTTCGCTCGGCGAGGCGGCGGCGGCGGAGGCGTCGCTCGTGATCCCATCCTCCGAGTCGCCGTCCCGCGCCGCGTCGCCTCCTCCGCTGCACGGCAGCAGCAGCAGCCTGAAGGCGCAGGTGTCTGCCCTCCTTGACAGAAGCTCTCCGCCGAGCCAGCAGCAGCCGGTTTGCGGCAAGAGCGACGGCGTGGGCAGCGGGAGTGGCGCCAGCGGCGGTGGTGGCGGCAGTGACGGCGGCGGCGGCGGCAACGGCAGCAATGGCTGCGGGGGTGGCGGCGGCAGATCTGGCTTTGATGCGGCGCGCCGGTCGGCCGAGAGGCGGCGAGCGTTGCAGGCTGAGGCGGTGGCGCTGCGAGCTGCGCTGGACGCGGAGCAGCGGGCCCGCGCTGCCGCCGAGGCGAAGGCGCGCTCGGTCGAGACCGAGGCCGCGGCGCTTCGGATGGCGGAGCGTGTCGCGCGGGCGGAGGCGTCACGGCTGCTCGAGGCGCCGGCCGAGGTCTCGAGGCTTCGCTGCGAGTTGAGCGCCGCCCGCCGACAGGGCGAGGCGCTTGCCGCCGCCGCCGCCCACTCGGCGTCCGAGGTGTCAGAGGTGGCGGCCTCCCGGGTGGCGGAGGCGGAGGCGCGGCTGGAGCGGGCGGAGCGGCGCGCGGAGGAGGCCGACCGTGCGCGCGCCGTTGCAGAGGCGGCCGAGGAGGCGGCGCGGGCTGCCGTGAGGCGGAAAGAGGCCGAGGCGGCCGAGGCGGTTGCGGCCCGTGACGAGATGCGCGAGCTGCGAACCACCTCCGAGGAGGCGGCGACGGCGGCCTTTGCGGAGCTCACTGCGTCTCGCTCCGAGATCGAGGCGATGCAGATCGAGCTGGCCGGCGCGAAGGCCGGCGCGGGAGCGGAGGAAGCGCGACGGGATGAGGTGGAGGCGCTGCGCAAGGAGCTGAGCGCGGCCCGCGCGCAGGCGAGGGCGGCCGAGGAGGCGCAGCGGGGCGAGGCGGCGGCGGCGGAGGGCGACAACGCGTCGAGGGACGCGCCGCGGCGCGGGGGCTGCAGGGCGGCGGGGGCGGGTCTGGCGGGGCGGGATCACGCGGAGCTCGAGGCGGAGCGGGCGGCGCGGCGGCCGGACGAGGAGCAGGGCGCGCCGCTTGCGGCGGAGGGCGGGGCGGCCGGCGCGGAGGCGGCCGGCGCGGGGCGCGCAGGCGTCGGAGACGGCGACCAGAGGCGCGCGGCAGCGAGGGCGGCGGGAGCGTCGAAGCGCGAGTTGCGCGCATTGCAGGAGCAACTGCGGCAGGCGAGGAGCCGGCTTGCCGAGGCTGCGGCGGCGAACTCGGAGCGCGACGGGCTGAGCGAGGCGGTGCGTGAGAAGGGCCGCGCCCTCCGAGCAGCAACAGAGGCCCTCTCCGACGCGCGCCGTCAGCTGTCGACCGAGCGCTCCGAGCGGCGCGAGCTCGAGGCACGGCTCGCGGCGGCGCAGTCCGAGAGCGCCACGGCCGGAGACGCGTCCGCTCGGGCGCGCGCCGAGGCGCGCGCGCGTGACGCCCTGCTCAAGCAGGCGCGCGCGAAGCTAGACGATGCGAAGGCGGCAGAGGAGAGGCTGCTCGAGGAGCGGCCGCGCTTGCTGCAGCGGGCGGCCAAGGCCGAGGCAGAGTTGCGTGGTAAGGAGCAGCAGCTCGGCGAGGCGGAGCGGAGGCTCGCCGCCGCCGCCGCCGCGGCGGCGCGGGAGGAGGAGGCGCGAGGCTCGGCGGCGGCGCGAGCCAACCGTGCCACCCGGGCGAGGCTTCGCGAGGCGGAGGAGGCGACACGCGCTCTCCGGCGGGAGCACGCGCGCGCGCTCGCCGACGCCTCGGACAGCGATCGCGCCGCGGAGGCCGCGTGCGCCGCGCGACGCGCGACGAGCGAGGTCGTGCGCAGCTTGGCGGCTGCGCTTCTCGCCGAGCCAGCCTCGCCGGCCCGCGCTGGTGGGCCTCAGGGGTCTACGGCGGACGCGGCGGCGGACGCGGCGGCGGACGCGGCGGCGGACGCGGCGGCGGACGCGGCGGCGGACGCGGAAGAGACGAGGCGGCAGATCGAGGCGCTGTCCGCGGAGCTCCTCGATGCGCCGGCGTCTCAACTCGGGATACCGCTTGGGACGCCGGCACGCGGCGGCGGCCCTCCCGCCGCTCCGAGCCCACGCACCAAGCAAGGAAGACGGGGCCGTCTGGCCATGACCGCCGAGGCGGCGGCGGCGGCGGCAAGGATCGACGCGGCTCTCGATGCCGAAGTGCCCGAGAGCGGCGCGCTCGAGGCGACCCTCAAGTCGCTGCTCGCACAGCACGTAGAGCGAGCGTGCGCCCGCCCCGAACGGTCAGCCAGGAGCGCCGGAGCGCCCTCTTTTGAGTGGAGAGTCGCGTCGTAACGAGGGCGACTCTCTGAGAGACATCGTCGCGGAGAGCTATATACGGCGTCCTATGGCCTGCCCTGCCATATGCCCATACTGCCCTGCCGTGCAAACTTCGGTACGTTAGATATATACGGCTTTTAATCACGAGAGTAAAAACCGCTAAATCCTAAAAAACCAGCCAGCAGCCTCCGGCGGGCCCCCCCGCTACGCGCCACCAAGTACCATCCAAACCCGAGTGTACAAAGCGCCTCTCCGAGAGCGCTGCGCAGACGGTGTGCTAATCATAGAGGCGCAAGGGACTCAAGTCCACACACACAAGACACATACACGCGACAGCCGGGACACACGGCTCACGGGTGCCACGTCTAGGTGTTGAGGCTAGAGCAGGTTTGCCTCTCGCACCCCGTCTGTTTTCCTTTCCTTTTTTCTCTACAACACCCTCTCTTTTCCTCTCTATTTTCCCGGGAATTCTCCGTGGAAATCGTCAAATTTTGGGCGCTGAGCCGAGTCTGGAGGCTGGTTTGGGCCCAAAATCAGCCAAATTTTAGGCCAAATCGGCAAAATGCCGGGAATTTTGCGGAGAACCCGTGTATACCTGGAACTTACCCTGCGACCGCCTGGGTATTTTGTCGATTTCCTCAATTTTGCCTCAGATTTTGCCCCAGACCAGCTCTCAGACTCAGGGAAACTCGCGAGTTTCCAGAATGGAGCACCAAACACCCCCTCTGTTTTCCCTGGAAATTTCCGGAAACGCAAAGTGCTGGGGACCCTCTGTTTTCCTTTTTGTTTTCCTACTGTTAACACTAGCAACACTGTTCAGCTCACTTAACGTTTGACAGCTCTAGAAAAAAGCCACGACGTTGCTCACAATCCATTCGACGGCTACGTACGGCTTTTCAAGCCTCTATACACACATACACAATCAACACAATCAACATCCTCTCCATACAAAACAGTCTACTGACGATCTCTTCAGAGCAGAGCGTGGTACGAGCCCCGCCCGCCGCCCATTGCCTGGATGCTCCGCGGCGGCGAGGACGGCAGCCCTCCCTTGTGTCGCCCCGGCGCTATGCGCGACACCTGGAAGAGTTTGCGGTATACCGTGTTGAACTCGAGCTCAGCGTTCACGCTCTGGCTGCTGCTAGCGGCGTCGCGGATCAGCGTGAACTGTGCAGTGGCAGCGTGAAGGGAGCACCAGCGGTGAAGGGCTGTGACCGACTGTGCGTTGCACGTCGCGCGGTGGCTGAGGCTGAGGAAGCCGGCATCGCGCTGTGGAGACCAGGCTATGAGGAGGTCGCCAAAGCGAAGCGGCATCGCGTACTCGTTTGGGAGGTCGTGCAGCCGCAAGAGGGCGACGACCGCGCCATCGGCGTGGTCGAGGTCGAGCAACAGGAGAGCGTCGAGGAACCTCTCGAGCTGGGCGTCCTGCAGGCTACACAGCCCGTCCGCCCACGCCTCGGCGCCCGTGGCTAGCGAATAGCGAGAGCGCCACCGCTGGTACGCTTCTTGAAGGCTGCCCGATGACGCGGTGTTGGCCTCGTCGCCATCACATTCCGGCGGGGCGCTACGCGGCTCGAGGACGCGGTACGAGAAGACGTCGCTGCTGCCGCCGCCACCGCCACCACCACCACCACCGGCGGCGGCGTTGGCATCGAGAGTAAACACAAGCAGCTTGCCCGCAGACAGCAAATCGTGGATCGCTCGCCCCTCGGCGTCCTGGTCCTCCCGCAACGGAGCTTCAGGCCCGGCCGCCCTGACTACCAGGAGGCGGCTCGGAGCAGGCACTGCACGCTCGGTGGCTGCCAACGGAGTGTGGGCAACAACCGGAGCCTTTGTCCACGTCCAGCATCGACACAGCCGCTCCCACAACTGTCGCCTTGCCAAGGCGCGGCGATTAGCGGCCTCAACCCGTGCCGCAGCCCTCGCTGCTGCCCTGGCTTCCTTGGTGGCGACAGCCTCTCGCATGCGTGAGATCTCACGCCGAAGCGCCCGCAGTTGTTTAAAGGTTGTGTCCTCGCGGGCCTGGAGCGTCACAAGCTGCACTCGCATCGAGGGCTGACGTGTGGCGCAGACACAGAGAGCGACGATGGCGCAGGCGAGGAGGAGAAGAGCCGCTGCTGCCAGCTGCCAGCTTCGCGTTTGCACATTTGAAGTCATCAAACGTGCCAGCTCTGACGCCGCCGCCACAGATTCTCTGGCCGTCGTCTCCACCGCCGTTTGATGCTGTCGCAGGGAGGATTGTACATCACTCAGTCCATCCCTCATGCGCTGTAGCTCGGCCGCGATCGCAAGCTGATACCCCGGTTGACGGCTCGCGATGTAAATGGCGCAGGCCAGAAGACATGCACACACTCGTGGACGGCATGCGCGGGAGGTCACATCGCGTCGCCTCCCTCTGTGCCCTCCTCCGGGTAGAGGAAGTGCCGCCGTGGCCGTCATGCGCCCTCCATGTGTGGTGACGAGAGCGGCTCAGGCGAATTGATTCTTTTTTTCCGTGACACGTGTGTTGAGCACTTGAGCACTGGATAGGGTCGATTCCGCATGGTACGGGACCCCTCGATCGTCTCGCCACCCTCACTGGAGTGTTCATTGGGGGGGGTCATAACAAACACGGTACAGGATCGAGGTGCACGCTGCCGAAGCAGTCTAGCAGTGTCGTCCCCCCTCTCCCCGACCGACGGCGATGGCGGTGTGACCGATTCGTGTGTTTGTCAGTGAATGTAGCTCTTACGTACATTCCCGGAGGAGGACTCTGCTGACAGGGTTTGCGATGAGGAGCGCCCGAAGGGTTTCTCGGAGGTTAGTGCACCACTAACCGCCGAAGCGCACCGCGGCACGCCGCCGTTTCTAAGCCTTTCCACCCACCCCACCCACCCCACGCCGTGGTTTCTTAGCTTCGGCCGGCACCCCAGGTCAGCCGGGATCTAGGAATTTTTAGGTAAAATGACAATAAGGAAGCGCTGGACCGATGCGCCAGTCAGCAGTCTTGGGATGACAGGAAGACGCACACACCTCCATCCACACCGCCCAGAACACCGCAGACTTGGGCAAATGACAAGTGCGCGCGCCGCAGGCGAAGAGAAAATTTGAGCGGGGCTCCTGTTCACACTCGTGTGTGGGCCCTTTCTTGGGGCCGCCGCGCCTGCGGCGCGCCGTGGTTTCTTAGATTTTCGCGGAAATTGCTTGGTAGGGTTTCTTAATGGGACGCTTTCTTAATGCCCGCAACAGACTGTAGATAAAAAGAATTTTACAACAAATAAAAAGAAAGGCAGCACGCCTTAATCAAAAGACCAAACCGGAGAGATAAATAAATAAATGAAACGGACACACCAAACAAGGGGTGGGAGAAGGACAGGGTCCCCACCTGCGCGAGCAGGATCTTGTAAGGACGATCACCGGAGAGATGGGCGAGTAAACTAAGGGCGTAGACAGGGATGCCTAGCGCTGCGAGCGTCTTGGAGGCGGCCATCACCTCCTCTTTTAGCAAATCTGCCTCTGTGGAGAATCGCGCCGTCGATTTCTTTTGACCCTTCGATTCAGGCCAAGCACGTTTGTCGAGCCGTCAGCTCAGACCGCTTTCGTGTGTTCCGGGCCCCGCCGCGTGGGCGTCCTCGCTTCACGTCTCCACGATGATCGTTCGCCTGCTCCTCCTCCTCGTCGTCTCGTGCGAGGCCGTGCGGAGCACGCGCCGTGCAGTCATCGGCGGCGGCGCCGCCGCCGCCGTCGCCTCGTCGCCCATCCTCCGCGCCGGCGCGTTCGAAGGTGACGAGTCCATTGTCGAACCAGTCCTGGACGATGCGCTAACGCCGACAGTAGTGGACGATGCGCTGCTCACGCCGCCGCCGCCGCCGCCACCGCCACCGAAAGAGATTGAATACTCGGAGCTTGTCTCGCGCCTTTCTACATGCAGAGAGACGGGCGTGTGCGACGTGGAACGCGTGGATTTCAAGAGCGCGAAGGCCGAGGCGGCCGTTGCACGGATTGGCGGGTCCGAGCGGACGGTGCTCAACTTGCCGATCGAAGACCCGAGCAACGACTCGTCACCGCTGAAGCTCGTGGCCAGGTGCCGCGATGCAAACGTGCCTTACGTCTTCTCCGACCTGCAGGCAGCGCTAAAGTCGACGCGAGGCTCCTCCGTGCTGTCTGCTCCCAAGCTTCCCAGCCTGCCAAAGCTATTCTGAGTCCGCGGCGACTGGTTGGCTTGCGCCTTGCGGCGGGCCGCCGTCTGCAACCCTTCGCGTATGGCAAAGGGGGGGTGGGGCGCCTGTTCGCGGCCCGGCGACGGGGGCGACGTCGACAACGGGACGGTCCCACATAAGACGACAGCTCGACACAACACGAGCCGCGTGTCTCGCGTCTTCCGTCTCGCTCTCGGCTCTCGAGCCCCGGACGCCGGCCCCGCGGTCGCCTGTGCGTCTGCCGATCTCACCACACTCAACAGTCAACTCTCTTTCGTTGTCGTGGAGAGTAGGATTCCTAAGCGCGTATTGGCAAATACGATTAATCTGTCCTGTCAAGGCACGCACTCTACTTCTTAACACACCGCGGCAACATGACGAGCGCGGGCGCGCGCGAGGACTCGGTATACGCGAGCGCGGGGGGCGCGCTGCCCCACCGCTCTCTGCTCTCAATGAGTGGACTCGGATACGGTTCGGGGGGTGGGCCCCCTAGGACTTCTCGCCGATTTGGCCGGCGATGGAGTCGAGATCGCGCTGGCCCTGCGGCGTGATGCGGCGCCTGCGGAGGTAGGGGCGGGGGGGGCGTAGGGAGGGGGATAACGCGCGAGGGGAGAGAGTCGGAGCGGCGATGAGTGCGCCGCGGGCGCGCGGCGGCGGTGCGGCGCGCGCCCTTTCCCCTCGGGAACCTTCTCGACAATCTTCAGAACCTCCAGCTGCAGGGGGAGGGGGGGAGGGGGGGTGAGGCAGGCCTCGAGGGGTGGTCTGCGCGCGTTGGCGGCGGTCGGCGGGTTGAGGCTTCCCCCCCCCCCCCCCCACGCGCGCGCACAGGAGGAGGCGCCCGTCCTCCGCACTACGCGCGGCGGCGCCGCCCTCCGCCCCGGGAAGGGGGCCGCAGGAAGGGGCGCAGCAGCCCGCACCTGCTTGAGGATGTGGCGCGCGATGGAGCCCGAGCCCTTGGCGGACGTCTCGGGCCGCGTGCCGCGCATCTTCCGGCCGCCGTAAATCTTCTTGAAGCCGCCCACGCCGACGCCCCCACGCATGTACACTCGCCGCGCCATCGCAGCTGCGGGGCGGGTGGGGCGGGCGGGCGCTTCAGCAGTGCGACGTATACAGCGACGTCGGGGTGGCGCCCGTGCGGCGCGGCGGCAGCAACGGCCCCCACAGCACCGCCCAAGCTCCCCTCCCGGGCCCGAGCGGCCGGGTGCCTGCACGGATGTAGTACCAGTCGGGGTCGTAGGGAGCGAGCTCCTTGTACGACGCCGTCTTGACCAGGTCGGCCCACTTGGGCACCTCGATCTTGCCAATGCGCTTGAGGTGCGCGGCGTAGGCAACCACGAACTGGTCCGACGCGACGTCCTTGACGTTGATGCCCCGGCTTGTGCTCATGGTGAAGCCTGAGAGGACACTCGACACGGGAAGGTGAAAAAAAATCCTGCAGGCGTTTTCTTTCTTTTCTTTCTTTTTATCCGGAAGACGAATCGAGACGACGACGACGGCACGCCATTAGCAATCCCCTGTGTGTGTCTCTCTCTCTCCTGCCCGCCCCCCGCCACCCTCCCCCCGACTGCCACCCGCCCACCCCCGTCGTGTCCCTCTTCTTCCCCCCCCTCTCCGCCCGGCCCCGCTCTTTCTCTCTGTGTGCGTCTTCGCCCGCACCTCGGCCTCGTCTTTGGTGACTTGGCTGTCTGTCTCTCTTGTCGCTCTCTCTCTACACACTACAGTCTACACGTGGCGGTGTGGCCACGACGGCCCCGCCGCCTTCGTGGATCGTGCGCCGCCTTTTCCACTGGGGGCAGGCGGGGGCCCTCGCCTGGGGGGTACCCATGCGCGCCTACCGAAGAGGTCTCTCCTGCCCCTCTTGCTCTTCAGATAAGCCTCTCTCAGGATCACAGACACCCCTCTCAGGATCACAGCACCGGCGGGGGCGCGCCTCAGGATCAAGCACCCACGGCAGGGTCTGTGGGGATCAGCAGACCTTGAGGGGGCGCGCTGAGGATCATAGGCCTGAGAGGGGTGCTGTCAAGATCACAGGGCTGCAAAGGGTGGCACTCGAGATCAGAGCGCCAAAATAGGTGCAATACAGATCAGCGGCCGGAAGGGTGGGCGCAACGGGGGGGGACAGATCACGAGCGCCGGAACGGGTGCAATTTACATCATGAAACCGTCGCGCGCCCAATCACGTGCGCTGGACCGGTCGCTCATGCGCCGTCCTGTCGCTCATGCGCGTCCTGTCGCTCATGCGCTTGTCGCTGGGAGGTGGCGCCGGGCTGGCCATCGGCGCCGCTCGCGCGCTCGGCGCCGCCGAGGATGGCAGTCGTGACGGCGGCCGCAGTATTCGGCGTAGACCGCGCGCGCAGCGCGCTCCGTGTTTGCCTTGTGAGGAGCGCAGCGACGAGTCCGTAAGGAGCGGCCCCAGCTTGCTGGGTGCGGCGCCGCCGCGCGCCGTATCGAGAGACTCTGTCGGGGCAGGTTAAAATAGCGCCGCAGGCTCCCCGGGCCGTCCGCGCACAGACCACAAAACCCTCATGATCTATATTGCACCCGTTCCGGCGCTCGTGATGTGTATTGCGCCCACTTCCGGTCGCTGATCTGTATTTTGCACCTATTTTGGCGCTCTGATCTCGAGTGCCACCCTTTGCAGCCCTGTGATCTTGACAGCACCCCTCTCAGGCCTATGATCCTCAGCGCGCCCCCTCAAGGTCTGCTGATCCTCACAGACCCTGCCGTGGGTGCTTGATCCTGAGGCGCGCCCCCGCCGGTGCTGTGATCCTGAGAGGGATGTCTGTGATCCTGAGCCGCCCCTGCCCCCCTCCTCTTCTCGGCTTTTGAGCCGCCATATGGTTGGAAAAAATCTCCCAGAGGGAATTCTTTTGCCGGTCCCGTGCCCAGCTGCCCAGTGTCGTGAGAGAGGGACCTTGATTGTAAAATTCTTTTCCATCAGAGCTCCAGTATGCAGTAAGCTCGGAGACACCCCATTAGCGCGGCTCGACCTCTTTGAGTCACTGCCTTCCCGACGGTTTGGCTGTAGCGAGCCTCTACAACAAACTCTCTACAGCAAAATCGCGCTCTACATCGCTCTACAACGCAGGCAGTTCGTCCCGCGGCGGATTTAGAGCTCTACAGCTCTACAGCGCTCCACAGCGCTCTACATCTCTACAGCTCTGCAGCGCTCTACACTCTACAGCTCCTCTACAACCCTCCAGTCCTCAGGCCGCCCACTTCAGTCATGACCTCACCCCCCCCACCCCTGCATGGTACAGAGTCCAGAGAGTAGAGAGCCAGAGAGAGCCAGAGAGAGCCAGAGGAGAGCCAGACGGCCAGAGAGAGAGAGGGATATACATGTATATATAGAGAGAGACTCAGAGAGCGAGAGAGAGAGAGAGAGAGAGAGAGAGAGAGAGAGAGAGAGAGAGAGAGAGAGAGAGAGAGAGAGAGAGAGAGACCGAGAGAGACCGAGAGAGACCGAGAGCGAGAGAGAGACCGAGAGCGAGAGAGAGCGAGAGATCAAAGAGTCCAAAACTCGTGTCAAGATGTACGCAGTACTTTTTGGCCCCACTCCACAAGTTATTGTTATGGTGTTATGGCTCTCCGGGCAAGCAGGGCCCCATAAGCATAACAGCCATAACACCCATAACATGTTATGGGCTGCTATGAGAGAGCCGTCCCCGGTCCACGGTGTTATGGCCCCGAGAGGCCACGCCGAACAGCTCGCCGCTGGTATTTTCGCTCCGCGCGCTGCCGGCCTGCCGCGCGCGAGGTTCGGCATCGATCGCCAAATATTTTCTCGTTTGCCCTCAAGTTAAATTCAATCATCAAACCTCGGATCACCAAACGGACATGGCGCTCTGAAACACCTTCAGCGTGTTGACAAACGTCGCGGACTCGTCCTTCGATCCCTCGGGAAACGCGTAGATTTGCACAGGCCGTTTGACGCGTCGATGGCCCACGCCTCTCGGAGCTTCAGAGCACAGTGCGTTGTACGACACAGACACAGCACAGTTGATGCCGGGAATCTTCTTGCTGAGTCTTCTTGAAGTCGGCAGGTCAAATGACGAGGGCTTCTGGCTCTTGAACATCCTTCATCCGGTATACCTACCGCCGGTAGGCCATGGTTGACTTTGCTCTTTGGTAGTAGCTACGCGCGCGCGGGGCTCCAAGAATTTATATTTTCGTCCGACACATATAACAGCTGTTATGAGGTTGTTATGTGCTGGCTGTCATAAAAACAAGTGGGAGGTGTTATGAGTGCTATGAGGTGTTATATGAGGTGTTGTGTATGAGGTGTTATGAGGCGCGCCGGGCGACGGAGGCTGGCGAGCGCGCCGCGAGCGAGGCCGAGCGCGCGGAGGCCCCGCGGGCGCAGCTGCGCGAGAACATCCAGTACGTGATGGCCGGGCTGCGGACTGCAGCTGCGCAAACGCGCAGCCAGGCCGGGTCCAAAATAGAGGTCACCTACTCGCTGCCCCCGGAGAGGGACGACGGGTATCCGACGCGGCCCCAGCAAGGTGTACGCCAAGGTTCCCCAGGGGACCGTGGCGACGACGACCGTCGCCTCGGACTGGCTCGCAAACGAGCTGGCCGAGTATGGAGAGATTGATGCGGCATGCCGCGACAGATTTGTGATGCACCTGATGACGGCCGCCGGCGCCTCGGCGCCGGCCGACGCCGTGTTCAGGTTCACAGCCGGCGAGGCGATGCAGACCTCTCGCCCGACCTCCGCGTCGGGCGAGGACGACGACGAGGACACCGGCTCCGAGGAGTCTTCCGACGACAGGGCGTCCGACTAGCTGGCTTCACCCATATCTTTAATACCCCTTCTGCCCCCCCCTCTCCTCCGACCCCCCAGGCTAGATGGAGTAGTCAGATGTAGATTCTGCCCCACACAGCCCCTTACCCCTTCACCCTCGCCTCACTGCTTGGTGTTTCTGAACACGTAGTCGTCCACGCTGTGGGGGTTGTGTGTGGGTCCTGTGTGTCTGGGAGGGTGGGAGTGGGGTGCAGGAGCAGGCGCACATCGCTTCCAGGGAGGGGGGCGTGCTTCTGCTCACGCTCCACCCCCCCCCTAGCATGTGGTGAAGGCGCTGGGGGGGTCGGGACCCCCCCCTAGCATGTGGTGAAGCCTCTGGGGGGGTCGGACCCCCCCCCCTAGCATGTGGTGGGCACCCCCCAGCAGTTCGTGGGCTAGGAATAGCCGCCAGAGAGCCGATTTTGCCCCCAAAGTTGTGAAATCGTGGCTGAAAGTCCAATATCTTGGAGAATCTGACCAGTCTCAAGGCTCATGTAGCTCCAAAGGATGATTTCCCCCTCGAAAATGCTGCGAAATGAGGCGTAAAATCAAGGGCCCGGAGGGTCTGACCACGAGTCTCTGGGGGGGTCCTCGGCCACGACCCCCCCCTAGCATGTGGTGAAGGTGCTGGGGGGGGCGGGACCCCCCCCCTAGCATGTGGTGAAGCCTCTGGGGGGGGTCGGACCCCCCCCCTAGCATGTGGTGTGAGCAGAAGCACGCCCCCCTCCCTGGAAGCGATGTGCGCCTGCTCCAGGTTGGGTTGCTCACCCACGGCACCGGGCCGGTGCTTGCACTTTGAATGCCGTGGGGCTCCTGCCCGTGTCCGGGCGTGGAGATGCGAGGGTCGCCCCCCCTTGCCCCACCACTTTGTGTGTGGAGACGTTTACACCTTAGCTTACCTTACCTTACTAGTAACAGCCACATAACAGCAATGGAGGTGTTATGAGGTGTTATGAGGTGTTATGAGCAGCCAGCCATAACAGCCATAACACCTGTTATGGCCGCTCTCGCAATTTCTTACTTATTTACGGAGATTACGCGCGCCCCCCCGCGCGTCATGCCGCGCCGGTCGGTGTACGCGCGGGGTCCATTTCAAAACCATCTCCTCTCTGCACTCTGGAGCAGAGGCCAGAGCCGAGCGCGATGTATCTGACGAGCCCTTCCCAACTCAAGCGAGCCAGGTCACTTAAGGTCACCAGTCGCAGGCGTACACGTTATTGGCAATGCCACAGAAAGGGTCGTGCGTGCGGTGTGGGCGTGTGGCGGGGTGCACGGGGGCGGGACTCACACAAGCACCGCCGCCGCATTCGAGGGACATAGAAACGGGCCTAATTCGCACCGTACCGAACCGAGGGCCCGAATAAACTACTGGGACGCATCGCCGTCCGTTGTATCGCCGTGCGTCAAGGCTATCTGTCGGTCAATCAGCGCGCGCACCTGCTCCGGCGACATCGGATTCTCGGGATCGTCCGAGTCGATCTCGTCCTGTGGGCATATACGTGGGGCGGCTCAGCGATTCGGGTGGCCGGCCGGCCCGCGCGATCGTCTCTCGCCTCGTCGTTCAGGCCGACTGCGAGAAGGCTGGCCTCTTCCCTGCTGCCCGTGGCTGGGTGTGCGGCGGCGGCGGGGCAGCAAAGCAACAGGCAGCGCAGCATGCTGCGATTGCACCACTGCCAGGTCCGCGCCGTCGGTGGCGAAAATTTTAGGACGAGGCGGCAGTCTTGCTCTTGCTCGGTCAATGCTAAAGCGGGCCGGCGCGTCCCAAAAAATAACACGAACTTTTTGTTTCTCCCTGTGCTGGAAGTCGATCTTTTGCTCCAGATTCCGAACCTGAAGCTGCAGAGCCTGCAGGTCGCTCGAGGCTGGTGGACCAACACTGCCGGAGTTGGAGCAAGAAGAAAACGCGCCGGTTCCTCCCTTGCACCCTTGGGTTATCGGCTCCTATAACGGGGTCTTTTCATCGCAGCGCAAATCTATCGCGGCGCACTCGCCATCTGTGAGCCTAGCGCAGCGCGAACTCGCCGTCTGAGCCTAGCGAGCGCAGAGCGAACTCGCTCTGAGCCTAGCGCAGCGCCTCGGAAAACACCATTTTGGCTCGCCAACAAGCCCTCCGCGCCCCCACACGGTTAGGATAAGACTTTTCAGCGTCTCGAGGCCTCCAACCGGAAAAGAAAAACGCGGAGAATTCACAGAGCCGGCCGGTCGCAATGCTGCTCCGCTTGATCTGCTTGCTCTGCGCGTGCGCCGGCTCGGTCGCGCTCCAGGCGGGCGCTCCCGCCCGGCCCGCCATCACAAGGGCGGCAGCAGCTCCGATCATGCAGTTCCGGAATCCCTTCGCCAAGAAGGAGGAGGAACCGCCGGCGCCGACGCCCAAGCGTGGCAGCACACGTGGCGGTCGCAGCGGCAAAAACTTCTACGACGACGAGCAAGACACCGTCTCGCGCCCTGACTGGATCCCCAACTTTGTCGAGCAGGGCGAGAACGAGGACGGTCAGATCGTGGATCTCGCCACCGAGGGAGCCGGCCTGTACGTCGCCTTTATCCCGTTTCTCCTGCTGTGGTTCGCGTACACGAATGGCGTCTTCTCGTTCGGCTACGCGAACGGCAACTTCTGAGCGGCTGGCTATGTGCACGAACGTTCGTGAGGAGGTTGAACTCGTCCGTCCCTAGAACTCCTAGAGGAGAAGCGCGGCCCTCTTCCGCCGATTCTCTCTCAGAATGGCCGTTCCCCGCTCTGCGCTCGGTGGGAGCACCCATCGGCGCTTTCCCGTCCTCGCACCGGCGTAGCTATCGCGCGCGCGGGGCAGTCACTTGCTATTCCCGAATCCTTTCGCTGAGTCATGTAACTCGTGTATGTCCACAAGCTACAACAGCACACACACAGCGCCCGCTGTGGCGCTCTCGTGCACACGCACGTGTGGGGGAGGGCGACGCACATTGAGCTGCGGACACGTATGTATCAGGGAGAGCGGCACTTATACGAAATAGAAAACTTGCACCGGACAACCGGGCACGTGCTCGAGTCCGATACGCTAGGGGGACACATAACCCGCTTTCCAATGCATTCCAACCAACCCCGCCCCGCATGTTTATTGTTTTCCTGTGAGCTGTGTGTATGTAGATACCCTCAAGACTCACAAGAGAGGCGAGAGACACTTTTCCGGGATATGAATCACTTGTCAGGAATCCCAGGCGCAGCGGGCGCTGCGAGAGACACGCGCAATGAGAGAGAGCGCTTTCGGACTTGTCGCGCGCTCGCTGTGCCCATCGGCCCTCAACGCAGCAAGCGCCGCTCCGCGCCCGCACTGCCACGCCCAAAGCCTGCCTGCTCGAGCCATGCAGCCCCGTCGCCGCCCGGCGCCGGCTGCCAGCTCACCGCCAGCATGCCGCGCTCGCTCGCCTCGGCGGCGGCGCGCAGCAACAGCGCAGTCGCGAGCCGCCCTCTCTCCGCGGGCGACGCTCCCTCGACCGCCAGCTGCCTCAGCTCCGCCTCCCCAGCCGCGGGGCAGTCGAGGAAGAGAAGCGCCGCGCCGGCCGCGCCGCCGCCGCCGCCGCCGCCGCCGCCGCCGCCTGCGCCTCCGCCGTCTGCGCCTCCGCCGCCTGCGCGGCGGGCGAGCAGGTGGACGGCACGGGCGTCGTCACCTGCGGGGAGGGGGGAGGGGTGAGGGGTGAGGGCGGGAGAAGGGGCGCGAGCGGCGGCGTGTCGATCGGGCGAGGAGAGGAGAGGAGAGGAGGAGGAGAGAGGAGAGGAGAGGAGCGAGGAGGTGTGTGTGGGGGGGGGGGGGCTCGAGCTCTCAGCTCTCGAGTCATCTCGGGTGACCTCGGCCCCAATCTCGGCTAGAGCTCGCCAAAGGCGGCGGCGGCGCCCAGCTCGGAAAGTCGGAGGCGCGAGGCGGAACGGTAAAAACTCATCTCCTCGTCGAGGCCCTTAAGGGGGGGGGGGGGGGGAAGGGGGAAGGGGAAAGGGGGAAGGCTAAAAAGGGTCCCCTCCTCCCTTCCCGAGTGGGGAAACAAAAAGGCAACACCCCCCCCCCCGCGTGGGCCCCCCCCCAATTTTTTTGGGGGGGGAAGGGGGGGGGGGCGGCGTGCGGCGGGCGCCTCCCAACTCAGAGCGACGACCGAGAGCCCCCCCTCCATCGCCGCCTCGGCCGCCTCGGCGTAGACTGCCTCGGACGGTCGCGGCGCAGGCGGCGGCGGCGGCGGAGGAGGAGGAGGAGGCGGCGGTGCCCCCCCCTCTTCTCCGCCGCCCGCCTCGCCTCCGCCCGCCTCCGCCTCCGGAGCATCCCACTCGAGCGACGAAAAGACGGAGGAGAGCGCCCGCTGGGCCGCAGCCCGGGCCGCGGCGTCCTGCAGCGAGGTGGCGAGCGGAGTGAGGAGGAGGGTGAGGAGAGTGTGGAAGCATCGGAGTGAGCGAGTCGAGGAGTGACAGAGATGGCGAATGGGTGACTGTGGGAGTACGAGGCCGATGCAAGGCCGCGATACGGATGCAGAGCGAGGGAGAGGCGAAGATAGGAAGTGTCGAGGTGCGCCTGCAGCGGCGCCGTGCCTCGTGGCACGCCCTTGCCGCCGTCCCCGCGGCCGTCGAGCGAGGGGGCGGGCGGGGGGGAGGAGGTGGGGGAGGAGGCGGGGGAGGAGGCGGAGGCCGTGCGGCGGCGCATCGCCTCAACCTCGTCTTCGACCTGCAGGCGAGAGTCGGCGAGAATCGGCGAGAGTGGCCGAGAGGTGGCCGAGAGTGGCCGAGAGGTGGCCGAGAGTGGCCGAGAGGTGGCCGAGAGGTGGCCGAGAGTGGCCGAGAGGTGGCCGAGAGTGGCCGAGAGTGGCTCGACCTGGTCCTCGACTTGTGCGGACAGAGTGCGGTCAGAGTGTACAGAGTGCGGACAGAGTGCGGTCAGAGTGCGGACGGGAAGCGCGAGGGCAGGGACTCGCTGCCCCTGACGCAATTGTACACAGAGTGCGGAAACGGGAGGCGCGAGGGCGAGGGCACGGTAGCGCTGCGCTGCACACCGGCGGCTCGGGTGGACGCGCTACGAATGCCGGCGGAGGCGGCGCGAGCACGTAGCAGTGAGGACAGCTGCACATGCGCGTCTTGTCGAGTGTTGGCCAGGGACGCTGGCACCTCCCTCCGCACCTGTGTCCGGCATCTACGCACCCCTCGACCAGCTCTCCGATGCGTGCGATGTCGGGCCGCTCCTCGAGCGCCGCCACCTCCTCGTACGGCGAGCGAGAGCCTATGGGGAGATTCGGGGAGATCTGGAAAGATCTGGGGAGATCACCTCCTCGAACGGCGAGCGAGAGCCGTCTCCGCCGGGCGGCGCAATCAGCACGCGGTACGGCGCCGGGTAAAGCTGCCAGAGCAGCACCTGGGCAGAGATGCGGAGAGATGCGGAGCCAGCGTGACTGTGACGGGGTCTGAACTCAGGTGGGCGCGGGGTGCAGGGGTGAGTGGCAGACCTTGGCTTGCTCCTCCTCGGGGTGCTCGCCTCGGCCGAGCGGGCCGCGCCCGCCGCGCCGCAGCACCGAGAAGGGCACGAGCGTGCACACGTCTGTGAAGTCTGCCAGCTCCACCAGCTGGCCGCACCGCAGGTTGAGGGCGAGCGTGAGGGGAGGAGGGGAGGGCGGGCCGGCGCCACGCTCGCCGGCGAGGGAGGAGACGAGCCGCAGCCACGCGCGCGCGATCTGGACGGTCGGGTCGTCCGCATCTCCCGAAGGAGGTACCCCCACCACTGCCACTGCAGCGGGCGGATCGGCAGAGACGGACGGTAGCGGCGCCATCCCGAGCGAGTGGATCTCGAAGCGGCTCTCGCCATCGGCGGCGGCGGCGTCCGCGCCCACCGCGCCGCCCTCCGCCTCGCCCTCCCCCTCGCCGGCGAACTGGTTCGCCGCGACGGCACAACTCAGGCCCGGCACGAGGATGAGCACACGCCCGCCGCTGCCGGTGAGGCTGGCGAGCGAGTGGAGCTCGCGGGCACACTCGACGGCGAAGCGCGCGAGGAGCGATGGATCGAAGTCCGAGACCGCCGGGTCGAGCGTCGGAACCGCCGCGTCGATGAGCATGCCGCGCACGCCACTCAGCGCGGCTCCTCGGATGGCGACGCGAGCGCGCTCCGCGAGCGAGCGCAGGTCGCGAGGCAGGTCCTCATCCACGCTCTCCGCCGCGGCGCGCGGCGCAGCGCGTGCCCGCGCGAGCGGCGTGCGGTGCGTCGCGGACGGCAGGAGGATGGCGATGCTCGACGTCAACAAGCAGCACGGCAAAAGCGTCATCCCTTGTCGTCGGGCTCGAGCTCGAGACGACGCCGGCCGCCGTCGTCGAGGCGGCGCAGAGCGGCGACTTTGGGCGCGCGCTGCCGATGGCGCTGCGTACTCAGGTATTGCGTGCGACAGCGGCGTGCTAAATTCTTTTTTCAAAGCTCGGCGCCGACTCGCACTTTGGCGCGACTACGCCATGGAGTGCTGCAAAAATTCGCTCAGTTCGCCCTCCAGAACCTTATAAAGGTAAAGGGATTGCCTGTTGCGGCGCAACCCTACCCGGGTACCCGGGTAGCCGAGTACCATTTTTTATTTCCTCGCCGAGCTCCATTTTTTATTTCCCCGCCGCAGCCGGTGCTTCAGCCCGCGCTCCCAACACGGCCCACTGCTCGGCCACTCGCCCGCTCTCCGCACTCTCTCAATTCCCGCGCGTACCCGACAGAATTGAAAACCCGAGCTGTGAGAGTCTCCCTAGGAGACAGGGCCAGGGACGCGTCCGTGAAGCTGTCGAGCCTTTAAGCTGTGAGCGCTGTCAGAGCGGTGTTTCGACACCGATATCGTTCAATCCTTTTTCAGCTCTCGAGCCTTTACTCCTTTTTCGCAGCGCATCACATGCATGCAGCACCTGGGCGGACCAGTCAGTGCAAGCTCCGCTCTGCCTGGCCAGACGTTTCTTTCCCTCGCTCGCTCGGCGGTTGACGTCTTGCCTCTCCCTAGGCTAATGCTCACCGCCTCTGGCGAGGTACTTTCCAGAGAGAAGATTTCCAGCCTGCTGTGGGAACAGCTGACGCAGTCTCGCCAAGGCTCGCCCAGACTAAAACCTCGAGATCGGAGAGGCCCGCGTGGGAGTATATACACCTCGCCAGACGCCAGCATTGGCATGTACCCATGTTTCCGGAAACCAAAAAGGAAGGAAACGAGAGGGTCCTCCTGTCTGTACCGTGTTTGTTATGACCCCCCCAAAGGAACACACCAGTGAGGGAGGGCGAGACGATCGAGGGGTCCCGTACCATGCGGAATCGACCCTATCAATGATTCTATCAAGTGCTCAAGTGCTCAAGAGGGTCCTCCCCAGCAATTTTGGCGGAAATTTCCAGGGAAACCAGAGGGTGTTTGGTGCTCCATTCTGGCAACTCTCGACCACTCGAGTTTGAGTCTGTGAGAGCTGGTCTGGGGCAAAATCTGAGCGTAGGGTGCCCACAGGGCCCAAAAAAAGAAAGTATAAAGAAATGGGCCACCCCCGATCGCAGCACTTCGTGTTGTACAGTCGAGATATTGAGATTGTGACCAGGAGGGAGGGACGCTGGGGATTCTCAAAGGTATGTACAGTCTGTTTCGGGCATTAAGAAAACGTAGCATTAAGAACCCCTACCAAGCGATTTCCGCGAAAATCTATGCGCGGGCCACAACGCGCAAGCGATGATGGACGGTCGATTACTAATTGAGACTTTCACAACGCATTGTCGTGAACACGTTTCGGGACGGTTTGGAAAAATTAAATGCCGTGCGCGGCCCATTGTCGCTCCTGGGCCTTTCCATTTGGTATTTTCGTGCCGCGTCTCCCTCGGACGCAATAAAAGGCGCACGGCAACAAGTTGCTCGGTCCTTGGGAGCCGCATACTGAGGAGGAGAAGCAGTTTTTCTGCGTATCGCAGGGAAATGGATCCGCAAGCGCGTGCGTGTTCCGTGCTTCCGTCTGCCAGGCGGCAGCATTTCAGGTCTCCCACCTGGCTGCCCTGGCTGCACACCTTGTTTGAGCGAGAGAGATTTTTTTGGCAATAGGAATTGTTGTTTGGTCCTTGTTTGTGGACGCCATTTGATTGAGCAAGCAAGCAGCTGACTGGGTGCATCGCAACAGAGAGTTCTTTTCCGGCTCCCGTGCTAGTGGCCGTGCAATATAAAAGAATTTCTGCGACGCCGATGCACGCCCTGCCTATATGTTGTGACGGCTGATGGTGGTCGTGGTTGACCCGCTCTACGTCTCGCTGTTCGTTGACGACCCGACTCCCCTCGCGATGCTTCTCGTCCACGACGCTGCGTACTTTCAGTTCGGGACAACCGAGGTGATCGAGACTCCGTCGGCGCACGCGCACTTGCGCCACAAGAAGTACAGCCACCTCAACGGCGCCTGCATCGGCGTGCTCGACGACATGAAGCCCAGCTGGCGGACGTGGACGCGCGACGATCCGCACGTCGCGTGGGTCTACGTGGTCGGCGAGCTGCCACAGAGCGAACTGTCCTCGCAAGGCGCGCGCACCGGCCTTCTCGACGGCCAACATTCGTCCGTCTCGCCCCTCGCGGCGACGCGCCGGATCAGCGTGCGGCGGTCGCCGGATGGCACTGGCCGCTGGGTCCCGGCGCACGTCCTGCGCCCCTTCGTCCCGGCGGGCGTGCCCGACACTGTTGCTGTGCAGCGCGTGTGCGATCTGATTGCCAAGTGCAAACACCACTCGGGCGGCAAGAAGCGGCCAATGCCGGAGGCCGCCCGCTTTTCTTCGACCAAGAGGCGCGCCGCCAAGATCCACACCAAGGACGGCATGATGTACTTTGTGGACCGGCTCGGGCCGCTGCCGCACGAGATAGTGCGGACAGAGATGCGCGGGCCGCCCGGCCACACATACAAGGTCTTGTGCATGAGGCCGGTCGAGCCCACGGGCGCTACCTGTGAGGCCCTGGGCCTCAGCCCCGCCGATGCCACCTCCGTCGCCCCGGAGGCGTTTGTCCAGAAGAACGAGCTCGTCTACCTGCGCGAGCGCTTTGGGCAGCTCTGGTGCCTTGCCGCCCGGCCCGCCCGCCCGGTTGCCTTGTACCACACGCGCAGCCCACGCGCTGCCACCTCTCCTGCCAGGTACGGGGAAGCCGAGAATGACGGTGCCCTGAAGGCGTCGCTCTGCGAGGCCGTGTCTCGCTTCGCTGCGAGTTACGCCAAGCAGCCGATTAGCGCAGCGCGAGCCTTCCGCTCGCTCGCCAAGTGTCCGGATGCGACACCAACCCCGCACGAGTTCGCGGTGCTGAACCCGGAGACGCAGTCCGACTAGTGGATGGAGCAGGTTTCTCCGCTCTCTCGAGTGTGTGTGATAGTGGGCTCGAGAAGTCACAGAGCCGCGTGTGGTAGGCCCTCGTACCTGTTGTTGTGGTGGTATCTCCTCGCGAGCCCAATCCCCCCACTCTCAGACAATAAGCGTGTATGGGTTCCATCTCAGAAGTAAACGCAAGCCCACCCGCGGCTCGCCGACAAGAGTCACGCACACCTCATTTTCAGACTCTGCAACAGTACATAGAGAGCGGGAGAGGCGCAGAGACAGAGACGTCTCGCTCTCGCTCTCGTGGCGCGCGAGCCTCGCGGCGTGGACAGGGGTGAGGAGAAGCGGGTGGACGGCGGCGCAGCAACGGGGTGGCGGGTGGCGCGGCGTAGCGCAACGAGGAGTGAGCCTGAGAGGCGAAGGAGACATCAGTGGTGTGCAAAGAGAGAAGGTAGCACGGCTGCACGCACGCGGCGGAGGGGCTCACCTCAGATCTCCTCCGTCGACACGTAATGCTTGATCAGCGCCTGCACGATGGCGTGGATGATCAGCGCCTCGTGCTTGGCATCCGCGAGCGCGGTGTGCTCGTGCACGATGCCGAGGAAGAGCGGCACCAGCACGCCCATGGAGAAGGAGAAGGGCTTGGCGCACGAGGGGCCTATCACACTCGAAGGGACGGCGTATCGGGAGAGTATGTCCTAGCTGCATCGTCCGCGCGGAAAGAAGATGGAGCCGATCGGCGTCTCGAACGCCTTCTTGAGCAGCGGGCACGCGTCGCGTCCGTCGGGACGGCCGGCCTCGCGGAACGCTCGCAGCTCCGGAGACCCCCAGCAGAAGGGGCGTCCAGGTGTGTCGCAAATGTGTTGCAGGAACGCCTCCCAGGCAGCGGCGTCGAGGCCGAGCGCGTCAAGCTCGTTGAACTCCTCCTCGACCACACCCTCGCCGCCCGCGTCAACGCCGAAGGCGCCGACGTCCGTCTGGCGCTTGCGCTCGACGCCCAGCGTGGCGTTGATTTGGCCCTGTTCCCGTTACGTGCACGCGGTGTCGGGTCGTGTGGGACCCCAAACCCCGCCCTGGCGCGCGCCCATGCACCTGCCGCTTGGCGCTGCGAAACTCCATGTCGAAGAGTGTCAGCGCAGCCGTAGAGCAGCGCTTGCCCCCATGCAGAGAGGGCGGCACAACCTTTGGCAGCTCGCGCGACCACGCTCGAAACTCGGCGTCCGACATGGTCTCCTCGTTGAAGGGGTCGAGGCCGAAGTGTTCGGCCTCAACGACGCGGCGCTGGTCGTCCGTCAGCGCGCGGAGGTCGTCGGGGGCGAAAAGCGAGGAGTCCGGCTGCAGCGGGGAGGGGACTGGTGGTGAGCACCTAGGAGGGGAGGGCCGAGGGCGGTGTGGGTTCGGCTGTCCCGATCACTCCTCGATGAGGAGTGACCCGCGGGCCGACGTCTCTGGTCGGCCCGCGATGGCGGCGGCGGACCGAGGGCCCGCCACCGTGGCTCGAGCGGAGGCTCGAGCCTGCGTGAGGTGCGGTGCACCTCACGCGGGACTGCTGCCGCAGTCGTGCGTGCACGCCATTCGGAGCCCAGAGAGCAACGAGAGGCGCCACGACGGCGGCGGCGCCAAACCATCCGTACACCTTTGGCAGGTCGACGTTTGCCGCCGCGACGTCCGACCCGGTGTCGATGACAGCCATCAGCTCGCGGAGCTCCGGTGGCAGCTCGCCAAAGGCGCGCGGCTCGAGCACGGCGACGAGCTCGTCTGCCATGATCGGCAGCCGCTCCTCGAAGGTCGCACCCTGCAGCTCCTTGGACTTCGCCTCGAGCAGCTTGTACAGCGGCGAGCGGCTGATCGCGGCGAGCACATCTTTGTCGAACCAGCTGTCCACGGGTTGCCACCTTCGCATCCAGTCTTGCATCCACTGCGAGAACCAGACGCGGTAGATCATCAACCGCCCAGTGGAGGGGTGCGTGATGAACGAACCCGCGGGAGCGTCGACTGGCAGCAGGGTGGGCAATAGCCGGATAGGCTTCGGTGCGGGCGTGGCGTTGCGGGTGCGTCCGCCGGACCCGTTGCCGGAGCGTCCGCCCTGGCCGCCGTCCCGCTGGCTGGCGGGCACGAGCTGGCCCCTCTCCACCCGCATCACGCCGCCCTCGCCGTGGACGTCGCGGATGAGAGGCTGCGGGAGGAATTCCTCCCAGTTGGCGAGGGTCTTGCCGTCGGCGTTGAACTTGAAGGCTCGGCTGTGCACGTTGCCCTCCAGGCCGCTCTTCATTGTCTGCCAGCCAGGAGGGAAACGTGTCCGCCACTTGACCCCGTCGAATCCCTGCACAGTGTTCGACGTGCAGTTCCAGCGGAGGTCGCCCCTCGTGGGGCGCAGGTCGACGGCCTGCGGAAGCCCGTTCTCGTCGAGGCCCTGCTGCCCGAAGAGCAGGTATGCGCTGTTTGTGGAGTGCGCAGGCATGCTTCGCTCGCCGACTTCGCAGAGAGTCTAATTCTTAGTAAGGGGAGGGCTCCCAGGGCTTGGAGGTCTTTTTAGTTGCAACCATGACGAGAGCCAGCAGAAGGCGGACACGGTCGACGGCGCTCCCGACCACCAGCTCAACCTCAGCCGCGAGGAGCTCGAGTCGGCGATCGGCCCGGAGGCGGCGGCGGCGCTGTGGAGTCTGCCAGCCTCCTTCCTCGGCGAGGCGGCGGACGCGGCGCTGACCTCCGACGTGGAGATCTTTGTCCGCCGGTACACGCCGGCGACGAGGCCCCGTGGAGCCCTAGATGCGGACGAGACCGTCCGTGACTTGCCCCGAGAGGGGCCTTGCGCAGAGTGCGACTGCACCACGAGACGCGAGGGCGTGCCGGAGGGCGTGCCCAGAGCGCCACCCAAAAGGAGGCGGACAACCATGGAGGTCACCGAATGGAGGGCGAACGGCACGATACGAAAAGGCAGGGCGAGGCGGATGGAGAAAGAAGTGCCGAGAAGGCCATGGTGGAGGGGAGGGACGGGAGGACGAAAGAAGGGCGAGGAGGACGAGCGGCCCGCACAGACCGCGAGCAGACAGCGCCTGCTGGCCATTTCGAGACATTCGCAAAGAACGCTAGTTACATGGGAGGGCTTCGTGAAGGATGGATTGAAAAACATTCGAACAAAGAAGAGGCGACGGGAGGAACCGGCGGAGGATGCAGTGACGTGAGACACACACACACACACACACACACACACACACACACACACACACACACACACACACACACACACACACACACACACACCACACAACACCGCTCGCCCACGCGCACTGGGCCTTGCACTTTGAATGCCGTGGGGCTCCTGTCGTCAGACGTGGAGACGCGAGGCCGAGGGTTGCCCCCCCTTGCCCCACCACCTCGTGTGTGTGGATAAGTTTACCTTACCTTACCTTACCCGGGTCCCGGGTCTGTGGGGTGTGGGGGGCTCAGTGACAGTGTGTGGGTGTTAAGCGCTCGGCTATACGGCTTTACGTTTTTACCCCCGCCACCCACGGGGATCCCCGGCGCCGGCCGCAACGGGCGACGACCAACGTCCAACGACGCGCGAGCAACGACCCGTACGAGACCAACGTCGAGCAACGTGGCGTGCGTGACTCTCGTCCCACCGCGACGCCACGTCCCCGGCCCCCCTGCCCTCCCTCTGGAGCCGTGTGGAGAGACCCTGGCGGTCTGCCAGCGTCCCACGTCCCAGCGACACGGTCCTGGCGTCCCCTCCCACGATCAGAAATTGGGGTAGGTCCCCTTTTCCCACAGTCAAGAGACAACACAGTGATCAGTGTGACGGTCGTGTAGGGAGAGAGAGAGAGAGAGAGAGAGAGAGAGAGAGAGAGAGAGAGAGAGAGAGAGAGAGAGAGAGAGAGAGAGAGAGAGAGAGAGAGAGAGAGAGAGAGAGAGAGAGAGAGAGAGAGAGAGAGAGAGAGAGAGAGAGAGAGAGAGAGAGAGAGAGAGAGAGAGAGAGAGAGGAGAGAGAGAAAGGAGTCAGAGGGAGGGGAGGAAGAGGCACAGGGAGGCACCGGCACCGGCGAGCGGCAGGGGGGACGTCCGCACGGGGCGGCGGGGCTCAGGGCTTCGGAGGCCGCTGCCGCGCGCTGTGCGGTCCGCCGTCTGCTCGACAGGCGGCCGTGGCCGCGGCGGCGTCGCCCGAGAGCAGCCCCGCGCCCAGCTGCTCCGAGCCGTCGTCCCACTGCCGCTCGCCGAGCACGGCGATGACGTCCTCGCGCAGGATCACCTCCTTCTCCATCAACTTCTCGGCGAGCACCTTGACGAGCTCAAGAAGTGTGCTCATCTCTCTCACATCTCCCCAGATCTCCCCAGATCTCGGCGAGCACCTTGACGAGCTCCTTGCGCTCGGTGAGCAGCGCGACGGTCCGGTCGTACGCCTCGTTGGCGAGGGCGCGCGCCTCCTCGTCAACCACCTGCTCCCGGCCGCCACGTGTGAAGAGACGTCGTTCACAGCTCGACGTTGGCCGCGCCTCCTCACCTCGGCTCACCTCGGCTCCTCTCCACCTCCGCCGTCTCCTCACCTCGGCTCACCTCGGCTCCTCTCGGCTACTCCCCACCTCCGCCGTCTCTTCCGAGTACGGCCGCTGCGACGCCATCCGGCCGTCGTTGGGCGGCGGGTAGGAGCGGTTGCCAATCTTGTCGTTCATGCCGTAGGTGGTGACGAGGGAGTAGGCCAGCCGCGTCACCTTGGAGAGGTCGTCTTGCGCGCCGGTGGAGACGTCCTTAAAGAAAAGCAGCTCGGCGACCCGCCCGCCCAGCATCATGCACATCGTGTCCATCATCTGCTCCTTTGTGTGCAGCTTCTTCTCCTTGGGCACGTACTGCGCGTACCCGAGCGCCGCGACGCCGCGCGGGACGATGGACACCTTGAGCAGCGGCGACGCGTGCTCCAGGAACCAGCCCGTCACGGCGTGGCCCGCCTCGTGGTGCGCCACCCGCGTCTTGTCCTCCACCGTCATCACCTTAGACTTCTTCTCGAGCCCGCCGATGACGCGGTCCATCGCCGCGTGGAAGTCGTCCAGGTACACGTAGTCCTTCTCGTTGCGCGCCGCGATGAGCGCAGCCTCGTTGACGACGTTTGCAATCTCGGCGCCCGAGAAGCCAGGCGTGAGGGCGGCCAGCTTTGCCGCGAGCTCCTGCGGGAGATATGGGGAGATGTGGGGAGATATGGGGAGGTATGGGCGGCCCGCTTTGCCGCGAGCGCGCGGGCGGCCCTCGCCGGCGCGGGCGGGCGGGCGCGGGCGGGGCGGGGGCGGGCGGCGCGGGCGCGCACCTCGGCGTTGTCCTTGGTCCGCACCTTCGGCAGGTGCACATTGAAGATCTTGACGCGGCCCTTGACGTCGGGCGGGTCGATGCTGATCTGCCGGTCGAATCGGCCCGGCCGCAGCAGCGCCGAGTCGAGAGTGTCGGGCCGGTTGGTGCCGGCGAGCACGACAATCTGGCCGGTGGACGAGAAGCCGTCCATCTCGACCAGCAGCTGGTTGAGCGTGTTCTCGCGCTCGTCGTTGCCGCCAAAGTTGCCGCCGCGGCCGCGCGCCTTTCCGACGGCGTCGATCTCGTCAATGAAGACGATGCAAGGCTGCATTGCCTTGGCCTGCCGTTGGCAAAACCAGGGGGTGACTACGTCGGTGAAGCGAGGGCGGCGCGAGCCCGCATCGCCTCTGCCTGGGCGAAGAGGTCTCGCACGCGCGCCGGCCCGACGCCGACAAACATCTCGATGAAGTCGGAGCCTAGAGTGAGCCGCGGTGTCCGGGAGGCGTGAGCGACGAGTGGCTCGACGCCGGCGGTCCCGCGACGGGTCGACAACCGGAGATGGAGAGGAAGGGCACGTTCGCCTCGCCGGCGGTCGCCTTTGCGAGCAGCGTCTTCCCGCAGCCGGGCGGGCCTACAGGAAGGCTCCGAGAAGTGTCTCCGGTCCGCAGTGGGCAGCAGCGTGTTGTGGCAAGCCGAGGATGGCACCGGAGAGGAGGGCACCCTTCGGGATCTTGGCTCCCAACTCCTTGTAGCGCTCCGGCCGCTTGAGGAAGTCGACGAGCTCCATCACCTCGTTCTTCGCCTCGGCGAGCCCCGCCACGTCCTTGAATGCGACCCCGGTCGACTTCTCCTTGGTCACAATCGTCGGCTTCGACTTGCCCACCTAGGCGCGGGAGAGATGGGGAGAGATGGGGAGAGATGGGGAGATATGCTTCGACTTGCCCACCTAGGCGCGGGACCAGCGACCGCTCTCCTCGCACTCACGCTGCTGACGGTGCTCTCGATGTCAGCCTTATAGCCGAGATGTAGCCGAGAGAGAGAGAGAGAGAGCCGAGAGAGAGCAGGCGCTGGCTCTGTCCGCCACCTGGAAGATGTTTCGCCCGCCGCCGCCGCCGCCGCCGCCGCCGCCCCCCATCATCCCTCCGAGGCCCCCGCGCATCATGAAGGCCGCCCAGAAGCCGATCAGCAGCAGCGTCGGCCCGACCTTGAGCAGCTCGTTTGCGACGGAAACCTAGCCCGAGATCAGCCCGAGATACAGCCCGAGATACCCGCGCGCCACTGAAGGTACAGGCACGTCGCGGCGACGCGTGGGGCGACGCGTGGGGCGACGCGTGGGGCGACGGCGCGTGGCGGGATGCGTGCCGTGAATGGGGGTCTAAGGGCATCTCAGACGAGCCAAGGGAGCAGCCCAAGGGCAAGCTAGGGCCAACCTGCGACTCGTGCGTGACATTGACGTAGTCGCGAGGCGCGACGCCGAGGTCCGCCTGCGCGCGCTCGAGCCTGCGCGTTCGGCGGGCGGGCGAGGGGTCAGAAGCGCGCGGTCGCGGGCGGGCGGGTCAGGAGCGCACGGCGCCGCGCGTGGCCCGGCGCGGGAGGAAGCGGCCGCTTCGTCCGCCCCATCCGGAGGCCAAACCCCAGCGGCCAGCGGAGCGCGCGCGAGGGCAGTGCTAGGCGGCGCGAGGGCAGTGCCGGGCAGCGCGGTGCGCGGGGTGGGCGGGTTGGACGCGCCGCTTCTCAAAGGAGCCAACGTTGCCGAGGGAGACCTCGTAGCTCGGCTGCGACTGCTCCGCCAGCGAGGGCGAGCGCATGTACACCTTTGCGCGGTTCTTGTTGACGATGACGATGTGCCGCACCTCGCCCGACTCGAGCACGTCGCGGATGAAGTCCGCCTGCGTGATCTCGCGCGAGCCGGAGATGCCGTCTGACATCGAGTTGTACAGCGTGAGCGCGGCGGCGGCGACGGCCGCCGCCGCCCACAGCGACTGCGACTGCGGCCCCGGCGGACCTGCGCCGCCGCCGCCGCCGCCGCCGCCGCCCTTGTCGGGCTCCGCTTTCATCGAGGCGCGGCTGGTCGAGCCCTCGCTCGAGCTGGAGCCGGCCGATGAGCCGCCCGCCTCGCGCTTCGCCTGCCCGCCAGGCGCCTCGCCCTTGCGCTCCTTGAAGAAGCCGCCGAAGCCCTTGGGCACCCGGTGCGATGACCCGCCCTCGGACGGCGGCGGCGGCTCGGGCGGCTTGCAGAGCAGTCGGCGCGGGAGCGCGACGCAGCGACCCGGGGCCAGCAGCGACCCGGCGGAGCGCGTCGTGAGGCCCGCTCTGCTCAGCCGAGACAGGGCCATGCTGCACGCCTGACGGCCAGACTGGAGAATTTTCCTTTTCACAGACCTTGTTCTTGACATCTTGAGCAGAAAATATTCTTTTTTCGCTGGTTTATCGGAGGTTGAGGTGCGAGCCCTAGGCCCTGGGGATGGGGGGAGACTACCCGCGGGCCTAGTTCACATAAACAAAACCCCGGGCCTAGTTTCCTTATTCACAGCGGACGGAGCAGCCAGTCTCGATCACCGCGGCGACTGGGATATCGATCGGCATCTAGTCAGCTGTAGCTCGCCCGTCCGTCTACCGCTGCCGAAATTCAGCGTAGTGGTTCTCGTCTATCTTGAGCACTTGAGCACTGGATAGGGTCGATTCCGCATGGTACGGGACCCCTCGTCTATCTATCTATCTACTTTGTCGGTGCGGATTCCGGTGCGGCCGCGCAAGACGCTTTCTGGAAGCGCGTTTTTCTGCTCTGCCGGGGACCTGCGCCGTGTGGGTGTCTGGCACTCCCCCTCTCGGGGTTTTCCCTCTCTTCACGCCGAATATTTCACAGCAGAAAAAGAAAGAACAGCCACGAAATCACGATGTCGACCCTCCCCTGATGCTTGTAGGGCTTGAGAGTGGCAGTGTTGGAGAGTGTGAACTCAAACTCGAGTCTGTGCTTCGACGTAGCATGGGCCCAGAGGCCCATCTACAGCAGCGGCGAAGTGAGCGTGTTTGTGGTGTTGGTGTGACGTCTGAGCTTGGATCTGTGACTAAAGCCGCTTACCACTGACTGATGGATCCCCACCCGAATAACACACAGTAAGCGGCCCAGTGAGCGCCCCAGCACTTCACTACGCCCTCCGCGCGAAATCGCTAGTGGTGCTTTGTGGCAGCACATTGTGCTTTGTGGCAGCACGGGTGCGGTGCCGAGACCGATGGTACCTCGGTGAAACTAGCGGCGATATTGAGCGTCGAAACGGCGCTTCCGGTGAGCGTCTCCGACCTCGACCTCCGAGGAGGCGTGGTTGGTGGCGACACACACACACACACATGGCCGTCGCGCACGCCTCATTCCCGCAGCTGCGCGTCGACCAATGCTTTCCGGGGTTGCTTGCAGCACACAACCTCACAGAGACGTCGAGCATAAATGCGGCCGTCGAAGCGTGGTCGCAGGCTGCGCGCAATGTGGCTCCAAAGCACTGCTTCATGGAGGTGGACAACACGTCTGCGGCCGGTGTCTATGCCGACCTTGTCTCGCATGAGCACCGCTTTGTGTTTCACCTTAACGCCAAGGCGGGATCAAACACGCTCATCCTGTGGTTCATGTGTGCGCTTGGCGCCGTCAAAGCCGTCAACCCCGTTCCCGCTGACTATTTGCGTGTCTCATCAACGCGCAACCCGTGGACTCGAACTGCATCGGGCTACGGACAGGTCCTGATTCAGATTCAGAGAGAGCTCAATGGGCGTCCGTCGGCCGAGGTGCGCCGCTGCGTTAGCGAAGAGGATCTGCCTGGCTGCACCTGGGGCGATGTGAATGCCATGCCGCTCGGAAGGCTTCGCCAAAACATCCCGTCTGTGGCAGACCTGGTGGAGAGGCTGGCATCCTCCTCCTTCTACAAGGAGAATCATCCCTTCACCGGCTCCGCTGCGGAGTTTGCGAACATGCTTCGGCTCAGTGCTCAAAATAATGTGCTTGGCTGTGGCGGAGACTGGTTTGTGGGTGAGCATCTGACGCCGCAGTGGATGCACTTTGCCGGGCTGGGACGCGTGGACTTTGTGTTTCGCGTCGAGCACATGGAAGACGACCAGCGGCGCTTCCTCGAGGTGCTTCGCCGACGTGGTAGCACACTCAGCGATCGCTGCTGGTCCGCCGTGCGTCCGAAATGCAGGAAAGAGATGTGCCAGATTGGTAGCCAGGGCAATGACGTGGGCGCAAAACTAAAGGCTTTGGTCACAGGCGGATCGATTCTCAGCAGAGATGGTGAAGATATGATGGATTCCGTGGGTGCTACGAGTGCCAAATCTATTGCCAAAGAGGCCGATTCATCAGCAAATGACGGCTTGGCACTGTTGCAGCGGCTGATGTGCGCGCTTTACTTGCCGGACATGCTCTGCAACGGCTACGAGCTTCCTGAGCATTGCTCCCTCGGAAATGCATCGGCGCGCTTCCCCTGGTTGGAGCCTACGATGCGCACGCTTACGGGCAGCAGCAGTCTGGCCTTTCTGAGCCCCCCTAAAAAGCCAGTATCAAAACGTACCGTACTTTACAACAACCGCAGCAGGCAGAGAACATGCTCGTGCTCAGTCGCGACCGTGGTGGACGGGACGTGCACCTGCGCTGTGGCGAGGAACGGCGTGGTGCACACAAGCCGACCATACCTGCGGCTGGACAGGTGCATCCCGGGACAGCTGACCGCCCACGAGCACAAGCAACCCCAACAAGAATGTTCGGATTCACTTGTGCCTTGGCTCGGCGCTGCCATGTCGACCTTCCCATCATGTTTCAGGCAAAGCCGACCCGGCGAATCAATGAATGTTCGCAGGGTCGGGACATTAGTGTCTCACAAGCACCGATTCGTTTTCAGAGACGTGCGCAACGCCGGCAGCCCCAGGCTATCACACTGGCTGCAGTGCGCCCTTGGCGCTGAGCCCACCGCAGGCGCGCCGGCAGATCCAGACTATCTCTGGATAGCTTCCGCCCGTGACCCATGGACGCGCGCGCTCTCTGCCTTTGACAAGCTGACAACACGCCTCTTGCGTGACCTGGATGGCAAAAACCCGGCAGCTGTTTACGCGTGTGCTGACGGCCGCGAGCCTTCCAGCGGCTGCAGCTGGGGAAACGTGAACCGCCTCTCCATCGGGAACCTTAGCCTACAATTCCCAGCGACCGCAGAACGGGTATCGAATCTGGCATCGACCCGTTTCTACGGTACATTGGTAGATGAAGGTCAAAGAAACGCAAGCACCCCCCCCTCCGAGGAAGCGTTGCGAGCATTTCTATGGGCGGCGGCCCGCCACACCCTTGGGTGCGGAGGCAACAGCTGGTTCGGCGACGAGATGGCATCGCCCCAGTGGAGTGACCTGGCCTTCCTTGGCCGGGTCGACTTTTTATTCCGCTTTGAGCACGAGGCCGACGACATGAGGAAGTTCTTGAAGAAGCTGGGTGTTAACGAGGCGCCGTGCAGCAACGCACACAAGGGGTGCAGCCCGAACGCTTGCCTGGTCGAAGAACCAGTCACGACGCAAATCCCTGCATACCGGAGAAGAGAGATGCTAGTGGAGCGCGTGCTCGGTTTTTCAGACGAGCTGAAACGCCTGGTGTGCGTCACCTACCTGCCGGACTACATATGCAATGGCTACGCACTTCCTGAGGGATGCGCGGCCTCCGCCAATGGCTCCGCGAAGCACGACTACTACCGCCAGGCGATGCAAAGCCTGCTTGCAGTGCCATGGGCAAAGCGAACACCGAATGAAGCCGCGAGGGTCAAGGAGACGCCCCTCACAGCAGCCTCCATCGGCGTCGTGACGGTCGACACACGACCCGCGCACTTGGGAGTATTCCTGTGGAAGAGATATGCTGCCGCTCACAACTACACATACATTCAGCTCCACCCGGGCGGCGTCCAGGCCAAGGCGCGGCGCAAGCCTGGGCTACCAGAGCCGGTCCTGCTGCAGGACTGGAGCGTCACTTCGCGACTGCGAGTTACTCTTCAGTCAGACAAGTACGCACGCCTCTCCTACTTCGTCTATGTCGAGCTCGACCAGTGGATGGTCAAACCACTCGCTCCCCTCGAGCCGCTCTTTGTGAATGCCGGCCTCACCAAGCCAAAGACAATGATGGCCGTCTCTGCTAGCTTTGGTTGTGCAGCTCAAGACTTCTCCCTTGGCGTCATACTATACAAGCGCCACAAGATGACGCTGAAGATCCTGGACGCGTGGTCAAAGTCGCGCATGCACAGCGGTCCATGGGCGCCAGAATGGCCCGCACGGCAGGGGGCATTCTGGCGCGATCCGGAGGTTTATCACACATTCAGGGAGGAGATCAACGCGACAGTGTCTGACTGCCCGCTGGGCGCGCCGTTCAGCCCGGTCCTTGCCCACGCGCAAGGCAACGGCACGGTACCTGGCGTCTACGATGCCGCTCGCGCGCGCACCGTGCAGGCGAAGCTCATCGAGCCGTGCGTGCTCGACGCGCTGGCGACAGGGGTCGCGCGCACGTGCGCCCTCCATCCGCCCTGGGTCGGCGGCACGTGCCTGCGCTGCACCAGGACCCTCGAGCTCCGCCGGCCCGACGGCTCGGTCCATCGCTTCAACGCGACGCAGTGCTGCGGGGAGGTGGACAGCGCCCTCCCGGTGGCCAAGTTCCGAGAGCTCGCCGCCATCTTCGAGGCGCGCGAGCCAGAGCGCATCATCCGCGCGCTGGTCGACGTTTATGAGGGCAAGGCGCCCGTCGCAAGCTATAGCCTCGGCATGCACCTCCTCCTTCCGGAGCTCGCCAGCCCCATGCCGTCGGCCTGGGCGGTTGGCTCTGAGGTGATGCAAGATACGGCGGCCATGAGAAGCGGAGCGACGGCGACGCCCGCTCCCGGAGATTGCCATGCCAGTGGGATTTGCGATATGGCACCTGGCTGCGAGGAGCAGATGGAACGAGTCGCGGAGCTGCCCATCACGGAGCCCAACCAGTTCCGCGACTACGCCACCTGCCTCAACCGCTCCGCGCTTGAGGTGGAGTGGAGGCGAGCGGACCCAGGCTACGCGG